ATTGGTTGAAATTTAGTATAAAATTATTAAAACTAACGGTTTATAAATATGAGAAGGGGATTTTGTGGATATTATAGTAATTTCAATATTTGAGATCATGAGTCAATTAAAATTAAGCCACCGTTAAAAACCTGGAAAACTGCACGATCATTTCATCGTGGTATGGGACACTTCAACAGTGCGTAACCACGATTCCACCTAGTGAGATTTGAATCCAACCCCTATCGGCCTCACTCACAAACACTTAGCCTCTAGACTACTGAGCCGGTCGACATCCAACAGTGTTAATGTCTTAACTTCAATTAATCCACGAAATTGAGCCACACATCCACTATTATTTTCAGTGATTTACTATCTCACAACAGGCCTGGTTGAACTCCACTGGTCGTTGCTTCTCATTTGAACTCCGGGGAGTACCTCTTTGTTAGATCCCGATAAACATAATGAATGGTAACTTTGGGATCTATTTATGGACCAATACTAAACGTATGTTTTTATCGTATAATTGTTAAATAACTAAACTATACATATTCATGTCCCTCTTATTATAAGCTTTATTTTGACCTATGAACCATTATTATACGTTTTATCATTCTTGAATTATGCCCTGTCTATTGGTCACTATCTCCCACATTCACAGCCACATTTAGCCAAATTTTGTACAAATGTTATTTTCTATTTTATGCTACGTTGTGATCTGTTTGATTGGTATATAAACTCAGTATGTTTGAAGGTTAATGATTCATATCACATAGGCTCGGATTGCTGTTCTGGATTTAACTGGCTGGGTTAGGCGAAAAAACAGGGCCAATCAAAACTCTAGGCTGTTCATACGGGTTTACGTGTCATTGACTAGATCGATAAGTCACTGGTCTCTAATCAGCGGTCACAAGTTATAACACTCTTGAAGTCTAATTTCAATTGATTCATGATCTCAACTATTGAGATTATAAATAACATAGAAATAAAGTTGAATAACGTACACTAATACACTAAAAACACTTGATTGTACCATTAAACTTCCTTCAAGTCCTTTTACATAACTAAAAATAGAATTAAGATTGTTATTGATTCATTAACTTACGGTAGCAAGAAAAGTATCCTGATAAATAGTGTAATAAGTAGTTGAATGTTAAGAATTATCAAAACCTGTTATTGTAAATCACTAATTCTAAACCTCAAATTTACTTTTCTTGCATAAGTCGATATATTTGGAACTTTACTTCTAATAATGTAAATGCATGGAATAATTTGAACGAATCCCAACATGTTTATAAAAATGATCTAGAATTAGAATATAACATAAATTGAATTATATAATTGGATACAGTTAAATTTATGTGTCTATCTAAATTAGATCACTATTGAAGAACTGGAAGTATCAAAAAGCTGTTTCGTTCTGGTATAAGATTCTTAGAAAATGGGTATCCACAAAACTGCATATGGAAATCGAACTATTGCTTCAAGGTTTTCCATGTATTCAACTATTGGATTACTGTAACATCCGAAAAACCCAATATGGATTATAATCATCATATGCTCACCAGTAACTGGTTCCAAAAAGTATTCCCCGGAGTTCTAGTGAGTAGCAGTGACCAGTATAGTTCAACCTGGGTCTGTTGTAAGGTAGTAGCACGATGAAGACAATGTTGGATGTGTCACTCAATTTCGTGAATTAGTTGAATTTAGGCATTAACACCGCTGGTCTATAGATTGAGGATTCGCCTGCGAGACTTATAGGTAACGGGTTCAGATCTCGCAAGGCGAGACTTTGCGTGAATACAGTTGAGGAGTCTCATACCAGAACGAGACGACCATCCAGTGTTTTCAAGTTTCGCATGGTGGTCTAGCTTCAATTAACCCACAAATTCAACTGTTAAATATGTAAATGTAAACTGTACGCAAACCAGTATTGTTTTTATAATAACAAATTGATATTTTGGTTACGTATTACATAGGGTTTTATTGGGACAATTCAGATTTATCAGAATTGGTTTTGAATCAAATATCAATTTACAATAGATATCATAACTACAATGAACAATGTGAAAAATAAGCTTGACACTGAATTTCTTGGGTTTGAGTCCCGCATGAAGGAGTCCTACGGTACTGGAATGGAACAGTCGTCCATTGCTAACAGGTTTTCAATGATAGTTTAACATGAATCGCATTATAATATTAATAATAGCGTACCTGTGTTTCGTATGAATTCAATGTATAATATAATGTACCTGATGCAAAATGTTGTTTATATTAACTTCATTAAAACACTTGAGTGATTAAAAAAAAACACTACTTGTGGAGTTTTGCTTAACTAACTGTCTACTCAGACATGAATGAATCCAAAGGACATTGTATTTGATATTAAAAACAAACAAACAAGCAAACAAACAAATCCTTTGAAATGAACGACAATTTGATTAAGAAACCAATATATTTCTCTCTAGATGTTGTTTGAGACTGCAACTGATGAGTCTCTTGTTGATATATATGTGTTATAACTTGTGAACCTGTGTGCTCTGTTTATTGTATAACGCAACTATACCGCTAATCAGAGAGCAGCGAACTATTATCCGAACCAGTGACGCATAAAACACGTGCGAGTAGCCTAGAGTCCTGATCGGTTCTGCTTTCCGCTTAACCCAGCCAGTTGAGTCCAGAACACCAATCTCAGCCTCTGCAATATGAATCGTTTGTTTCAAACATACTCGGTTTATATATCAATCAGACAAATCACAAGGTAACATAAAATATGAAACAACATTTGTACAAGATTTGGCTAAATGTGGCTGTAAATGTGGGAGACAGTGACTAATAGACAGGGCATAATTCAAGAATGATAGAACGTATAGTAATAGTCTATGAGCCAAATAAAAGCTTATAACACGAGCAACATGAATATGAATAGTTTAGTTACATAACAATTATACGATAAAAATATACTCAAGTATTGACCCATAAATGGATCCCAAAATTTATCATTCATTATTCTTATCGGGATATAACAATATGTGCATCCTGTATGGATTGCATCGATATAGCCTTAAGATGGCTAGCAGCGGAACACAGTTTCAAGCAAACACTTAACCTCTAGATCAGTGAGCCGACTGGAATCCAGTTGTGATAATGTCTAACTAATGTCAAATTGATTGACTTACTATGTTTGATTTCTGTTTAGTAAACGGTTTCAGGGAATTCATTTTCTTGAAAGTACATTAGTTCATCTTTACTATTTTTTTTAGTCTATCTGAAAGCATAGAATTGAGGTGTATGCTACTTACGTTGTCAGATGTACTTAGAGTGTAATACCAATCAGAAATGGAATGTCTGACAGTAGAAGACTGAGAAGTTCAAAGTGAAGAAGAGAGATAGGAAACAGATAGGAATTGGAATAAAAGTAGAGTTGGAAGAATCATGAAGCATATAAAGGACAACTGATAGAATATGTGTAAAGAATGTATTGAATGTATGATTTTCATATTTTACCAAGATATTCTGTGATTCTGCGTTAAACTATATGATATGTCATGTTGTTTGAATGTTAGATCCGGCTCCTGGGATCTCATAGCAACCTTAAAAAATGACGACAACCAGATCCAGAGAACACTGAAGCTGTCAGAACTGTGCCTAGATCTAGGGAATTCCTACCCTACGATCGTTCTTCGGATTGGTCAGCCATTATGGTACCTTCCTCTCTGATCTCCATCGTCTACGTGCTCCACTAAACCACCTACTAGAAAAGAATACAAGAATATTGTATATCATGCAGAATAAAATATCAGACGAGAGAACAACTATCACACTGAATAATCGTCACATTGAATCAAAACGCAAGTAATGTTGAACAAGACTGATAATGATTAACTCAATCGAATTTTGACTTTTTTTCCCGTCACATCACTATAAATTGGGCATATCCACCTAATTTCTCATTCAATACATTTGCTGTCTCTGCCAAAGAACATGCGGAAAGAGGGAAGTTCTGTGGATGCTTTTGTTGGGCTGGGAGAGAAGGATTCTGTTGGGGCGGTCTAGTGCAGGGATAATGTCGAGTGTAGTGCTCAGGTGATGTGGCCTCTAAACACTCATTCAATATAGTTCTACAATCGTTAGAGTAAATTTTAATGCACTTTAATAACTCTACTAGTTCACATACTTCCTTTAATGTTATTGAACATAAATTAGCGTCCTTTCATTCGATTCTGTTATCTATGAGATGAAGTATTAACTACATCTATATTAGCTCCACCTATAGCTTTTCCAGATATGTTGTTAGTTTGATGCCCAGATAAAGTAGAAGAGTTAGGCATAAGATCGGCAACCTTATCCTGTAGAAAACAATCTTGTTAAAATGTAGATTGCTTAAATATCACTCGATGATTCATCGTCCTCTTTATGTATATATATACTCACGTCTTATCATTAGTCTTAGCCTTGCCTTGCCTTGCTTCTGCCTTTATGCAATTTTACCATAAATGTGTCTATGAAACTGCTCGCGTATGCTTATTCACCTCTCCCCTTTAAGAACCCTCGATGTGCTTATAGTTTTGTGATCTCTAAATAAACCACTACAGTTGCTGATTCTCTTCGCCTGCAAGACTATAATTTATGGACGAACCAATCAGGTTTACGATAACCGATCTTGAGTTTTGGCGCGAAATTAATTCATTCATTTAACTAAATAGAGTTTGGGCATTCTAGTTGATGTTAGTTCATTGTGAAAACATATATCTGATTCTTAACCCTTGCTATCAACTGTAAATACTAGTTCCGATTCCTCACACACCGGTTCATAACCATCATTTAACCGTAGTATGTAGGTGGACATTCTCAAGCTCTTTCTAGTGTCACTCAAAGGTCGTCTCACCTTTTTGCGTCCTGATTTCAAACATTATTGACGTCTACATAATAACGGTTACGAGAGTGATTGATTAACAATTTAAGGCCACTACATACAAATCAGAATATTTGACACTACAAATTCTATTTTCATCTTTATTCTCAAAGTCTTTGATCTTATACAATAACTTTACTTGAATAATATGTATTATCATATATTTAAGACAGTCAATATGGAACCAAGTTTTATAGTCTATAATGAAATGAAACTATAAGATTGTATCATTATCAAGTAAAAATCCAGTTGAATTTTGTTACATTCCAATTATTCCTCATGGTATAAACCAGATCATCAGTGATTGGTAAAGCTGTTGAAAACATAATATACAATAATAATGCTGCCAAAGTATAATTTGGATAAAATAATCGATATCGTAATGTTCCAACAGTGAAATGACTGTAAAATATTATCATCTATAAAATTAAAAAGAATTAATATTATATAGTTATAATGGTTACATGAATGAAGTGAACTAACTGATGGCACTGATGACCAGAGTTTCGTATATAAATATGAAATGATTGAACAAGAAGCCTTGAAAGCAAAGATAGATAGTGGTTAATAGTGAAATCAAGGACGTTCGTTTAGTTCCTATTTGAAACTTGTCAAGTGGATGTATTTGTATTTCAGAAGTGATGTTCACTCTTTCGGTCGAACCCAGTACAGTCCAGTTCAAATGTCATCACTTTATCTACATAGTTACTGAGTGCTAAGAGCCACTTGCTTGTGCAGTGAGGTGAAGCTTCAATTCACTTGATGTTGTTTACTTGAATCTTCTAATTATTCGTTAGTACTGGGTTTGAATGCCAGAGTGAACATGCACAAATGTCAATAAGAGACTAATCAATTGTAGTCTTAAACACAATACAATGACTAATGATTCAAATCTGTCTGATGTTTTACCTCCTGAATGATCTGTCTTAAGTACCGATTGGATAGTGTGTAATTTTTGAAATCTGAATAATAAAACAGATCACATTTACTAGAAAGTAATTCTACTTTAAATAAGTGAAGTGTAAGTGTCAGTCAGTCAGTCAGCTACAACGTAGGACCAGGCACATATGTGCATCAGTCCAGGTGTAAGTGTATTCAACTTACAATAAATAGTAATATTTCTGCACATTTGAACAGAATTATCACTACCTTTACCTGTAAAGAAATTAAAAGTGAGAATAAATTAATATTTGAACAATTGGCAAACATGAATGTATAGCATAATTTATCAGTGTACTTGTTGGAGAGATCCTGAATATTCTTTGGAAAAGGCTTAGAGGAGCCCTGTCAACTCTCGAAAACAATTTGTCCAATCAACATTCCATACACATGTCTCAGAAACATCTACAAAGTGAAGAGTCATGTGTCACATTTCTGAATGAATAGTTACCTATCCTGATAATATGTTTAGTTGGGCTGCAAAACCTTCCAGAAATCCAAGGTCATCTGAACTTCTACTAATACCTTCAATTTTCTGTACACAAACTAACCTTGAAGTAAAGCGTTCTTTCTATATTCGTCGCCTTTTATTTCGTGTTCAAGTTGTGTCGTGTAGATTTAGCCTTAGGCTTATGAGAAGAGCTTATTTATTTATTATTTATTGGAACACATCAATGGTAGAGCAAAGGGGCACCAAATACATATGTGCCACACAAGTCACTTGATTCGCGTGTGGTCTGTGATACTGCTTGTGTGCTTAAGCCGAAGCAGGTGGTTTTCTTAGGGGCCACACCCGGAGCCTTTGATCTAAAGGCCCACAAATGCCCTGGTACGGCCGTGATTGGGAAGAGTCAGCTCTCTCTTTCGAAATGCTCTCTCATGGCCACGTGCATACAACCACTGCCAAGGAAGTCCTACTCACTGCTTTCTCGTGGCGTTACTGTTGTTTGCGAATTTGAGAGGTGGAAGAGCGAATGTCCGGAAGGGGGTTAAGTCGAGTTGGTGACAGGAAGAGTTCACCTAGGGCGGCTGGAAATTCTGATTCCAAACCAATGGTTCACATGGGCTGCAGTACCCGGAGGGAACAAATAGCGTATGAACCTTTTGTTGATCACCGGCTACCATGAGACTGCATCTCGTTACGATGCTCCAATACCTTGTGGATCAGACATTTGGGTAGAGGGCTCCGGGTGCGGCTGCTCAAGGGAACCACCTGTTTCGGTTTGGGAACCCGGTCAGTATCACAGCCTTCATAAAAATCAAATGAGATTTGTGTGGTGCATATGTATCTGTTGGCCCCAGAGGAGCAATGCCAAAAGATACAGTCCCGTGGTAGTCAGTGACCGACGACTGGTTCATGTGTCATTAATACCTTCAGGATCCTGAATGCCATGTTCACCATCGGTTAGGATTGAGGGTTTTCGAACTCCACTAGGTGGATCCTCCATATCCCCCAACCCGGTTGAGGTGCCAGATATTCGATTTCCGTCTTCTCAATTTCCTAAACAACACCCCCGCCGTGAGAGCTTACGAAATTGCTTCAAGCGTCTAATCAGAAGATTTATCAGTACCTAATAACCGTTGAATTTAATAATGCGTTAAAACTATTTCTGACGAGTCATCTATTTCGAAAAAAATGAACAAAATCTTTCTCTCCCATCTTAATGATCAAGTACTTAAGCATGTGATACAAAACTTCCGGTACTATTGAAGTGAAAGGAGATTTGGTAAGGATAACTAGTTTATTACTGAGTACCAATTCTAAAATATGAAAACCAGGCATTAAGTACTTCATTTGTACGTCTTCCATCAACTGTCTATTATAAACTTCATCGTTCCTTCATTCCTATTGTTATTATAATGGTGGTTGTAGGTAGTCAACAAGAAACACTGGACCCTGGAAAGTGACCACCATCCAGTTGTCAATCAATTGTAAATACATCTCACTCATCCAGAAGGTCAGTCGCGGCCCAGATAACCTACTTGTAACGTCTCTGACTTTGAAGCTGAGTGACATAGGATCGAATCTGTCAGGGAGCATCAGTTCCCTCAAGATTACAGGTACACCTTTCTGACGAGTGCCAAATAGCACGAAATCCGAGCCCAGGGTTTCCTGTTGACTAACTCCAACCACCATCTTATCTCAACAAAGTGCATACAATGTCGAGTCACTTAGACTAGTGGCCACATTGCAACTTGGTGGATAGCGTTCGATCTGCAGTCAGAAGGATCTGATATACATGACAATGAACACCACCCAATGATCAACCAAGTGTGAATGTCAGCCTTTTTAGATTTTCTTGACATAAAACTTTATTCAAGGATCTCGAAAAAAAATGTAAATCTAATAAAAGTAACTTATTAATATACATTTTGTTGAAAGAAATAGACGATAACCATAGGTGGAATGATTAAAGCTGAAATAACTGAAAGGATTATCAATAGAACTTTGAAAGAGTCCATTAAACTTGTTTCAATTGATGCCCCAATTAATAAAGCGGATGTAAAGATTGTCCAATTAATTACAAAAGCAACAAGCTGAACAGTAATAGCTACGTCGAGATTCCAAAGTCCGATCTCTGTAGCAACGCATATTGACTAAATGAAAACAAAATAAATCAATGTAATTTATTAAGGAGGTAGAATGTATTTGTAACATTTCATTGAATGAATCTGATGTAAATTCAACGTTTTGCTTAGCAATTTGATTGAAGATTATTCAAGGAAATATAATCAAAAGTATTGAATGTAAATAGTGGAGTTCAACAGTGTTAGATGTGAGACAGTTAACCACTTCAGACAATGGCAGATGATCGCGCAATATCGTGGATTGGTTGAAATTGGATGTTAATACCTCTGAAAACAGGCTCAGAAGTCTAAAATTTAGACGTTTTAGCGCGGAACCGAAGGTTCTGGGTCCTATTCCCTCGTGTGGGATCGTGAATGTGAACTGTTGGAGAGTTCCATTCTAAGACCAAAACGGCTGTCCAATGGTTCCAATTTTTCAATGGTGATTAAACAGTGGTCGGTCCATGTTATCATTCTAAACATAATAACCTCCACAACCATATAACGACAACATAAATTCATCTCATTAATGAAAATGTAATGAAAGATTATTAATCTATAAGTAAAATGATTTATAACACTTCTTACATAAATTATTGCAAGGCCGACATTCAATGGATATTTCTCATATATCTTCTTAACAAAAGCAATCAACAATGCTATTACGGAAGCTGTAAATCTACAAAACACATCAAGAATAAACACTATTATGAGGGGTTTTGCGGATATTATATTAATTTCAATGGTGAAGATCATGAGTCAGTTAGAGTTAGACCACCATGAAAACCCTGTAATCATTGGACGGCCGTTTTGTCTCAGCGTGGGTCTTCGCAGCAGAGCGCATCCATGATTCTGCCTCACGACACCCGAATCCAGGACCTACCAGACTCGCGCACGAACACTTCGCCTCTACACCACTGAGTCCGCCGGCATTCAACGGTGTTAATGCCTAACTTCAACCAATCCACGAAATTGAATGACACATCCACCATTGTTTTCAGTGAGTTACTATCTCACAAGAGAACCGGCTGAACTCTTTTGATCACTGCTTCTCACTAGGACATCAGGAAATATTTCTTGTAGACTGTTACTAGTGAGCATATGCTGATTAATATCAGAAGGGGTTTTGTGGATATCATAGTAATTTTAATAGTTAAGATAATGAGCTATGAAATTTATAAATGAAAATAAATCACATACTGTTCTTGTATATGTTGATATAATCAATAAATGATCATATTTCAGTACATTGATCAGTTCATTTGTTGAAGTATCCATCGTTATAGAATAGTTCAAGGAATAACCGTCTATTTCTGTTAGAATTCTCTATAATAAAGATAATGGTTAAATATATGTGGTTAGTTTTGGGATTATTTTGTGTGGAACAGTGGTTATGAGTATAGAATTTGAGGTGTTCTTTTAACTGGCAATTACTTTTAAATGAAATGATAGTAATAATAATAATAATTTTGAAGAATATCCTTAAACCATTATTGGAATCCTGGAAGAAATAGATGACCGTTTTGTACTAGTATGAGATTTCTCAGCTGTGCGTATCCACGACCACACATGTGGAACTTCAATCCAGAATTTACGATATCGTGCGTCAACATTTGACATTTAGACCATAGAGCCGCTATCAAACAGTGTTAATATCTGACTTCGATTGATCAATGATCTTTCCCAACTCTTCATCTATTGTCTGAGGTGGATGACTGTCTCACACCCTCCATAAGTGGATTAGACTCCAATGGTCATGGATTCTCACTAGAACACCATGAAATGTATCTTGAAACTAGTCACTAATGAGCATATGATAATTAGTGTAAGAGTCTTTTAGTAGCACTCAGAAACAATGCAAGGATGTTTGGGATGCTTTTCTCTCCCTCTAAATGCAAGTTGTTGCTTCCGGACTGGTCTAAATCAACACCTGAACTAAGGATAGGGAGTGAAGAAGTCGAACGCATCGACCACTTTACTTGGAAGTCTGGTCAGCCGAAATGAATTGGTGTCTGACGAAATCTCTGCATGGACTCAGAAATCTCATTTGGCTTTTGCCAACTTACGCAACATAGGGCGAAGACGAGATATTCGTCTCTCAATTAAGGGACGAGTATACTGTGCAACAGTTCGTTTTGTTCTTATTTTTGTCTGTGAAACATGGGCATCAAGAGCAGGATATATTCGCAAGCTACTAGTAATTGACCACAGATGTCTCATAAATATTGCTCGCATCTGCTGGGTAAGTAATAATGAGGTAAGACACTAGTTATTAAGAAATGATGGTCAATCAGTTGATGATATTGTGAATCTTCACTGACTGGGGTGGCTGGGCCACGTGTAATTTATGCCTAAACACCGATTACCACGACGCACAATGCTGACTAGTGTTGGAGATAGTTGGGAGAGATTTAGCGGAGGCCAAACCAAAACGTGGCATCAAACCTTGAAGCCACTAACTTCTAATTTGAGTCATGTCGGTATATGCAGACAACTTCGTTGGGGTCTATGTGATTATCGTAACCAATGATTGGAGACTCTTGGTGATATATGGCCTAGAATCGACCACAATGGCGTAGATGTACAAACTCTGGGGCGGATGAATATATATGTGCCCGGTCCAACGTTGTAGCTAACTGACTGAGGTTCTAGATATAACAATTTTTAATTACACTCTATTCACTAGTAAGCATGTGATAATTAAAATAAGAATGAGGTTGTATAGAGACTGTTGTGATTGTAATAACAGTTAAATTTCCGTATACATGGTCATTCAGAATTAATTGAAATGTTATATCTTTTATAGTAAATATAAATCAAAGATTGGTAAACAAGAGACTGATCAATAGCAGTCTTAAATAACAATGGGAGGATACAAGTAAAACAGAAGCAACTGAATTTAAACTTAACCCCATCGCACAAGCAGGTGACTATTAGGACTAAGTAGCTAAGCAAATAACGAGAAGGTGTTTGTATCGGACACTACTTGGTTCGAGTCCCAGAGTGAACACCAACTCAGATTCAGGTGCATCCAGGTGACGAGTCCCAAATATGACAAAACACGCGTTAAACAGGATTCCTTTACTAGTCGCTATCCATCGTTTTTTATAAAGCTTGTGACTTAAGGCAATATCAATGCAATCCTCACAGATTGCACGTATGCCAACAAGAGACTTATCAATTACAGTCCTAAAACAGTAATGAGAATATCCAAGTAAAACAACACCAACTGGATGTTATTAAATAGACTCACTTATTTGTTTATATTCAATTATCTCCTTACTATAAAATAATAAGTTCCGTTTGTTTTAAGTGATTCAATGTTCAATCACATATTTTGTTTTAATAATCTCATAGTGTAAAGATCATTTATTTATTACTAACCAATATGTAATGAATACTGAGTTGTCTAAAAGAACTTTACTATCAATACAGTAATAATAAAAGAAGTCTTGATTAGACTGACTAAGGTGTATTCATTATTCGTAACAAGTTTGATATGTAATTTAATGGTTGAATTTGTGAGACAATTGAAGCCAGATCATCAGGGAAAACCCAAAAGCACTAGATTATCGTTAAGTCCTAGTGTGGGATTCCTCCTTGGCAATGAGCATCTACGATTCTGCCTCGCGAGATTCGAACACAGGACGTATCAGTTTCGAACACCGGAATTCAACGGTGTTAATATTTAACTCCAACTAATCCACGAAATTGAACGACACATCCACCTTTCGCTTCAGTGAGTTACTATCTCACAACAGACCTGGTTGAACTCCACTGGTCACAACCTTTCACTAGGATTTCAGGAAATACCTATTGGAGACTGACGCATTATCGTGGATGTGCACGGCTCGGGAGTCCCATACTAGATGGAAACGGCCGTTCAGTGGTTCCAGGTTTTCCATGGTGTTCTAGCTTCAATCGACTCATAAATTTAAGTATTAAAATACTAATATGAACAAATAATTGAAGTTTTAGTTTTTATTAGTAAACAGCTATATTCTACATGAATATATTATTTTTTGAACTAAGGCAGCAATGAAGTAGATTGTATTAAATACACTTGATAGTGATGTTTACTTGAATCTTCTCATTGATGTATCGGACTGTGATGGATCAGTTTCTCTCTTATTGGCATGTGTATATCCTGTACGATTTACCCCTATATTGCCTTAAGTTACGGGGATTATGAGTAAAGATGGATAGTAGCTAGTGGTAGAACCCAGGACATGCTTTTCATCCTATTTGAGACTCGTCGACCGGATGTTCTTAAATCTTAGAGTTGATGTTCGCTCTGGGACTCAAATATGTGTAAGATCCGTTTTGAATATTTGGTGTGTGTGTGAAAATCCCTCAATGTATATAGTTGCACTTTGTTCCTATTGATCCCCTTAGTTGTACATTGTTAGTTTTTTGATTACATTTGAATTGTTAATATTTGTATTTTTTTTATCATAGTTTTTATTTCTATTACGCCTTCACTAAGTTTTCATGTTTGTTCCCGAACTGCATCGATGTTGTTTTACTTGACATTTGTTAATGGCGGCAGCCATATTGATTTGCTCCTCCTTTTGTGTGTGTTCTATCCAGTCAAGATAGAATAGCGTTCATTTATTGTGGCTGGTAATTTTTCCGCATCTTTTATCAACTTCTTTATTTATTTTTATTTAGATTTGATTGATTGAACAATTATTGGTTGAATAGCCGGGTGGTTATATTTGTTTAGGTAACGATTTACATTTAAATTTATGAATTATTGAACCACTATTTACTCGATTACTTGTTTTGATATTGACGGGCAAGGGCGCGTGTCTAACGTACCTAGAAGGCTATTCAGCAGTCCAAACCGTGGTTTGGATTCTACAATCTACTACCGTTCACTTCAAACGCCATCGCATTATCCTATTACACACTGAGTCCTGATAGTCACTGGCTAGTACAACGAGGTGAAATTTAGATTCACTTGTCACTGTTTACTTGAATCTTTCCATTGTTATTTGGGACTGTAATTGCTTCGTTTCTCTATTATTGGCATATATGCATATTGTGCGCAACATTAACTCTGTGATGCAGGTAAGTTCAGTGTACAAACAGAAAAAATACTTCGACATCATGTGCCCTAAAACGTTCTTTTCATCTAATTATGGTACATTTATGAATAAAACATTTGCTGAACTTCAGTGTACTTAAAGAAGGTCAGCAGGATCAATATGTCAAACTATCGATCAAATATAACAAGCGGTTATTACATGCAAACTATAAATGAGACCACAATACTGAGGTACTGAGAGAGAAATCATTGCACAAATGTTCTCGTGACATCATCACACGTTCCACAAACATGAGCTACTAACTATGTATACAGATTTTTAAGGTCTAACAAATGACTGACTTTATCCCTGAGCACTCTGAGCACTTACACTTCATGTACTAAATCATTCTATGAAATGTCACATCTCAGTTTGTGGCACTTGCGAATTGTCCAATGATCATATCGTAATTCAATCATGAAACTGCACTTTATGTAACCTGTTGTAAACATCTCATATATGTCAAATCATCTTAGTAGTGAAATAAACACTTAGAATTTCTGATATAGTGTCTGTATGAAATAGAAATCTTCTGTCAGGATTACACCAAAATGTGGTTAACGATTATTTTTGGAATAAACTTTTATTTCAGAGCTCAAACAGAAGCTTATAAGCTGTCGGTAATAGCAAAACGTCTACAAGTGTGCGTATTGGACAGTTCTAATTAGTAACACATGAGACAACAACTCTATTACTTCTACTTGACACAGACTTCTGTTGTGCGAATACATCAACGGTAAAACACGGCATCACCTTTCGTATAAACACTGAATTTCTGCTTCTGTCTTTGTCAGTGAAGCATAATTCACTGGTTATTGTAGTACAATACACCAACAGAACTTTCCTGAACTGACCTAAGATTTCATTGACGTACATATGATTATTGGTTTTAAATATAGTGAGACTGTACATGGCATGAATTTGACTCTCTTTAAGTTTGAAACCATCGTAGAAATTTGATCCTAATCTTTTTAATATTACTATGTAATGTACTCATGCTACAATTACGTTCTTTAATGGTACTGGGAAGAATGTTTGCATCTTATGCCATTTGTTTGAACAAGAAGTGGAAAAACATTCACAGAGCATTGTGTAATATCTGCATATTCCGTGTAATCTCAACTGTTGGTGTTTAGTTTGTTCATTGTAACAAATACCTATATGTACTACAGGATGAGATACGACATGGTAGACGAGGATTTTGAAAAGAATAGACTTCATAAAATGTCACTCGACGCAATCCCAGTGTCTGGATATTGTTCGAAATGTTATAAGGGATAAATACAAAGATGATGGACGACGATGACGACTTAGAATCAAGTGGGATATCAGACAATACGATCGTCAGTATTCGCAAACATCGTGTGTTGGTTCTGTTATGTAGTACTATGGTTTACTATTATCGTTAATAACAGAGGATAGGTATGATTATTCTGTACCCTTTTATTCTTCTTATACTTGATCTACATAATTTACGTGAATTTCATTAAGTTAGGAGTTCAAAAGGAAACGTGTTATTTGAATGACTAAACTTATTATGAAACAATTCTTTCCATAGATTCCCTTAGTTTTGTTTAACTTGTATATTCTCATTATTGTTTTAGGACTGTAATTGATCAGTCTCTTGTTGGACTATGTGCATCCTGTGCGGATCGTCTCGATATAGCCTTAAGTCACAAGCTACTTGAGCAAGACTGAATGGTGGCTAGTAGTGGAATCCGGTCTGACGCGTGTTTCGTCCCACTTGATACTGTTCGGCTAGATGTACCTGCATCTTAGAGTTGGTATTCACTCCTTAACTCGAATCAGTACGTATAAATATGCAAACAAAACAACACCAATTGAATTTAAACTTCACCTGATCGCACAAGCAATTGGCTATCAGCACTCACTAGCTAAGTGGTTAACGCAATGGAGTTTGAAAAGAACGGTACTGGTATTCGAGTCACAGAATGAACATCAACTCTGGGATTGAGATACATTTAGTGGATGAGTCCCAGATCGGAGAAAATACGCGTCAACCTGAGTTTCACTACTAGCCAATAACTACGCTTAAATTTTTTTTTAAATTTCGCAACAAGCAGTAACTACAGAACATGCAACGTAAGTGGCATGCTCAAGGTGAAACATTTATTCATCATATGTCACTTTCGATTGTATTTATCAAATTATATGTAAAGAAAGTAGAAACATGTATATCATAAGAACAGCTAGATGGGCTTTATACTCATATTAATGAATGTACTGTTATAACTCATGGATTCGTGCTTCCATTAATATATAACGTCATGAAACCGTCAATTAAAGAATAGTGATTTATCGACCGTACCAATGACGCATAAACCGGTACGAGCAGTCTAGAGTACTTATCGGTCCTGCTTCCTGCCTACTACTGCCTGTCTGTTAATTTCAGAACACAAATCTCAACCTTCGTGATATAAATCATGTAGCTCAAAAATACAGAGTTTATACACAAACCAAACAGACCACATCGTGTCATAAGATAGGAAACAGCATTCGTACAAGATTTAGCCAAAAGTGGCTGTGAATGTGGTAGACTGTAATAAATTGACAGGGCATAACTCGAGAATGGTAAATGGTACAATAATAAATCATAGGTCAAAATAAAGCTTATAATAATGACTCTCACATTGTATGATAGTAACAACTACCTAAATTAATGGTTGCTTTGGTTTTCAGAACAAGCATCAGCCCCTTGAATTCCGAAATAATTCGGCTTTCATCATGAGACATCATAACTCTTCTAAATAAAGATTTTCTAACTCCCAGGGCAGAGTTTAAATGGTTTGAATTATTTTTTCTGATTGGCGTTTTTTAGCGATTTAGTTTCCTACAGGATGTGGTCGCTAACTCCATACCCAACCCTCTTCCTTTATCCGGACTTCGGACCGGCAGTAGCTCTAGAGGGGCTCCAGAAGAATTCATAATAAGAGGAACATGAATATACATAATCTAGTCACCCAACAATTATACAATAAAAATGTATGTATTTTATTGATCCATAAATGGATCCCAACAGTTACTATCCACTTTTCTCATCAGGATATAACATTTACCTTTGGCAACAATGAATTGACAAACTATGACCAATAAACAGTTTAACGCTTGTTACTTGTTGATCGTAACAAAAACATTTATGAACTCTGAACAAAGATCAAGTTCAACATTTCCATTAAGTAGAATATTCATTATTTATAATTGGAAATTTTTAAAGCTCAAAGGTACTTTTCTATGTTCTGTATCTGAGTAATATGACTGTGAACCTCTTAGTTACATCTGATCTCTTTTGAAATATAGACAATTGATTATTCTTTTTTACCACATGACACCTTTTACCCATCGTAGAGGAGAATAGGCCGCTCAACAGCATTCTCCATCTAGTTTCGTCCCAAGCAATTCTTTCTTGTTGTTTGCAGTTACTATTCATCCTTTTCATGTCTGATTCTGATTACCTAACCTGGTGTGTACTGCGGCCTTACTATTCGCATTTTCCCTTAAGCATTGCAAGTTAGTGCTTGCCTCGTGATTCAGTTTGATGATTTCCAAAATGTGTATCCTATCCACTTTCAACGTGTTTTCTTAATTTCCTCTTCAGTTGGTAGCTGATTTGTTCCCCCCCACAGCAGGCAGTTGTTGCTGGTAGTATCCGGTCAACGGATATTGAGTATCTTGTGTAGACAATTGTTTTGAATACTTGTATTTTTTACGATGGTTGTGGTAGTTCTCGAAGTTTTAGCTCCATACGGTAGAACTATCTTAGCGTCCGTATTCTCACTTTGATGTTGGCTTGTGAACAGTCATTTTGGATACCATATATTCTTCAACTGTGGAAATGCTGCTATTGTTTTGCTAATTCTTGCCTTTATATCTGCATTACATCCTTCACGTTTGCCGACGATGCTGCCGAAATACATAAATGTGATTACGTTGGTGTTCTCCGTGCTGTATTTTGGGATCTTGCTATTTTTCTTGTGTATGTTGATGCCCATTGATACAGGAACTGTTGCTATACTAGTTGTCTTTATCGGCATCTGTTGATGTGTATGGGATAGAGAGGCCAGGTCATCTACGAAATCCAAATCTTCTAATCGGTTCGGAGTTGACCATTGTATTCCATGCCTTCCTCTTACATATCGAGGTTATCATAATTTAGTCGAACACCAGAAAAAAGAGAAAGATGAAGAGTGAACAGCTCTGTCTGACTCCGCTTGTTACTTGAAAAATATCTATTCCAAGTAATTAATCTGTGATTAAATACGTTTTAATGTTATTCCTATAATGTTATAGCTCAGCTACAATCAGGCGTAATTTCTTGAAACTACACAAGTTTATAATGTAGTCATTTACTAGTGACTGACTTTCATTTCTGGATTTCTAGTAGGAACTTGTTCCCGAATTCCCTGGCACGGCTGAGGGTGTAGAGAGTCAGCTCACCTTCTCACAGCCTCTGTCAGAGAATTTATACTCTCTGCCTTCTCGTGGCAGGGGTGTTATTTACGAAATTGAGAGGATGAAACGCGAATATCCGGCGATCTACCCGAGTTAGTGAACACGGAGAGTCTAGCTAGGGAGGTTGAAAAATTCTCATTCCAAAATTCTAAGCAAACGAGTGTTGTATGAATTAATCGCCTCGTAGATTAGATCTTTAGGTCGAAAACCCCAGGTGTTTCCCCCCAAGAAAAATACTTGCTACGGTCTGGAAAGTTAGACAGTATCGCAGTCTACACACAAATCAACTGATTTGTGTGACGCCTGTGTATTTGGTTCGCCATTGTACCAATATTTATGTGTTGAAATAAATAAATAAGTGAAAACATGTGGACAGTGGAATTCAACCATGTTTGTTTTCAAGGCAGGTACTCACTGACGACAATAGTGAACGGTCGTGTAATATCGTGGATTATTGAAGTTAAACATTAACACCGTTGTATACCATCTCGATGATCTACAGTTTAAGAGTCTGCCTACGAGTCCGAACGTCCTAGGTTCGAGCTCCACATGCGAGATTATGTATATGTATACTACTCCGAGTCACATACTACTTTAATTTGATGCTAAACATTTACAATCACAACTGAAACCGTGAAACAATTTGCAAGAAATTTTTAACTCCCAAATCAATTTCATTTATCTAAAAGTTTATCAAAAAGAAAGTTCAATGTAACAATGTAACCAACAAACTGACGAATAGTTTCTCTTTTTTTTTCTCAATGTTTTTCTCTTTTTTTGTTTTTTGTTTTTTCTTATCGATTTAAAATGGAAAATTAAATAGTAGTCGAGAGCAAATATTAATTATATCAATCATAGTTGCTAAGGTATTAAAGAATACAGTATATAATAATATAGATGCTAATGAATAATTAGGATAAAAGATAAGACATCTTAATTTGCCAATAGTTATATAACTGATAAATATTGTAATCTGTAAAATAAAAGAAACATGGATCAGTATGAAGATGATAGTAATTTGGATAGTTGAATTGACGAGTTGATTTGAATTAGATGTATCATTGAAATTCTAAAACCAGTAGATGGTCGTTTCATCATAATATTGAAATCTTCAACTGTACACATTTATGATTGTGTTGGGTCAGTTGACTAGAGTTTAAGCATTCACATGTAAGATTGAAGTTCGTGGGTTCGAGTTCCATGTTTTGGATTATGAATGGGTACTACTGAAGAGTATCATAATAGGGTGAAATGGCTATTTATTGCGTTCATGTTTTCAATGGTGATCTAGTTTAGATTCATCCAAGAATTTAACTGTTTTAAACACTAATAAGTCTAGATTTCTTATTTTTATAATGGATGCATAAAAAGACGAGTCTACTGAAATTCCTTTTTAGTAAACGTGATTCGATGATACTTCTTGTGTAATTTTATGAAGGAAATGTTACCGGAAATGAAATTAATAGAGTTTCTCAACTGAAGTTATGAGTAAAGTTTACTTCGTATTGTTTACTTGAATTCTTCCGTTGATGTTGATCTCTCTCTCTCTCTTATTAACATATGTCCATTGTGTGAAGAGTGCCTCGATATTGTCTTAGGTCACATGCATTATAAGCAAAGATGGATAGTGATTAGTAATGGAACCCAGGACTCTCGTTTTTGTTCCATTTGGGACTCGTCAACTGCATGTACCTGAATCTCCAAGTTGATGTTCATTCTGTGACTCGAACCCAGTAGTATTCACTTCAAAGATCATCGTGTTATCAACTTAGCTACAGAGTCATGATTGCCAGTTGCTTGTGAAATAGGTTGAAGTTTGAATTCTTTTGATAGTGTTTACTTGGATCTTTCCATTGATGTTTACGGCTACAGTTGACCAGACTCTAATCGACATATGTAAATCTATGGGAAGATCAAGTAAACAATACCAGATGAATTTAAACTTTACCCCATTGCACAAGCAACTTGTTGGGTCGTCTTCCGGAGAACTTCAACGGAGCCTCCAGAGGCCCAGAAAGGAGCCGAAGGGCCCTAGCCAATCAGAGTATAATGGAACGTTCGAGAATTCCAGCGTAGCGTGCTACCATTGGTCGGTAGCATAATATGACGTTAACGGATTGGCTAAATATGATGTTTATTGAACAGACGCCAACATCTATAAATACCCTTGATTTTCTGTACTAGAATGAACCTTGGGATAAAGTGTTTTCTCTCATGCTTGTGTCTTCTTTCTGGAGTTCAAGTCGCTGTGTAGTTCTAGTTTGCAGGTTACGGGAATAGCTTAGGATTCGTATATAAAGTTCAACCTACACGACTTACCACAACTGGCTATCAGAACTCAGTAGCTAAGTAGAAAACGTGATGGTGTTTGAAACGAATGGTACTGGTATTCGAGTCACAGAATGAACATCAATTCTGAGATTCAGGTACATCTAGTTGATGGGTCTCAAATATGACAAAACGCGCACCAAACTGTATTCCACTGCTAGCCACTATCCATCTTGGTTTATGAAATTACAAGTATTCGTTTATCTAAAGATTTGAATGTATTACATTATTAAATTTGGATATAGTAATAGATATTATGATTTTTCAACAGTCAGATGATTGAACAATATCACTATGTGTAAAATACGTTACAAGGTCCACAGCCTAAGGCTTGTACGAAGACAGTACATCGAAACACTTTTTTTAATTCAAATAATAGATATTTTATCCTCAAAACTCATACTTAAGATATTTTTACTGTATGGAGCTGAAACGAAGAGAACTACCACAGCCATTATCAAAAAAGTACGAATATTTATAAACGATAGTCTAGACTAAATACTCAATATCCGTTGGCCGAATACCATCAGCAAAAGCCGCGTACTTTCGGAGAAGACAAACTAACTTCCAGCTGAAGATGAAATTAACAAAAAGATGTTGGAAGTGGATAGGACGTACATTTCGGAAATCATCAAACTGAATCACAAAACAAAGCTTAGTTGGAAAAGTAAGAGAGGTAAACGAAGGTACACATTGCGTTGGAAATTGTAAGTAGACATGAAATGGATGAATAACAACCGGAAAGAACTGTAAAGAATTGTCTATGACAGAGTTGACATATATATATGGAATACATTTCATTACTTTTCCTCGAAATTTCTACAGCAATATACACACTTTTGAATGTCAGTAACGCTGTGGATAATAACTTTTGCATTGTTCTGTAATTTTACCAATTTTTAAATTTATCATTGTAGAGTTACAGAGTTTATCGAGCTATAATTGATATCACGAATCAATCGACGTTCGGCCACCATTGAAAACCTGGAAGCACTAGACGGTAGTCTCGTCATGGCATGGGACTTCTCAGAAGTGCGCATCCACGATCCCGTATGCGGGACTCAAACTAAGTGTCTACAACCTCGCGGGCGAAGACTTATTCTCTAGGCCATTCAGCTGGCATCCATCTACGTTTAATTTCAACCAACCCATCAAATTGCGCGACCGTCTTCGATTTTTTTTCGGCGAGTAACTGCGTCAAATTCGATACGGCTGAACTACATTGGTCATAGTTTCTCACTAGAACTCCAAGAATCACCTCTCGAAGATAGTTGGAAGTGAGCACATGATAATTATCAATATTTGATTGTAGAGATTTTGATACAGTGCTTACAGGTTTTCAATGGTGGTCTAACATGGATGGGTCCATAAAAAACGTAATTACTTAGCAACATGGCAATTCGAACTGATATACGTAGGTACAAAGTTCGACGTCATTACTGACTGACATATACAATTTACATGCACTACAGAAATACGAAAGATGAATAGATTATGTTTCCTATAAGCCAATTATTACATAACTATATAAACTATAAATAAATGTAACTTACAATGAATGAAAATGTTACTGCAGCTATATAGAAAACCAGAGCTATTACCTACAAAACAAAATTAAACTATTAGCGAAATTTACATTAGACTAATTAACAAATTTTCAATGTTGAGTTGACGAGTTGATCTTAGCTAGACTACCATTTGAAAACCTGGGATTACTGGACCGACGTTTCATCTCAGTATGGGATTACTCAACATTATACAAGGAAAATCCGCATGTGAGATTCGAAGAACTGACTAGTGATTTAGTGTTTAAATACATTCAATTGTCACCAATGATGCTCTCGTCCATTACAGAACTACAGAAATGTTCGAAAATGTTTTTAAATAATCAACATTTCTAATATATAGCTGGAATATCTACAAGTTAATTCAAACACATACTTCCTGTGTTTATTCGTTCAAGTAATAATTTGATGCACGAAGTATACTTACTCATTTACTGACTTACTTACACCTGTTACTCCTCGTGGAGTAACACAACTCCACTTGTAGCTCTTCCAGAGTTAATTCCGGTCTCAAGCCCGGATAAAGAAAGTGGCTTGAGTATGGGATCGGGAGCCCCATCCCATTGAAAACATGTTGCAGGAAGTATGGTTAATTAAATATTCCTAACATACGATTGTACTCACAGTTTGATTGCTAAAGTTCATTGAAGTTTAGTAATCGGTTATGAATTAACTGACTAATGGTATATGTTTTAATAGTCCCATTGAATCAATCAATGATCATAAACATTGTGAGACTACTCAGCAGTGCGCATTCAAGATCCTGCATCGCACGATTCGAACCCAGAACCCACTAGATTATTAAATCAGCCGGCATACAGTGGTGTTAATGTTTAACTTCAAACAATCCACGTAATTGAGCGATACATCCACCATTGTCTCCAGTGAGTCCAGTGCTTCCACGTTTTCCATGGTGGCCTAGCTCATGATCTCAATCCTTAAACTTAGTATAATATCCACAAAAACCTCGGCGAGACTGTAATTTATGGGCGAGGTAATCAGAAGTGTTCGAGAGATTTCAAAGTCACGGCGCTAAATTCAGTGCTTAATGCTAACATACTATCAGTTTACAAGGAATTTTGTGGAAAACGTTATAAATGAGGGGCTGTATCAAACAAAACAGCTAGACTATAATTTCTGGACAAATCAATCAGGTATAGGAAAACAGATCTCGGAATTTCGCGCAAAAGTCTTCCATGCATTTGGCTAAACAGGTTTCTAACATTATGGCTGGTGTCAGTTTGTGATGAAAAACCTTTATATATAATTACTAACTGAGGCAAATTATGACAATTATTGAGAACTGGATAATAAAGACACCAGGAACACTGGATGCGGCCAGGTAGCACAATACATGTGGATGATTGAAGAGCATACAGACTCCTACATATGCTTAGTTACGTGCATCGTGTCGTCATCCACAAGTGGCGTTTTGTGTAGCCAACAATCGGAGTTCACACAAACAATATTGAAGCTGTGCGGCCGAGGTTGATAGACTTTTTGGGACTTTATTATGGCTCCAGAGGCCGAATGTTATGGAGCTATATGGATGATTCCCTCTACTGCATGCATTACGATTTTAGAACCTCTGAACACTTTCCCAACCACGTATAAAAAGTGTATCCACTTTATTTCTTTGGTTTTGTATAATATATTTTACTCTATAATTTCTGTTTGCTGATTGGCTAATATTTGTCAAGACCACTTAAGATTCGTTCAAAGTTCGTTCACAGATCATAGTCTCGCTAAAAACTCTTCTGATATGGATTATGAATGTGTTCAATTTTTCGTTTAAAAGAAAACTAGATTCAACCACAAATACGTAATTTATGCATCGAATAATTAGGATACCTTGATTCCTGAAAAGACCAATGCAATTGCAGCTATTATAAACGTAATAAATATCGATGTAATAGATATTAGAATACTTTTTATTTGGTCCGCCAAATTTGTTTTAATCGCTGCACCAATCAACACTGCACATATGAATAACACCGAAGTAATTCCAAAAGCTGCAATTTTTAGAAGAACATATAATTGCATATACCAAATTCCTAATGCTAACGCCATACAACCAGACTGTAAATGAGAATGAATATTATGGTGTAGACGAAATATGTTCATTCATATATGCTGCGGAACACTTTGTTAGGAATAAGAGTACAGTTTATAAATAGGAATAGACAATATTTAAGAAAAGATGTATAGTGGCTAGTACTGTAATCTAGGACGCGCGTTTTGTTCTATTCAGGACTGGTCATCTGGACGTACCTCCATCTCAGAGTTGATGTTCACCCCGAGACTTAAACTCAGTATCGTTTGCTTCAAACATTATCGCGTTATCCACTTATCTGCTGAGTCCTGAAAGTCAGTTGCTTGTACAATGAGGTGAAGTTTTAATTCACTTGTTATAGTTTTACTTGAATCTTCCAGTTGCTATTTAAGACCTTAATTGATCATAATCTCTCTTATTGGTAACCCGCCTGTAGCTCTTCTAGAGTTACTGCCGGTTCCAAGCCCGGGTAAAGGAGGAGGGTTGGGAATGGGGTTAGCGTCCCCGTTCCGTAAAAAACTAACTCGCTAAAAAACGCTTACCGGAAAAAATAATTCAAACCATTTTAACTCTGCTCTGGGAGTTAGAAGGTCTTCATTTGGAAGAATTATGACGTTTCATGGTGAAACCCGAGTTCCTTCGGAAGCCACGAGGCCGATGCATGTTCTAACAACCAGAGTAACAATTTTTATAAGTACATGGAACGTCTGAACAATGTGAGAGACCGGGAAGATCAGTCAAATAGCAACAGAAATGAGGAGATACAACTTGGCAGTACTGGGAATCAGCGAAACTCACTGGACTCAAGCTGGACAGAAAAGGCTAGCTACGGGAGAGATTCTGCTATACTCCGGTCACGAAGAGGACAATGCTCCACACACTCAGAGAGTCGCTCTTATGCTGTTCAAAGTGGCACGAAATGCACTTGTAGGTTGCGAGTCTCACGGATCCAGAATCATCAAAGCATCATTCAAAACAAAGAAGGATGGGATCTTAATGAATATTATCCAATGTTATGCACCCATCAATGACAGCGACGACAACATTAAAGACCAATTCTATGAGAGGTTGCAATCAATCATAGAGAAGTTCCTAAGAAAGGACCTCATCATTCTGATGGGAGATCTAAACGTCAAAGTCGGAATAAAGAACACCGAATATGAAGATATCATGGAACGACATGGACTGGGAGAGAGTAACGAAAATGGGGAACGATTTGCAAATCTGTGTGTATTCAACAAATTAGTCATAGTAGGCACAAACGTATACACAAATCTACATGGATTTCATCGAATCACACCACAGAGAATCAGATAGATCATACTCGCATCAATTGAAAGTTACGAAGGACAATAGAAGATGTGAGAACCAGGAGAGGAGGTGACATAGCTTCAGATCACCACCTAGTTGTGGTCAATTTAAAACGGAAGCTAATGAACAACTGGACAACTGGACAACCGGAACTACAAAAGTTCGACACAGCCTTCCTTCGAGATACTGACAAACTACAATGGAGGGCAACTGGAAAGGGATCAAAGAAGCATTAACTTCAGCGTGTCAAGAGGTTCTGGGCCTCAAGAAGCATCATCATAAGGAATGGATCTCTATGGAAACACTGGACAAAACCAAAGAAAGAAAGAACAAGAAGACAGCAATTAACAACAGCCGAACAGGAGTAGATAAAGTTCAAGCACAAGCTGAGTAAATAGAAGCAAACAAACTAGTGAAGAGGAGCATTAGAGTTGACAAGATGAAGTTCGTGGAAGAGCCAGCAAGGACGGCGGGAGAGGCTGAAAGAGAAGAAAGTATGAAACAGCTTTACGATACAACGAAGAAACTAGCAGGGAAATACAGTAAACCAGAGAGGCCGGTCAAAGACAAAGAAGGCAAGCCAATCACTGAAATTCAACAACAGAAGAACAGATGGGTAGAATACTTCGAGGAACTCCTGAATAGGCCGGCTCCAATGAATCTACCGAACATCGCAGCAGCACACACAGATCTTCCTAAAGATGTCAATCCACCAACGACGGAAGAAATTAGAATGGCCGTCAGACAAATCAAGCACGGGAAAGCAGCAGGACACAACAACATACCAGCTGAAGCACTGAAGTCAGACGTCGAATTAACTACAAACATGCCTCACCTTCTATTCATAAAGATTTGAGAGGAAGAACGAGTGCCGATGGACTGGAAAGAAGGACACCTCATCAAGATCCCAAAGAAAGGAGATCTGAGCAAATGCGAAAACTACAGAGGCATCACACTACTGTCAGTATCAGGGAAATTATTTAACAGAGTGTTGCTGAACCGGATGAAAGATGCAAGAGACGCCCAACTTCGAGAAAACAAGCTGGATTCCGTAAGGATCGATCGTGCACAGACCAAATTGCAACACTACAAATCATCGTCGAACAATCAGTTGAGTGGAACTCGTCACTATACATCAACTTCATTGATTATTAAAAGGCATTTGACAGTGTAGATAGGAGGACGTTATGGAAACTTCTTTGACACTACGGAGTTCCTGAGAAGATTGTCAACATTTTCCGGAACACATACGACGGACTACAGTGCAAAGTAGTGTACGGAGGACAGCTGACAGATGTATCCCAAGACCTCGACATCTGAGGGAAAACAGGGCATAAAACGGACAGCTCAGAACCATTTAGACAATATGGACTTTTCAGATGACCTACCTCTTCTATCGCATACATACAAACAGATGCAGATAAAGGCAGCCAGTGTAGCAGCAGTCTCTGCATCAGTAGGCCTCAGCATACACAAAGAGAAAACCAAGGTCCTCAAATTCAAAGCATAGAACAGCAATCAAATCACTCTTGATGGCGAAACTCTGGAAGATGTCGAATCCTTCACATACCTGGGAAGCATCATCGATGAACAAGGAGGTTCAGATGCAGACGTAAAGGCGAGGATTGGCAAAGCAAGAGCCGCATTCGTACAATTGAAGAACATATTGAATTCAAAACAACTTCTAACTAATATCAATGTCAGAATCTTCAATACGAACGTCAAGGTAGTTCTACTGTACGGAGCTGAAACTTGGAGAACTACAACGACCACCATGAAGAAGGTACAAGTATTTATAAATAGCTGTCTACGCAAGATGCCCAACACCCAATGGCCGGATACCATCAGCAACCGCCTTTTGTGGGAGAGAACAAATCAGCTTCCAGATGAAGAAGAAATTAGGAAAAGACGATGGAAACGGATAGGACATACATTACGCAAATCATCGAACTGCATCATGAGACAAGCCCTAACTTGGTATCCTGAAGGGAAGCGGAAAAGAGGAAGGCCAAAGAACACATTACGTCGGATAATAGGAGCATATATGAAAAGGATGAATAACAACTGGAAGGAGCTGGAGAGGATTGCCCAGGACAGGGTTGAATGGAGAATGCTGGTGAGCGGCCTATTCTCCTTCACGAAGAGTAACAGGCGTAAGTAAGTAAGTAAGTCTCTTATTGGTAAATGTGCATACTCTGAGATACAGGTCGACTTGGATGAATTCTATAAACGAGCTTATAATTATTGTGTTAATCATTCGAGCGATCAAGATCGAATATTTGTTCAATGGTAGAAACCCTTAGTTTCTTTCCTACCACCTTTGTAGAACAATAATTTAGTAAACTGTCAAATCACCGCTGTAAATAATCTCTAGTTATGACCTGTTTATCTTGTTACACAACATCTGATGAATTGGTAGATTTATGTAGATGTGCTTTGACGATAAAGCTTAACATTCACAGACTTTTGATTATGATCACGAATAAGTAAATGTTGGACCCATATTGAGAAACTAGATGGCCATTTCATCTTAGTATGAGACTCCTCAATAGTGAACATCCGTGATCCCGCATGTTGGATTCGAAACAAGGATCTTCGATCTCTCTCGTAAACGTGAGGTTTTCAACGGTGATCAAACATTGATTCATTCATGATCTCAATCAAAACTCAACAGTCTCCACGACCATATACTAATAATTTACAGATTAGCTTCGTGAAATATGGTTCGAACAACTGTTGATAACAGATTTTTAAGTACATTAGATGACTTGTTAGCTTTAAATTACACATTCTTAAAAAAGAGTACTTCCTACAACTAAAATGAAGTAACAAGCAAGCATTATTTTGTCATTCGATTCCATAAAATCCAAGTAAAGAGGTTGTTTAACTGGTCGTTTCATTGTTCACTTTCAATAAATCGAACTCATTACACATCCATTACTCATTCTTATCGCACCAACATAAAAAAATCCGACAGAATGACACAATTTTGTTTACACTGACATCCACAGATGGATTTCAACTAATGAAATGATGCAGCATCTCATATCCTGATCATATTTTAAAGAAAAACAGATTGATAACAAAACTGGACCAACTACCTTTCATCGCAGAAACGGAACCCATCGACTAGAATCGGAGGAAACCAACATCTGATTACGACTCTGCCCTTGCTCTCTCTCTCTCCCTGTAGGCTTTCATGTACATGCGAATTTTAACATAGCAATAGTTATTTGAAAGGGTTCAGTCAGGAAGCTGTCATTTATATCATTAAACATCGTAATATGGATCAATATGTAGCAAATAGTTTGAGTAAATGGTTGGTTATTGTTTTACACGAGATTACTATTACTACTACTACAACTACTATTATACAACTGTTACTACTACCATGCTACTTCGACTACTACCACTATACTACTACTTCTACTATGACTATTACTACTACTATTATTATTACTACTACTACTACTACTACTACTACTACTACTACTACTACTACTACTACTACTACTACTACTACTACTACTACTACTACTAGACTGTAGTTGTCTTCATTTTACGTGTTATCAACTAAAGACTTCAAACCGTCGCGTGAACATTGAATTTTCTGCAAAACTGGTGTTCTCATCGACTTACTTTAAATTAATTTTTCTTGTATTATGTAGGTGAACCTGAATAAATGTTCATTTATTATGAAAAAGAAAAGATTCTTAGCAATTCTTACATAAGCAATAGCAAGAGTGACATTCTCTGGAAATGTCTCATTTATTTTCTTTACAAAACAAATTAATAGTGCGATCACAAGTGCGATCAACCTACAAAATAGAACAGAAATAAAGAAAAGTGATATATATGATGAGAAAAGGGTTTTTATAGATATTACAGTAATTTATTCCTTGAATTCATAAGTCGATTGAAGCTAGATCGCCATGGAAATACATGGAAGTAATGGACGGTCGTTTCAATTCAGTGTAGGACTCCTCGGTAGGGCGCATTCAAGATCACACCTCTCAAGATCCGAACTAACGACCTATCGGTCTTGCACGTGAACGCTTAACCTATAGACCATTGAACCGGCCGGCATCCAACGATGATAATGTCTAACTTCAACTAATCCACAAAATTGCACCACTGTTCACCATTGTCTTCAGCGATTTGCTATCTCACCCTATAGATCCTGGGTTTGAATCTTGCGAGTTGGGATCATGGATGCGCACTGCTGAGAATTTTCACACTAGGTCAAAACGGTCGTCCAGTGCCTCAAATGACTCATTATCTCAACCACTGAAATGACCATAATATCCACAAAATAGTCCTTCTGATATTAATCTTTCTTTTTGTTATACAACTGGCCATTCATTATTAGTATAAGTAGATTCTAAGCAGGTCGTACAACTATGAAGTTACAAATTTATTGTAAATAATAAGAAAAGATTAGCAGTTTGATGTAAAGAGTACACAATGGTTTTCATTCATAGAATGGAATGTAGTACTTATGACTACTGGACACAATCCGATCTTAATGGTGAGACTATAATTTATGCATGAATCAATCAGACGTAAGATAACACGTTTTGGATTTTGACGCGAAATTCATTCATCTATCTGACCAAATAGAGTTTCGGTATTATAACTGATATCAGTTCGTAACGAAAACCCTAAATTTAATTCAATATATTGGTTTATAACTTACATTCATTCCTAGTTATTAGATGGATAGTCTCAAGATCCTTTACGTATATGGGTAACATCATTGATGAACATGGTGGATCTGATGCAAATGTGAAGTCGCGGATCGGCAAGGCAAGAGCAGCATACCTACAACTGAAGAACATCTCGAACTCAATATAACATTAAGATAGTTCTACTGTATGGGGTTGAAACTTGGAGAACGACGAAAGTCCCTACAAAACACTTCGGATCCGTTTGCCAGACACTATTAGCAACAACTTAATGTGGGAGAGAACAAACTGGATTCTGGCGAAGGAAGAAATCAGCAAGAAGTGCTAGAAGTGGATAGGATCCTCATTGAGGAAGGCACCCAAATGCATCGCAAGACCAGCTCTCACGTGGAATCCTTAACGTCAAGTGAGAAGAGGAAGACCAAATAACAGATTACGCTGAAAATGGAGTCGGACATGAGAAGGATGAACAACCATTGGATAAAACAAGGAAGAATATTTCATGACAGATTGGGTTAAAGAGTGCTGGTCGGTAACGGGCTAAAGTAAATAGGTAAGTATACATTCAATATTCCTAAGGTCACTCTAGAGGCAATCTAAGTCAATATTCAAACCCTAAGTGTCTTATAATGATCACTTGGCAATTATACAATATGTATAATGTAGTAACAATATATAAAAATATATATTCAATAAAATCAATAAATGTGATCACCATGATTATGTCATCAAAAAACTTTACGTATATTACATACACAAATAAACCACTAGCCGTTGTCTGTATCAATGATGCAATTGAAAAATTTGATTGATAACTATGGAAACAAAACAAAAAAGAGAACATTTATTGATCAAACTATTTACGATAATGACATGAATAATATGACAATCAATGTGAATAAAATTTGTGCTATAAGAATCATTAACACCTATAAATGGGAATGATTTTATGATTGATGATGGATAATCTACCATTAAGGCATATGTGGATACAATTAGTAAACGATTAACATGTTCCATCTGATTCATCATGTTGACTTCATCAATGGAATTCCATTCAAGATTTTCAATCATGACAAGCAATACTTCCAAAGTTATTTCCTAGAATAAACAATAAATTATCATATGAAAGTTTTATCATAAATGTGATGGATGACTAAATGTATTATAATGAATGAGAAAACAGGCGTATACAACTAAATCCTTTAAAAGGGTGTGGGTGAAGGTAGTGTGTGCTGTTGATGTCTACAGATATAAGTAGTCTGTGCCAGTAACCGGAAGTGAAATATCTGGAGGCAAAGGGTTAAGAAAATAAAAGAGATAAAGAACAGAGAATGATTGGTATGCAAACGAAGGCACAATAACGACTAAATACACTGCATAAAATCACAAAAACAGCGAGATTATCATTTATGGACGAATCAATCAGATTTAGGATAATGGGTCTTGCATTTGAGCGTGGAATTCAAACATCCACTTGTCTGAATAACGTCTTCACATGTTAACTAATGTGAGTACTTGATGAAAAGCCGAAATCCACATCCTGACAGTAAATCAACTCTAAAGAATTAGTCTCATCCATCATATTGAAGTAATAATCCTCATTTAGTCCTAGATTAATAGATGGATATACTGAAGTTCAATTCTCATATGGTAACGTTGACAAGAGTATGTGTAAATGTTATGTACATAGGTATGACAATGCATGACTAACTGTTCTAAAGCTACGATGGTTCGTTCAATGGAATATTCATTCAATGATGGAAGTTGAAAATTTGAATTAATTTTCGGCGAGACTACAATCAATGGACGACCTTTAAGTGAAGCTGAAGTGACCTTGAGACTGAATAACTAGAACCACGTGAAGATTGTAAACCAGTGTGAGTAAATGTAATTTTGCTTTACATTTGATGGTCAAGGTTAGGGATTGGATTTAGGTTTTTCATGACGAACTGAAATCAGCTGTAATGCGAAAACCATATTTTGCCAAGTAGGTGAGTGAATTTCGCACCCAAATTCGAGATCTGTCATCTTATACGTGATTGATTCATCCATAAATTATAGTCTCGCCGTACGTTTCAAATGTAAATAATGTAAATGATTATTATCATTACAAATATGATCTTACTTGTGTTTAGAATTGGATAATTTACGTATGGCGTTTCTAGTCGACGGATCAAATGACAAAATGTACTTGTACGTAATCTGCAGTAAACTGAGAAGCTTGTTGAATTCGATTGTTGATAAGATTCTGTATGTTTGTTTATTCATTTCAATAGACTACCAATAATTATAATTTATGTAATTCACTTGACACTATTCGTTGTGTAGTCTCATTGGATAGATAGACATATTGTACAAAGAGTTTGATCTCTAAAAACAGTTTACGCAGTGTAGTCATAGAGTACAAATGCGATTTGACAGAAAACCGTTATTATTATGTTTATTTATTGGAAAACATAAATATCGGTAGAAGGAGCAATCGAATGGATGTGCGCCATACGAATCAATCGATTTGTATGCAGGCTAGAGTACAGCGCTGGTGCTCAAATCGAAGCACGTGATTTTCTTACACAGCCACACACAGAGCGCCGCACATTCATTTCGATCTCCCAATTTTGTAAATGACATCTCATTGGCAAGGAGGCAGTGGGTAGGCTATGTGAGACGTTCGAGAGCGGAAGCTAACTGTTCCAATCCTCGGCCTTACCATGGCATTTCGCATAGGTTATTGATGAATGATGAATGATACGGGAATACTCCATTTAATATAGCATATAAAGCCAGATCATGAAATGAATTGGTTGTGTAAGTTGATTATATACTAGTAGAAACATGAATGAGAATGATGTACTCGTTGGAAGCAAACTTCGTTTTCTACTTCTGGATGCCAGCTTAGTGGCGTGGAGGATAAGAGTTCGCATGCGAGACAGAGTGGCCCTGCGTTCGAATCTCACGGGGCGAGGTTGTGGATGCGTCTTCCTAAACAATATCACACTAGGACGAAACGGTCCTTTAATGTATCGAGGTATTCCATACTGGTCTGGCTTCAATTGACTTATACATTCAACTGTCAAATAGGTGTAAGTTGATGATTAATCACTGAAAATGTTTAACGAAAATTCAAAGTAACTCCGGTACTGTAATGTTCGTGTGATTCTAGTATAAGCTGTATCTGATTCAGAACCACATCACCTGCTGTTTTATGATGTTTCAAGTAAAAAAATATAGTTATTCACAAACGCATATTAAAGAACGATAAGAATGACAAACCACACGATTGAACAATCACAACATAGTAGTGTGCTACAATATGCTCTGACGTAACACCTCACATACTAGAGCAATGGTTATATGCAGCAAACGTTTCTCTCAATATTCCATCTGAAATAAAATGTGACATCAATGTCCCGAGAAAAATCCAATGCCATGGTGTTCAAGATGATGAATCGCTCTAACATGGGCGTTACACTTAGACAGATCAAACTGGAGGAATGGATGCTAAATTGCCTTTTATTACCTTCTGTCTAAACCTTTCTCAACATCTTACAATTCACAAAAGCCCTTTATTCGTTTCCAATAGTGTATTCTCATATGGAATGATAGACCTATGTGAAGAATACAAGTAATCGAAATGATTGACTATCTAGTAATAGTCAAAACTGATCAATTACTGCATTTCCCATTCTTATCCTAATCAGTATCCACGTTTTGCAGTACAATTGACGATATTATATTCAGAATAATTAATGTTACATGGAAACATGAAAATGTTCTTCCCTCGATGAATAGCGGATGAAAGAATTGTCTATGTAGTAGATTGCTGTTCCAGGATGATATACATCAGACGTTATTCTTAACCGTGATATGTCACCTATAATAATAATAACAATATTTGTTTAGATATTGTCAACAAACGTAAAGACTGAATTTTTCAGTATTACGTATCTTATTGTTCATTATTCTATATTATTGTGAAGTACATATTCAATATGAAATTCTTCGATTCTTAGAAGATGGCGAATATTAGGCAGGCTGTGTAAGATAATTCATAAATATTATGTGAATGTACATGAAACTTCGTTCACGTACTCACGTAAACGTATCACTCTTGATCCATTCAGCTGTACATTATATCGATCTTCAGATCCCAGATGCGACGTTTCTTCCGAATTTTTATGATTGGTGTGAACTAGATCAATGTCGTATTTCTTGATGTTCTTGTTATAACAAATGTCATGTTGGTTCTTTTCCTATATGAAAGAATAGTTTCACGATATTTAGGCATCGAGTTAATGGAAGGCATTAAAGAAGTAGAATTTACTCAAAATTCAATCGAAGTGAGTTCAGAAATATGTATACTACCTCCTTAATATATAATGTTTACTTGTTCATTGAAACATACTTTCACATCTGGAAGCACTCATTGTAGTGATAAATTAATATATCACATATTGGACAAACTGAATATCAAGTATCTTGAAAATATGTGATAATATTGGAGTTGGCTCACTTGCATTTTCTACTCTCCCCTTTTTTGTTCAAACTGCTTAACCACTTCCCATTCTTAATGTCTGTCTGGATAAACGATTGCTTGAGACTTATTCCTACAACGTAACCTAAATTTGGCTTCTTAGTACCACTGTCACACAAATAGGGTTGGCTATATCTCCCTCTCCATATGCTCTCACATGGCCATGCGTTTACACAAACTGCATGGTAAGTCCTGATCACTCACACAACGAGTGTTGTTTACGAAGTTGAGAGGACGAGAAGAGAATATCCAGTGCTCTAACCGGGTTGGTAGATATAGAGGAAGTCGGGAAACCCTCAATCCAAGCAAATGATGAGCATTGGCTCTGGGATTTTGTGAGAAAAAGTCCGCCTTCGGCTACCAAAGGGTTACATCTCCTGACACTGCTTCACTGACTTGTGGACCACATCTTTAGGTGAAACGCTCCTGATATGTCCCTCTAAGAAAAAACCTGCTCCATCTGGGCACCCGGATAGTACTGTAGTGAATAAGAAAAAAATGGTGGCATTCTAATACACATTAACACGAAACTACAGAATATCTTATCAAAATCTGAGAACTATACAATCAATACTTTATTTCCAAAATATCAATCTGTTTTCTCATACTTGGTTGTTTCATTGAAAATATCATTCCATCCTCTCAGTTTTCATTGCTCATGGAATTTCATATCAATTGCGTTCCGTTCTCATTATTTCCTTCTAGATTTTCTACTGAAATACATTCTATTCCTGACTATCGTTATGCACTACGAACATGAGCATAAGTAGGTCATACCACAGCATCACAACTCAAATATAAATCAAGTGCCTTGTGTGGCGTATGCCTATTCAGTACCGCCTTTGTACAAATATTTATGTGTTCTATCAATTGGCATTTCTTTTACTCTATGACAACAATCGACAAACTGTTTCAGCATGTTTGTAATGATCCTACTCATTGTTCAATTTGTCTATCTATCCAATTAGATCACGTAACGAATAGTGTCAATTAAATGAACCAGATAATTCACAATGATTGGTAGTCTATGGAAGTGAATAAACAAACATACAGAATCTAATCAACAATCGAATTCAATAAGCCTCACAACTAGCTGACGATTGAATACAAGTACACTATTCTAAACACAAGTAAGACAATATTTGTAATAATCATGAGAGTAATCACTCACATCATTCACAATTGAAATAAACTTCAATTTCTCTACTATCATCATTGAATGAATATTCCATTGAACGAACCATCGTAGCTTTCAAACTGTTAGTCATGTATTATGTCATACCTATGTACATAACATTTACACATACTCTTGTCAACGTTACCATATGAGAATTGAACTTCAGTATATCCATCTATTAATCTAGGACTAAATGAGGATTATTACTTCAATATGATGGATGAGACTAATTCTTTAGAGTTGATTTACTGTCAGGATGTGGATTTCGGCTTTTCATCAAGTACTCACATCAGTTAACATGTGAAGACGTTATTGAGACAAGTGGATGTCTGAATTCCAAGCTAAAATCCAAGACCCGTTATCCTAAATTTGATTGATTCGTCCACAGGTTATTATGTTGATGTTTATGTGATTTCAGGAAATATGTTTATTCTTCATAGGTACTTCGCTTTTTCATCGAACACTCTCTGTTATCATTCTCGTTTCTTCTATTTAATCTCCTTGATTTTCTGCCGCTATACACTTCACTTTCAAATAATGATACATACTACATCGACATCAGTATCGTACACCACAGTCATCCTCACCCCATTAAAATAATTTAATTATAACCTCCTGCGTTCTCATTCATTACAGTATATTTAGTCATGCATCGAATTTGTGATGAAACTTTCATATGATAATTTATTGTTTATTCTAGGAAACAACTTTGGAAGTAATGCTTGTCATGATTGAAAATTTTGAATGGAATTCCATTGATGAAGTCAACATGGTAGATCAGATGGAACATCCTAATCGTTTACTGGTTGTATCGACATACACTAAATTAGTAAATTGTGTTTTATCATTGAATGTTATTCACAATGATAGGTGCTTATACTTGTTGCAATACAAATATCGGTAACATTGTTTGTTTTAATGATACTGTCAATACTGTAATTTACATAACCAATAATAATAATAATATTCGTCTATATTGTAGTAGGATAAAATTTCCATATGGCGAGCGATTAAAATCATCAATTATTTCTGGTTTGTTCCTGTATGTCATGTCATTTTTATTTTACAAATTATTGATAATCTGTTTAATAATTTACATGAAAGTAAGATGGTAAATGAATAATTTGATTAAGTGCACGGTTACCTAATTAGTTACTTATGCTTATTACCCTTCGTTGAGTAGTATTTAGTAGTTTTATAAAAAGACCTCTTAATAATCTTGTAGGATTGGAAGATAAACAAGTTACATCAACAATAGCAACATATGGTACTTTTAATGATAACGAAATCGAAACTGAAAATATCAAAATATCAATATGGGGTTTTGGAGACGATTACGTTTTTCATAAAGTTCATGATGATCACGTTAGATTTCCATGGAAAACCTGGAAGCATAGGCCGAGCGTTTTTTCTATTGTGGGACTCCTCAGAAGTGAGTATCCATGATCATGCGCGAAAGCTTAAACTGTAGACCACTGAGCCGGCCGGAGTACATCTATTTTAATATATAACCTAAATCAATCCGCGACATCAAGTGACCATCTTCCAATCTACTGTGTAGGTACCTGTCTTTCTGCGTTACGGATTAGCTACACTGGTCATGGATTGTTTGAGGTTGGACGTTTTTCTTACCTACATCATGATATGTCATACAAATACACCTTGACTAAAATGAACCTGATGCTGACACATTCAGACCTATTATGATATTATTGGATTAAAACGACTTCTAAATTGTTTCTTTTGTACTATTTCAACGTGTGTTAATCCTATTTCGGTTATTTGTTTGCTCTGAAGAGATGGCTCAAAGTAACGAAACATAAGAAGTACAATTTTCTACTCATTAGCATATAACAAAACATGTGCTGAGAATTCTATATTGTACCAAAAAGATAATATTGAATAAAGCCATTAATAATAATAATAATGTGTGTTTCGAATATAAAGCAATTAGTCCCTTTTATAAATTTCGATAGAACAATGAGAAGACGTAGTTGATCTGAAAAATGTGATGTATTTGCGCTATACATTTCGAACAATCTGGTCACACATATACTTGTCAAGGCATTTTTATATGAAAACTAATAAAGGTCAATAAAGGTCAAACAAACAAATAAAAGTACAACTAAAATAACTAAGGGGGAGATAGAATAAGAAATTGTCGCGTCATCCTAGTCCATAGAATGACTTAAGGATTACCAAGGTAAATTCAAGGTTACGACAAATTGTTTTTGTACACATAAGGGGGGTTTAAATTTACGAATAGCTAAGGCTTCAATAAACTTAAGAATTCGACCTTGACAATTTCTATACAACATTCTAAATGCTGTATTAATGTTAATTTTGTGCCCCGTCTCAATAATGTGTTTTGCTATCGATGAACATGGTTTTCTACCGCCTACATTGATCGGATCATTTGACACACACTGATTTTGAAGCCATCTGGGTACATGTTCATTGACCCTTGATTGCATTGTTCGATTACTCCTCCCTATGTATGTGTGTCCACACAAACATGTAAATTGGTAAATACAATGGGATGTGACGTAATCATTAGTGCATTGTTTGGGTCTATTATGAATCATGGCCTTAGACTTTTCAATCACTACCAACTGAGCAGCATAATACGTATTCTCAATGGCTGCTTTCAATCTGTGCCTTAAAACTATACTATTTGATTCGCCTCTATATGGTAGATTGATGTAAACCTTTTTCTTTGGCACTGAATAAATTAGAGGTCTTGGCATTAATTGACTTTTGCACCTATTAATAAACTTGAGTGGATAACCATACATAAAATAAACTGGTTACCATGTACATCAGGATTTTGTATTTCAATAATTAACGTTCTTAATATGTAAATGACACAATTTACTTTAATAGAATGTTTTGATTATTGTGTGGATGTGTGTATGCGAATAAAACGATCAACTATCATCCTCAAATTGTTATTTTTTAGCATGTTGTGAATTGCTTACTTATATACGTATATAGTAAGGCTGATCTGTACGAGTTGGAGTAGTCAACATCACTCCTAATTCTTCTCTTTTACCCGGATTTGAGACCGACAGCAGCCTTAGAAGAGTTACAGTCGGAGTTTAAAAAAATATGCTCAATAGTTATTTCTGTTTTCTATTGTAGTTTGATTGCACTTGTGGTATTCTTTTTGATTGCCTTCGTGAAGAAAATAGATGACAATTATCTACTAAATCTCGCACTTGTAATTGTTTACGTAAGAATTTCTGATATTCTTTTCACATTTACTTTGTTAGTCTGTTTAACATAATCCAATATAATCAAAGGTATGTAAGTGAGAGTAAGAGTACTGCTTGTAAATAATGATCAGATGTGACTGAAAAGGTTTTGGAAAGCGAAATCCTGACCGATTTAAATCTCCGATCTGTTGAGATAGACATATGAGGGGTTTCACTCATAGGCATTGTTACGGGAGAATCGAGAACATTTTGCTGAATAAAACCTTTTTGTTGTATGTTAATAAATTTACTGTGTTTTCGGGTGTATTTGTTTTAATTTCAACAGTTGAGATCATGAGTCGATTGAAGCTAAACCACTATGGAAAACCTGGAAGCACTGGACGGCCGTTTCGCCCAATTTAGGGACCCTTCACCAGCGCGAATCCATGACTCCACCTCGCGGGATTCAAACCCAGGACGTATCAGTCTCGCATCAGGCGCTTAACCAACTAGGCCACAGAGGCGTCCAGTACTTCCAGGTTTTCCATGGTGGTCTGGCTTTAATTGACTCATAAACATAACTGTTGAAATTATTACAATCTCCACAAATCCTCTTTTGGAATTTGTTGCATTTACCTTTTGAAGTCGTTTGTTTATGTCGTTATTTTCGGACATTTCGATCTCTCTTTGTCATGGGTATGGTATTTCGCTCCGTGAACTTACAAAATTGAAGGTTTGTTTTGTAATTGTTATATTTATTGCTGTAAGAACGATATTTGAGTCGAATATTTGTGAATTGCGAATCAGCTTTGGCATCTGAATTGGAATTTGGTTTTATTGTTAATTTGGGTTCGTAAATTACAAGTAGATCGATATACCGTACTTCACTGAAGGGAACGAGCAAAAACGTGGACATGACAGGCATAGTACTTCTGTAAGTTATGAAATGAAGAATAACGTGCATACCAAGATAACCTAATTTTGAATGTGGGAAAAGGAATCACATTTAGTCAGTTTCACCTTCCTGATATAAGTTAAATTTATTTAAAGTGAGACAAAAAGAACGCTAGATTCTGACTAGTGTTGAGATGTTGGTTGTCACCGGTTCCAGTGTTTTGTTTCATGTCTAAAGTGGAAGAGAGTTGATTCATCTCGGTTATCAATCTACGATGCTGCAGCATCTATTTGTGCATATCAGTGTAGAAGGAGATTTGTGTCATTCTTTCTGATTTCTCGATCTGAGTGTGATGAGAATGAGTACTGAATGTCTAATGAATTAATTGATTACTCAGGCACCCAAAGGCCTTATAGGTGCCTAAGAGGTTCCATATAATCAGTATAGGATGAAGCTATTTATAATATCAACGTGGCATGCTAGTATTGGACAGTATCATAATATGCTGAACTATAATGTTCATACAATAAACCCTAATGTCTATAAATACCCACGACGTTTCCTACATTTTGGTTCTTACTCAACAAATGCTTCTCCAGCTTTTTTCTGTTTTGTGATTTGAGACTGTGAGGGTTCTATACTTCCTAGTTTCTCAGTTGTATACGGCATTCTGCGTTAATCGAGTAGCGATCATAACACTCATCTCCACACTCACTCCTTAAATCATTCTGTCAGCTATTCTCAACATTCACACGATTATTCAGTTGTAAATTGTTCATCCTACAAGTCATTTTATTTAAGCTCATCCCGTACAAGTTGCATAACAATTTATGGCTATCTCATATGCTATATCACGTAGTATTATAATCTTATTATCACATCGTCATGCCCAACACATCATTCACACTTTCTCACAGAATTATGTGAATACGTACCTAATCTTGGTGATCAATCCATTGCAGAATTAATAGATCTGTTAATTGAAGTTCATTTTCTCAATGTCTAAATTAGAGTTGTGATTGTGGAGATTATTACGTTTTTGATTGACCTCATGAAGCGATTGATGTTAGACCACAATTGAAGTCCTGGAAACACTGAACGGCAACTTAATTGTACTCTGAGACTCCACAAGAGTGTTCATGCACGATACCGCTGGCGTGATCCAAGCCAAGGCTCTATCGGTATCGTGCGCGAACGCTTAAACTCTAGAACACTGAGCCGCTGTTTAACAGTGTTAATGTCTAACCGCAAGTGCTTTCGAAGAATAAACTTTCGAAACATCAGTAAACGTATCGTTTTAAACTTGAAGTGGTCATTTTCAGAAAAAGAACTCATACCCTCAGTAAACATTACTATCAGCAATTATATACAATGCAAGCACAGATGGATGAATATATTTTCCATTAAAACTATGATATTCTTTCTCATTTTCAGTCTATCTGCATGGCGACAGCATTAGGAGTTTTGACTACACAGCTAAATCCTCAAGTCAAACTTGCAGTCTTTGGAATCAGTTTGGTGTTATTCGCATGTGCATTACTGTTTGGTGCAGCGATTAAAACAAATTTATTTGATCACCCGATGAGTATTCTAATATTCCTTTTGGTTATATCCGTTGTAATTGTGATAGTAGCGGTTGTGCTTAGTGTTTTTAATCAATGCAAGGTATTATTTTGAGCTAATATACTTGATCCTCAAATTACATCATCTTGATTGAATCTAGTTTCCTTTCAAAACAATTACAAATGTTCATCATCATATTTTATGATAAATCCAAACCCTAAACTGTTCACTGTAATCTAGTTAGTAAGGAACCAAAATCTTCAAACATTTAAATTCCGAGTGAAATCGATCAAAAGTGCAAAGTATTATGATAGCTGAACTGGTAAATTTAAATGTTATGAAGGGTATTTGGTTGATATAAATGACATCATGTAGTGCTGCAGTCATGTGCTTGAGAGAGGAGACCACTCAACTGGGTTGCGACGTCAACCAGATTATCAGAAGGAGAAGGTCATGTCGACAAAGGAAGATAACCATAAATGTTGATATCGTATAAGAGTTTAAAGATTAAATCTACAGATCATTCTAATCAAATGTGACACAAGACAAGCCCTCACATGGAATCCTCAAAGCCAAAGATAAAGAGAAAGACCAAAGAATATATAACGCCGGGAAATGGAGATAGTCGTGAGAAAAACTAACAAGAATTGGATGGAAATAAAAAAGAAGGTCCAGGACAGAGTGGGTTGGAGAATGCTAGTCGTCGGCCCATGCCCCATTAGGAGTAACAGGCGTGTGTAAGTAAGTAAGTATGTATGTAAGTGAGTATTAGTTCAAGCTGATATAGAACAAACCCTGGCATCAATATATGCAGATATGTCCCACTCTCCACAAGGTAAAATAAAGAGAGGTGAATCAAATTTACCTAATCCGATATGAGATAAAAGCGATTGAATTGATTTGTCTTCCAAATGTACAAACTGACTTAATCACATACCGTCATGTTTGAGTATTGCTTAATAAAAATGTGATGTTGAATTGTCCAAGTGAATTCACTGATTTATCTTCTTGTTTTCAGTATTATACGATCGGTGTTTACATAGGTGCACAAATACTATTGTTCATTGTGAGTTAAATTGATTTTCATTTCTTGTTGATAGAATAATCATTTTGAAGTAAAAGTGAACTGTTTGTCTCAAATGAATTCTACATTGCCTTATTGAGGTCTCTACGTATTATCGTTACCTTGTCAAAACGTATATAACAGTGACTAATTGTATTTACATTTCAACATCATTCAATAACACATTTTCATTCTACATGAATAAAGACAGGACTGTTTTCGCATTCGAAATTCGCTGACACAAAACGAACTATTTGAACAAGAAACTTCACGCTGATCTAGTTGCAATGGTTATTATTTATTTGTTTATTTGAACACAAATATTTGTACAGCGGGGTACCGAATACATATGACCCACAAAAGTCGCTAGATCTGTGTGAGCAGAGTGATACAACCGTGGTGCTTAGACTGTAGCAGGTATTTTTCTTTGCGGGCCACTTTTGGGGCTTTCAACCTAATGGTCCGATACAAAAGGCAGTGGAGCAACGTCAAGAGATAGAGTACCATGGCAGCCGATGACCAACGATTGATTCATACACCATTTGTTCCTTCAGATTACTGGAGCGTATGTGCACCATTAGTTTGGAATAAGCGTTTTCTAATCCTCCACCAACCCGGTCAAAGCACCTGACGTTCGTTCTTTGTCCTCTCAATTTCGTAAACAATACGATCGATGAGAGAAGAGAGTGAGTAGCACTTTCCTGACAGTGGTTGTATATGCATGTTCATATAAGAGCATTTGAAGCGAGAGAGAGAGAGAACTAGCTAACTCTCGCTAGCCTCGGCCATAGATAGCGGTATTTGGGGGCGCAATCCCTATTAATATTATGTTCTCCGTTGGTCACTTTGCAAACTGATGCATTTTTTATTTATTGATTTTACAGATAACGGTATTTATAAGTTATGTAACTGTTGGCAAATCAAGGAATCTTCTCTTTTATCCAAATTATTCACTGGCAGCCATATTATTGTATGTCATGTTCTTTTCAATTTTATTAATCAATGCGAATATAAAAATGACATTAACAAGACTGAAAGTTGTATATTCCAATTCCAGTTCCAAATTAACATGAACATTACATTAATATTGGATAGAAATCACAAAGTCTGTTTCTCGATTGTTTGTTTGTTTGAAATTTCTTTGCTATTCCTTTGAAGTTGAACTCTGGACTGATGGGAACCTTTATGGTTTTGCTGTTATTGTTATTTAAGTATCGATTCAATTAAAAATGTGTTTGTGTGTGTGTAAACTGACTACATGCCTGTATTTTGTTCTAAAGTTACGTATAATATGATGATTTTGAAAATAGTAATGTGATTTTAGTGATGTTATCCATCTTCAATTTAGATTACTGTACTTAGATAAGGATTATATGAAAAGAATGATTGTCATTAGAATAATTATTATACGTGAGTCGTATATCCTAGAGTTGTGACGAGAAGCCATGATCGTTGGAGTTCAATACATGTATGCAAATATGAGACAGTTATTCAACTCAGACAATGAATGAAGTCTTAAGCTAAATGATGAATCGATTGAAGTTAAACATCAGCGCTGTTTGATACCGGTTTAGTGGCCTAGGGATCAAGCGTTGACGCACGAGACCAAATATCCTAAGTTCAGGTTCGGCGTCTGAATTCGTGGATGCACACTTCTGAATATCTCATACTTGGACTGGTGCTGCTCTTCTATGCTTCCAGATGTCCAATCGTGATGTAGTTAATATCCGCTCTAAAATTCAACGGTTAAAATATACAGAATATTATTATGATCTTTGTAGACGACAATACTTCAGAAGAAATTTTTATATATATTAAAAGATATTTGCTTTGAAAACGTATATAATCATGATCAAAATTATAATAATTTATTCTCAACTAACGGTTTGCTACATGTGACATGCCAGTTTACAGGCAAGAAGAAATTGTTACAGAAGATACAATTTTCACTGTATTAAATTACTCAGTTGGGTTAATATTTTATAAGATATGAATATAGATGATTATAGTAAGCATTGTTTTTTCAATACAACAGTTGACGCGCTCAATGAAGGTTGCGTAGCGACGTGCAACTGATGGTTGTGAATAGATCCATGTGAAGGGATTGCCGTTCATTGCTTCCAGACTTCCAATAGTAGTGTGGTTATCATTCTCTCTCAAATTCAACTGTTAAAATTCAGGTATCCAATAGCGTTAATGTCTATCTTATATCGATCGATGGTCTTTCTGAACCCTCCATGCATTGTCTGAAGTAGACAACACAGATTGGACTACTCTAGTAACGGTTTCTTACTATAACTGCATGAACTTCATCTTGAAGCTAGTTATATAATCGTTCGTAAATGTTCATTTTAAATTCTTGTTTCATCACATTTCCAATACCAAAAAATAATAAATTTGACCCTAATTTATAAAATCATTATCAGTATTACTAATAGAATTTCAGCAAGTTTCCAGTTCTTATGTTTTGATCGATTCTAACAATCTCCATTTAAATATCAGCAGTTACAAGTGAAACACGTTACGTGTTGAGACATCTTGATTGCTGGAATGGGTAACCACGATATTCAAGAAAACCATCTCTATTAACTTATTCATTGGATAGTATGGTGTTCAACACAATGATTGAATAGAAATATGTTGAAATGAGAATAAAATTTATGTCACAAAATGTAAAGGTAATAGAACATCAGTAATTACAACAGAATTCTAGAATACAATAGGTAGAATTTAAGTTGCGGTTGAATGATAACACCTAATCGATTATATGTCAAACAAGAACATCCGAAATTGATTCTTTCAAACCATTCAAACCACTGAAGTTTAAATTCTCATGGTTATTTGTGGTTGATTTGATTGTTCTATGTTTATCGAAACCTTACCGGACATTTGTTTAAAGATGTATAAATGGTAGTTGGTTTGTAGTGTTTAAGTCCTTTCATAAGGAGTTGACTTGCGAATTCTCTATCAATTGTCCCTCACATCTTTCGTAATTCATTTTTTTCTCAATTCTTTTATGCATCCATATCTGTTTTGTTCAGTTCATTATTATCAACCTTCTGTCGTCAGACTTTCCATTTCTGGCTGCTGTTTCATATTACTGATACGGACAGACATAAGTAGCATAAAACATAGGTCATGGGATGGAGTCACGCGAGACAGGATTGTCGATAAGAAACGCTGAGTAGTCAAACTGTGAAATGAAACGGCTGTTCAGTGCTTCCACGTTTCTGTCGTGGACTAGCTCCAATTGATTCACGTTCTTAACTATTAAACTTACTATCATATCCACAAAAACCTATTCTGATATACTTAATCAGTTTGTTTAGTGCAAATCATTTGTCATTCAAGCATTCGAGTATTCAATACTTCGAAATCATTTATTAACTATATTTCTGATTTTGAAGAGTTCAGCTGATCCAATGTCATAATCACTGTATGGTTTTACACGAAGTGATACGTTTTTAATGGCTCCTTGTCTGTCTACAGTCTGATCGTACAAAGATGTTATAATATAAACGTTCCATTTAACTCAGTATATTATTTAGATAAGTCCTGTTCGTGTGACGGTGATAACAAGAAGCAAAACTACGAATACATTGTGAGAATTTGTCTGGAGCAGTCGCTTATCCACACAGGCATTTAGAACGAAAAATGGGAAAGCAAAGTGGAGAGGAGTGGAGAGAAGAAGGCAAGTGATCCTGCTCAAATTTTATCACATATTTTGTCACGACAATGGGAATTTCCAGTTGTGAAAGTATGTTTCAACGAACAATCAAACATTACACATTAGAGTGATAGTCCACAAATTCTTAAGATCTCAACAAATTCCACCCTCGTTAATGGCTCCCACTAACTCGACACCCAAATATTGTAAAAATATTCGTTGAAATATCAACTATAGAATCTCAGAGATTGATGTAATGTACAGCTGAATGGATAAAGATGGATACGTTTGCGTTAACGAGTAAACCAACAAGGTACATAACAATGTTTTTACGTGAATGAAGTTTCATATGCATTAACACAACATCTTCTATGAATGATCTCACACTGCCTCTTTAATATTGGCCATCTACTTAGAATCGAGGAATTTTAGATTGAATATCTACTTCACCATATTCAAGACGAATTAAAAATGAGATACGTAATACTGAACAATTCAGTCTTCGGGTTTGTTGACAATATCTGTACTAACATTATTACTATTATACATGATATATTACAGTAAGGAATAACGTCTAATGTATATCATCCTGTAATATGTTTAGAGCGATTACGAGTTCACCTAGACTGCAAATGGAACAAAGACTCTGTGACCAAAAGTAAAAAAGCTGGCTATTCTGATGCGTCATAGCCACGCTCACTAGAGAGAGAATTCCAAGTCCGAAACGAGGAATTACATTCCGCACAGCCAGAAGCACGAGCAATCACGACAGGCATAAATAAAAAGTGTATCAAAAGTGTACAGCGGACCGAAAGCAATCAACATTCTCCCAAGCGAGATATACGACATGAAGGTGAAAACGAGCGGTTTTTACAAAGTTATGGGGATATGACATCCCTATCATCCTGAGAATGCCACCTACTACATGGACAATGATCAGCGCTTCGTTCGTTCACTATTCATCGAGGGAATGACCATATGATTTTCATATGTAATCATAATTTAAGTGAACATTATTCGGAATACAACATCTTCATTTGTACTCTCAAACTTGAATACGGATTAAGATGGGAATGGATAATATGGTAATCGGACAGCTATGAGTATTAATCATCAGTGAATCTATTCGAGTACTCGTGTTTTTCACATACATCTATCATTCCATATGGGAATACACCAATGGAAACGAATAAAGGGCGTCAGTGAATCGTAAAGTGTTGCGAAATGTTTAGACAGAGGGTAATGAAAAACTATTTATCACCTATTCCTCCAGTTAGATCAATTTGAGTAGAATATCAATGTTAAAGCAATTCATGTTCCTGAACACTATCATTGAACATTCCTTATGGCAGTGAAACATGCGGTATTCGATTTTTATCGGAACATTGATGTCATTTTTTCTTCATATGGAATATTTTGAGGTATTATGTCACACACTGAGTGTGGTTTTCAAATGATGAGCATAAATATTTTCGGTTTTTTGATTATTCGGTCGTGTGGTTTGTCATTTTAATTGTTCTTCAATATGCGTTAGTAACTAACCATATTGATTTACTTGAAACATCCTAGAAGAATAGATCAATTGGTTCTGAATGAGTTATAGGTTTTACTAGATTCATATGAACATTGTAGTATAGGAATTACTTTGAATGTTTATTAGAACATTTTAGTGATTAATGAAAAGCTCATATGTATTTGATAGTTGAATGTACGAGACAATTGAAGCTAGATCAGCGAGGAATACGTGGATTCATTGAACGACTGATTCGTCCTAATGTGGTATTCCCAGTTGGGCACATTCACGATCCGGCCTCCTGAGATTCGAACACAGGACGCGTCGGACTTGCTTCAATAATGCTCCACAATGGATATATTTTTCCAAAGTTACACAGAGCTGTAATGTAACATTTTAGCACAATGTGTGATTACGTAACAGAGAGAATTTCAAGTTGACATTAGTGGGCACAAATAAAGATGAAAACAATAAATCTCCCATTTAATAACTATTCTAATGACAATGATACTTTTCATATGTTCTTCATCTAGGTAAAGTAATCAACACTGAAGATGGATAACAATGATTGAAATCACTTTATACACGTTACATTGTTATCCATTAGGACAAAAATAAACACATGTAATCAGTTTGCACACGAACAAACAAGTTTTTGATTGATCCCAAATTAAGTCAACAACAACAATGACAACAACAAAATCCAGAAGGTTCTCTTCGACCCAGTGTTCAAATTCAATGTTCTGTTAATTGGAACTGGAATATAGAACTTTCAGTCTTGTTGACATTAATGATATCCGTATTGATTGATAAAGTCGAAAAGAATATGGTATATAATAATATAGATGCCAATGCATAATTTGGATATAAGAGAAGATATCTTGATTTGCCAACAGTTAAATAACTAAGAAATATTGTTACCTGTAAAATAAATAAAACATTCATAAGTATGAAGATTGCAGTAATGTGAGTGGTTGACTTGACGAGTCAATGTAAATTAGATGCACCATTGAAATCCTAGAAACACAAGAGGTTATTTTGTCGTAATATGGAACTCTTCATAGTACACAACCATGATCATGTGGCCTCAATTATCTACTAGTTAGGTATTCGCGTGTGGGATCGAAAGTCCCAGGTTCGAGTCCTGTGTTTGGGATCGTAGATGAGCACTGTTGAAGAGCCTCATACTAGGGTGAAACATCCATTCAGTGTTTCCATGTTTTCATTAGTGATCTATTTTAGATCGATTCGTCAATTGAACTGTTTAAAACATTCATAAGCTTGGATTTCATATGCGTAATTCGATAACCAGATTAGAATAATTGATGATATTTCTTGTGTAATTTCTTAAGTAAGAAATATTATCGAAAACGACATAAGTGGAGTTTTTCAACTGAAATTATAGGTGAAATTCATTTAATATTGTTTACTTGAATCTTATCATTGATGTTTACGACTGTAATAGATCAGTTTCTCTCTTTAGTGAAATATCTGCATTATGTGAGGATTGTCTCGATATTGCCTCACTTCACAACTATTACAAGCGAAGATGAATAGTGGTTAGTAGTGGAACCTAGAACACTCATTTCATCCTGGTTAGCACTCATCAAATGGATGTACTTGAATCTCAGATTTGATGTTAACTCTGGGCCTCGAACCCAGTACCGTTCGCTTAAAACGCCATCACGTTATCTACTTAGCCACTGAGTCCATAAAGCCATTTGCTTGTGCATCCCATCGCCCAGGCAAGTGGTTATCAGTGTTCGAGTCTCAGTATGAACCGAACTCTGTGATGTAGGTAAGTACGACTGTTGAACCGTGTTGAAATTTAAAGCGATTGGTCCCTTATTTATAATTTCCGATAGAGTATTGAGAATACGGAGTTGATCGGAAAAATGTGAAGTATTTACGCCATACATTTCGATCGAGATCATGAAACGATTGATGTTAGACCACCATTGGAAAGCCTGGAAGCATTGTAAAACAGTTTTGTCTTACAGCTGAACTCCTCAGCAGTGCGTATCCCCAATCCCGCATGCGCTATTCAAACCCAGGATGTTAGGCCTCGCGCGCGAACGTTTGATCTCTGTTCCACTGACTCGGCATGTAACGGTGTAAATGTCTATCTTCTATCAACACTTCATACACCATCTGATCTAGATAGCTATCTCTGTCCGACACGTGTTCGAGTCCATTGGTTATCACAGTTTCTCATCACAATCACATATCACTCAGAATATCGATGTCTGTTCACATTGAACCATATCATGTTTAAGTCATTTTCAGTGGAGATCTCAATAAGGCAATGTAAAATTCATTTGAGACAAACAGTTCACTTCTATTTCTATTGTGAGTCGCGAGGTGGCTACTCTAAATTCTACCGATTGACCAGCTTCAGATATCCCAATTCGACCTCAATGCTGTTCCTAATCTCCAATATATCAGAACACGAACCGTAGAAGAAAAACTGTTTATGGGGTCAGGAGCAGAATAATGATTTACAAACAAATGCATATTTATACAGTTAGGATTACTATAAATATTGACCAACAGAAAGATGACACGTTAAATAATATTGACCAATAGGGAAATGACACCACTTAACGTTCAAGGGTAGCATTAGACTTAACCGGATAATTGTTTTTGGGATATTTTTCTAAGTATCCCAACAATTTCAAAGTGATCATTCTATCAACAAAAAATATACATCAATTTAACTCACAATCAACAATATTATTTGTGCACCTATGTAAACACCGATCGTATAATACTGAAAACAAGAAGATGATTCAGTGAATTCATTTGAACAATTCAACATTACATTTACATTGAGCAATACACAAACATGACTATATGTGATTACGTCAGTGTGTACTTCTGTAAGATGAGTCAATTCAGTCGCGTTTATCTTATATCGGATTAGGCAAACCCAGTTCACCTCTCTTTATGTTACCTTGTGGAGGGTGGGACATATCTGCATATATTGATGCCAGGGTTCGTTCTATATCAGCCTAAATTATTACTTACTTACTTAGTCACGCCTGTTACTCCTAATAGAACATAGGTCGCAGACCATCATTCTCCAACCCACTCTATCTTGAGCCTTCTTTTCAATTTCCATCCAATTCTTGTTAATTTTTCTCACGTGTATCTCCATTTCCTGGCGTTATATATTCTCTGGTCCTACTCTTTATCTTTGACCTTGAGGATTCCATGTGAGGGCTTGTCTTGTGTCACATTTGGGTGCTTTTCTTGATGTGTGTCCTATCCACTTCTAGCGCTTCTTCCTGATTTCTTCCTCCGCTGGGATCTGGTTTGTGTCTTCTGGATGATGGCTTTCGTAGTTCTACAGGTTTCCGCCCCATACAGTAGCACTGTCTTGACATTTGTATTGAAAATCCTGACCTTAGTGTTGGTTGACAGTTGCTTTGAGTTCCATATGTTCTTCAATTGTAAATATACCGCTCTTGCTTTGCCGAACTGCTCTTTCACATCTGCATCAGATCCACCATGTTCATCAACGATGCTGCTTAAATGCGTAAACGTTTTTACAACTTACAAATCTCCTCTGTCAGTTGTGATTGTATTGGTGAATGCTGTGTTGTATCGGAGAATTTCGCTTTTCCCTTTATTTATGTTGAGATCTACTGCTGATGAGACTGCTGCTAAACTGGTTGTCTTCTCTTGCATTTGTTGTTGCCTTTGCGATAAAAGAGCAAGATCATCTGAGAAGTCAGTTTAATCCATCATTGGAATTCTGTATTGTTGAAGAAGCTCCCATAGTGTTGTTCTGTCCACGCTATCAAATGCCTTTTCGTAGTTAATGAAGTTGATGTAGAGCGATGAATTCCATTCAATTGATTGTTCTACAATGATCCGTAGGGTTGCGATTTGGTCTGTACACGATCTATCCTTACGGAACCCTGCCTGTTGGTCACGAAGTTGAGCGTCTACAGAGTCCTTTATTCTGCTTAACAATACTCTGTTGAAGACTTTTCACGGTGTTGAGATAAGAGTGATGCCCCTGTAGTTATCATAATTGCTGAGATCGACTTTCTTTGGTATTTTGACCAGAGGTTTTTCTTTCCAGTAGCTTGGTACTTGTTCCTCATCCCAAATCTAATTGAAGAGATTGTGGAGTATTCTTGCAGTTGCCGCTACGTCTGCTTTCAGTGCCTCTGCTGGAATGTTGTCTGGTCCTGCTGTTTTGCCACCCTTGATTCGTCTGACGGCCATGCTGATTTCTTCAATTGCTGGTGGGCCAACAATGATTAGGAGATCCGTGGGTTTTGCTTCGATATTGGGTGGGTTCAGTGGAGCTGGTTGATTCAAGAGTTCATTGAAGTGTTCTACCCACCTGTTTCGTTGTTCTTCAACGTTGATGATCACCTTGCCTTCCTTGCTTTTCACCGGTCGTTCTGTTTTACGGTGATTTCCAGAGAGTTTCTTTGTCGTGTCATACAATTGTCTCATGTTTCCTTCTCTTGCACCCTTTTCCGCCGTCATTGCTAAATCTTCCACATACTTACGTTTGTCAGTTCTGATGCTCCTCTTCACTTGCTTGTTTACTTCTGCGTATTCAGTTTGTGCCTCGGCTTTCCCTGCGCTTGTTCGGCAGATATTGATTGCTGCCTCCTTGTTTCTCCTTCCTTGAATATTATCCAGTGTATCAACAGTGACCCATTCCTTGTGATGGTGCTTCTTGTGACCCAGAACCACATAGTATGTTGAAGTGATTGCCTTTGTGATCCCTCTTCAGTTGCCTCCTATTGAGTTGATCATGAAACGCCTGGAATCTTTTGCTGGGGGTTATCTTAAATTTGTTGAGTTTCTCAGTATCCTGAAGAAAGGCCGTATTGAAATTTTGTGATAGTGTCCGCCCCGTTGTCCAGTACTTCTTGAGTTTCTATTTCATCTTGACGGCCAGCAAGTGATGATCTGATGCTATATCAGCTCCTCTCTTGATTCTCACGTAATCCATCGTCCTCCTGAACTTTTTATTGATGCGGATATGGTCGATTTGGTTTTGCGTGGTGTGATCCGTTGAAGTCCATGTGGTTTTATGAATGCGTGGGAATATAGTGCCGCCTATGACCAGCTTATTAAAGGCATATAGGTTCGTAAACCTCTTTTTGTTCCTTTCTCTTAGTCCGTGTCGTCTCATGATGTCTTCATATCCGATGTTGGCCATTTCAACCTTGGCATTTAAATCTGCCATCACCATGATCAGGTACTTTTTTGTGCACTTCTCGGCGATCGACTGCAGCCTACCGTAGAATTAATCCTTGACGTCTTCATTGTAGTCGATGGTAGGCGTATAGTATTGAATGACGTTCACTGAAATGCCATCTTTCTTTGTTTTGAAGGAGGCTTCAACGATCCTCGGTCCATGAGATTCCCACTGCTTGAATAATTGGTCTGTCTTAAATCTTTGATTACTGGTGAATAGTATGGATGACGTGCTTTTATTAAAGTGACAGAAACGTTTACACCACCCATACTAATGTGGGTGCTATGAAGTGCATATTCCTCTAACTAGTGTAGTTCGTATAAACATGTAACGTATATTACTTAAGGGAAAGCTGTTGTGGTACTCTCTGGTTCTGATACATTTCTTCAAATGCTTATTTATTCATTCTAGTATGTAAACCATGTGTTCACATAGGCCTGCTACGTTCAGTGTTATACGAGAGAGATGATCATAAAACATTCTTCAAAGTGAACGTAATATCTATTTGTGACACGAAAGTGAAGATACTCAATCGTTCAAAGTTGACTACCTGACATGTTAGAACCATACATGCTTTGAAGCAGGACATCCAACTATGAAAAACTGCAATTCACCCACTAATAAACAGAATCATTTATGGATTTGTTCTTTATTCTCTTCCTAAACAACACTTCATTCTTATACAATATCAATGTTTATTGCTACTTTGCTTTGTCCACAGGAATACCTCCTTCTGATAATATGGTTGACATCGCAACCCAGTTGACGAGTATTCTATCTAAAGTAGAGAACCACAGCACAACATTATATCAATCATACCAGCCGAATACCCTGCATATCATCTCAATTTACAAGTTCAGCTAACATAACACTTGGGACTTTTGATCGATTTCACTCAGGATTCAAATGGTAACAGATGTTGGTTACTTAGTAACTAGATGACAGTAAATAGTTTAGAGTTTATAACTATCAAAGAATATGATGGTGAACATTCGTCATTGTTGAGAAAGTAAACTAGATTCAATCAGGATTACGTCGTTTAGAAATCGAATAATTCAGTTCACTACAATACCTTGTAATGTTTCCAAAAACTTAGCACAACGGCGACTATCACAATGAGAACAGATATAACCGAAAATGATATTAGAATGCTCATTAAGTGATCTGCCAAATCTGCTTTGATTGCTGCACCAATCAGTAATCCACATGTGAATAATACCAAACTGATTACAAAGACTGCAAGTTTGACAATAGCATCTAACTGTGCATTCCAAACTCCTAATGCTGTTGCCATACAGATAGACTGAAAATAAGAAAGAATTTTATAGTTCTAATAGAATACATATTCATTCATATGTGCTTGTATTGTATATGAATGCTGACAATAATGTTTACTGAAGGTATGAATTCATTTTCCAAAAATGACTATTTTAAATTTGACACAATTAGTTCACTTACTATTTATTTACTTGAACACATAAATATTGAGACAAAGGTACACCGAATACATATTCACCATATATTTCACTTGTTTTGTGTGAAGGTTGTGATACTGCCAGGCTGCCGAAACTGAAGAAGGTGGTTTTCTCATGGAACCACACTAGGGGCCTTCAACCTAAGAGTTAGATCCACAAGGTAGTGGAGCAACATTAGTAGATGCAGCCTCACGCTAGCCGGTGACCATCGATTAGCTCATACACCTCTGGATCCGAAAATGACTATTTCAAATTTGACATAATTAGTTTACTTACTATTTATTTCTTTGAACACATAAATATTGGTACAAAGGGGCACCGAATACATATTCACCATACATTTTGCTTGATTTATGTCAGGGTTACAATACTGCCTTAAACATGAAGGTTGGATCCACAACGCAATGGAAGAACATTAGGAAATGCAGCACCACGCTAGCTGGTGACCAACGATTGGTTCATACGCCATTTGTTCCCTCTAGATCCTGAAGCCCATATGCAACATCGAGTTGATATCAGGGACTTCAAAATCACCTAGGTGGATCTTCAATACCTGTCACCTCTGTGAGATCAAAGGGGCATTTGACTTCGTCCTCTCAATTTTGTAGATAACATCCGCGCCTCGAGAAGGCAGTGAGTAGGATTTCACTGGCATAGGCTCTATATGTGTGGCCATGTGAGAGAATATCGAGAGAAAGAGCTGAAATTTCTGGCATATCTATCGCAACAAATCGAAGATTTAAATCAACTTGTAGATCAGTCAGGATTTCGCTGTCGCAAGCCTCTTCGTTGTCATCACAACCAGTCACATCGGATTATTATCTTCAAGCTGTACTCTCACTCTCATTTATACACCCTTTATTATATTGAATTATATTAAACAGACTAATAAAGTAAATGTGAAAAGATTATCAGAAATTCTTACATAAATAATTACAAGCGCGACATTCAGTGGATATTTCTCGTTTATCTTCTTCACGAGTGCGATTAACAAGGCTATCACAGATGCAATCAAACTAAAAAATAAAACAGAAATATCTGTTGAGCATAACATGATTAACTCCTACTGTATCTGTTCTAGGACTCTTGCCGATCTGAATTCCAGGAAAAGAAGAAGGTTGAGCGTAGAATCGTCAACCCTATCCTATAGAAAACAACTTTGCTACAAGAAAACGATAACCAGAATAGACCTCCGATTTCAAGCAAGAATTATGATGACTCATGATGGGAGCTGAGATCCATCGGAATTCAAGAGGCCGATGTTTGTTCTAACAACCAAACCAGCAATTTTTATGTCTCCTTATTGATTGGCTTATTGTTGTCAGTACCACTAGAAAATGGCATGTTCACATCTAATGTGATTTCAATTGTGCTATAAATATTCTGCACTGTGTTCTTTGTACTAATTAATCTTGAGTTAATTTCATCAAGCTCATTTACTTACTCTGAAGAAGTGGCTTATATTAGGTGACGGAACATCAGAATTACGATTTTTCCACTCATTGTTTGGAATAATAGTAACAATAATATTACACTTTCAATTTATTTGAAGCTATCCAGTTCAGCCTTGACATACATAGATCTTAATCATTCTGCGTTAATATTAATTACCATTGATGATTGATTGAATTCACTTAGTATTGTTGTTTCCTTGTATCTTCCCATTGATGTTCAGCATTTCAATTAATCAGTCTCTTATTGCCATGTGAGCATACTGTGAGCACTGCATCGATATTGCCCTCATTCAAAAGCATTGTAAGCAAAGATGGGTGGTAGCTAGCAGTGGGATCCAGTTTGACGCGCGTTTCGTCTTATTTGGGAGTGATCAGTCGGGTGTACCTACATACAAGCGTTGATGTTCAATCTGGGACTCGAGCCCAGAATCATTCGCTTTACACGTTATTACGTTATTCACTTAGCTACTTAGACTTGATAACGCGATGTTACGCACGGTATGAACATACACATATATCCTGCTACCACTGAGTGAGCGATGCAGTTGTTTAAAAACGGGAACTAGGTAAGGATGGCAAAGCAATTGATTAAGTAGTGAAACGTCATCAGGTGAGATGGCAGGGATATGTGTTACGCATGCATATAGGTAAAAGACTTCGCATACGTCGGTCAAAAAAGAGACCAGTGGATGAAGAAATCAGGAATAAGTGCTGGAAGTGGATAGGACACACATTGAGGAAAGCACCACAATGCATCACAAGGCAAGTCTTCACTTGGAATCCACAATTCTAAGGAGAAGAGGAGGTTCGATGAACACATTACGCCGAGTAATGGAGACAAATATGAAGACAATGAACAAGAAATAGAAGAGAAGGCACAGAACAGAGTGGGATGGAGAATGCTGTTCGTCAGCCTATACTCAATCGGGAGTAACAAGAGTTAGTAAGTAAGTAGGTAACCCTGTAATTAATCACAATGTTCAATCACCATCTTATATTCAAGTAAATTGTTGAACGAAGATAATGAATGATTTGTAATATAAAAATGATATAACATACAGCAATAAACCAACAATAATGGATGGTATCAATTGCCCGCCACTTTGACCAGCCATCCCACTACATAAAGACGATTATTATTATCATTATTATTAGTTGTTTAATTTACAGTAATGACGAGAGCATTATGATGACAAATGATACTGATATTTGTATTGCAACAAGTATAAGCACCTATCATTGTGAATGATTACATAATCATAAAGCATAATCTACTGTTTTGGTATATGTGGATACAACCGTCATACGATTATCATGTTGGATAATATTCATTACAGTGATTCCTTCAATGTTCTTCATTCCAAGATATTCAACCATAGCAGGCATTACTTCCAATGTGGTTTCCTAGAATAAACATTAAAAAAATAACCATATGAAAGTTTCATCATAAATGTGATTTATCACTGAATATGCTGTATTCAAAGAGGAAACGAGTGGAGGTGAGTGTGGTGTATGCTACTGATGTCGACAGATAAGAGTAGTATGTAACACCAGTCAAAAATGAAATGGCTTGAGACAGAAGTCCAAGAAGTTTAAAGAGAAGAGAACGGGAAGTGATAGGTGTGGAGACGGAAGAACAGTCAAGTCGGGGACGGTTGATTGACATTTTGCAAATTATGTACTTACTGTATGGTTCTCACATTTTACTGAGTTGTTCTGTAATTTAGTATTCAAATACTATTGATTGTTACACATGGCGTTCTCGTTCACCACTATACTATCTACAGTCATATTAGTGGTTGGATTATATTCAAGAAATTTATGTCAAAAAAAGTTAATTACAGGAATCAAACTCCAAGGCTTAACTTGTTGTTGTCAAATAAATTTTTCGTTATATCCCTCTGAGTAGAAAAAATGGTATTTCTAATGTTTCGTAAAGTAATGTAAGCTACCTCTTCACAGAGTAGTTAAATTCGTTTATTAGTTTACTCAGAATTGATTCTGCACTGTTCATACTGATTTATGCGTCATTGTCTCTGATCAACAATCATTGACTATTCAAACATTTGGAAATATGTGATAAGGTGAAAAGGGGCAAACTACACTATTCCTCTCTCTCTCTCTGTCTCTCGTTCATGTCAATCACTACTGCCAATATTGTAATTGAAACAATCAAAATTTTACTTACTAATATTTAATCGTATTACTGAAACTGTAAGTTGAGCAGAACATTCACTCGAAGTGATTATTATTTTCTCTCTCATTGTGTGTGTGTGATCTTTTTAATTGTACCCTTCCATAGACTACCAATAATCATGATTTGTGTACACTATTCGTCCGATAGTCTAGTTAGACAGATAGACATGTACACCAATAAAATAATTTTTGAAAACCTGTCGAATTAGATGTTTTTTTTGAAATGCTATCATCGTGTAGAGATGAAAACCGAAAGGCAAGCGTTGGTAACCAATCGCTACTGATGATAACTGAACACTTCGATCAATATATCATTTCAATCCGTCGGTCAGTCAACAACAACGTAGAACTTCGTACGTATGTACATCAGTTGAAGTAGTCATACCACATTAGAACAGACATACAATTGTCGATTCAAATCCCATAGTGGTAGAGGTTGTAAGAGCATATTTTGCAAATTTACGATTGACTTTACGGTATTCAGATTTTATTGAGATAGTCTGTAATTTTGTGCTAAATACATTCGATTATCCCCACCCGTGTTCTTGTTCACTACAGTGGTAGAGGTTGTAAGAGCATAAACAGTAATCGGAAGCATTAGAGTTTGAAGATGTTAATCAATGAGTATAATCCACTGAAATAAATCTGGAAAGAGAAAAAAGTAACGGACATGAAGAATTCAGAAGAATAAGATTTGGGAGAACACAAAGAATGAATACATCTGCGCCATTGTAAATGATTTTAAGCCGTGCCATTCAAGGTCTCTAACCATCGGTTGCTATCGTCTGGCGGATCTCAACCAAGTAGTTCACACCTACCAACATGGCTCAGTCCACTTGTCAATGACCTCATGGACTTGTGCCATGTTTCGATCTGGCCGCCCCAACCTTTCTTCTAACATACACCTACACCTTAAAACATCGCTCGTCGGAGCAGTTGGTGGTTGTGCATGCATAACACGTGTCCCAGACGTATCCACCGATGATATTTCACCACTTCATCAATTGAATTGCCATTAATAATTAGTACCTGAGCTACAAATCTTTTAGTACCTGTTTCCGAACAGCTGCATTATTTACTCGGTTGTTCCAGCATATACGACCAATGGTTCGAAGACAATTATGATCAAACACTAGTAACTTACGAATATCCTCTGCTCTTGCCGGCCACGTTACACAGCCATAATGTAGAACGGAACAAACTGATGTGCAGTAAACCCGTCCTTTGTTTGGTGGATGGATATCACGCTTACGCCATAAATGACGCAAGTTGGTAAAAGCTAGTCGAGCGTTCTGTATCCGTGCTGAGATTTCGTCACACACCACACCACTACGGCTGATGGAACTCCCAAGATAAGTGAAGCGGTCGACACCCTCAACTACTTCACTCCCTAGCATTAGTACACGTGCCAATGCAACCCAATCATGAAGCAACATTCTGCATATCGACGGCGAGAATCGCACGTCAACGGCAAAGTTAAACAAGAATGGAGAGTGGACAGTCCTGACGAACACCACTTGAAGTAATCAATTCTGATGATAGTTCGCCATAAGCTCTCACTCGACCAGTTGTGTTCAAACGAAGAGCATGTATAACATGTATTTACTTTGTTGGTACTGCTTTCAAGAACAAAAATTGCTATAAAACCTGTTGGGGAGGTTTGACCGCCAGAACTCACTTCGAAAAGGACCTACTTTTGTAATTCTATTTAGAAAATTTGAATTTCCTTGTCTCCGAGTCTTTGTTCCGTTCGCATACTAAGTGAACACGTAACCGCTTCACACCTAGCAGAACCTCACGATCAACAGAGTCAAATGCCACCTTGAAGTCAAGAGACACTAACATTGTGTGACGTCTAAAAATGTCTGTGTTCTGACACCTAACGTAACGTGAATATCTGGTCTATACAACCATTTCAAAGTTGAAAACTAGATTAGTTTTCTCTAGTCAACTCCTCACAGGATTTATTCAAGCTTATATATATCATTTAGAAGTAGATTTCCTTCCATTGAAGTTTACTTGAATCTCAATGTTGTTTGCTTAGACTAGTTATATATAGGTGACTATGTCTTTACTGTGAAACAATTGATAATCAACTATGATTTGGAAACAAACTTCATATTTCATATTTGAAAATATATAGCATTGGAATTAGTGGAATAAAACACTAAGGACAAGCAATTCATACATTAATGATACTGACGACTGTGGCTTACCTGTAACGACGACGTTGAACGAACTGATTTCATCTTCCAAGTTGGATCTAAAATACCCTTCAATCATTAGATAGATTTCTAATGAATATTTTGTTTATTCATATTATCTATTGAAGTTTGATCAGGTTTGAATTGCTCACATTGATTCATACTCATGTATCTGATCAAGGTTCATATGTATAGGGCAACAGTCAATTAGAAACTCAATATAACAAACATAATCAAAATGATACAGAAAGCGCAAACATCAGTGTTTGTTAATTTTTATTTCAATAGTTTTGTGACCAGATATGAGAACTATTCACTCCATTTCATAAGACTTAGATATCTGTTGCTCTATTCATCTACACACTCACTAGACTACACAAGAAATAGTGTAGTGAACGAGAACACAAGTGTTTGAATACACAATTACAGAACGTCTTGGTCAAATCTGACAACCATACAGTATACACTTCATTTGCAAAATGTCAATCAATTGTCTCAGAATTCATTGTTCCCGCTCTTAACTCCTTGACCTTCTCGACCTTCCGCTCGCAGACATTCTATTCCTCACTTGTGTTATATACTACTTATGTGAACATAAGTGGCACACAACACAACAGTGTATATTAAGTTCACCACTCAAATCATAGTTCTCGGCAACTAGAAATAACTGAAAAGACACACAGAGAATGATAATCAGTCTACTTCAAAAAGATATTCTCTATCCATTTGAGTACAGATGTGCTAAAGAAAAAACAATCGCGAATTCCAATCCAATGGTTGACTGATATGATGAAGAACATTCTGATCTGGTCAACTTTCAAACTAAATGGTTCACCAATATTTACATTTGTGGTTTCCCATCACACTTCTGATCCTCATTTAGTGATGTACCAAACATCCTATCGAAATATCCAAACAGCATACCGAAATCGATTCAAGGTAAACTACATTAACCGGTCAAACGATTCAGAGTCCGATTCCCCGTGTCGTCGGTGTGGATCTGCACATCTGGAGGTCCTCATATTACAATTCATAACTGTCTACTGCTTCTTCATTTTCAACAGTGGTCTAAAAACAGTTCGTGATTAAAACTATGAAAATTCTATGATTTAGGCAAAACTCTATACTCATTTGTTGCTAAACAATCGGTACCTACATCCAACTATACAATTGAATTTAAAGAACTTCCCAAACTCAGCACAGCTAACAATTACTCTGACTTATTTCAGTGCTCTGATATATAGATCTGTGTTCTGTGAATTTCAAACGAAGTGGAGTAGGATTGTTATCACTTTTCACGTGACAATTTGATGAAATCATCATGCTTATCAAACTACATATATATTGTGACGCTAGTTAATAGAGATCAAATGACAGTTTTGTATCACTTCCAAGTGTGAGGTTTGTCAAGAAAGGATAGTATTGCGATGTCATTTTCCATGATATCATCCGAGAGAGATTGCATCTACTTCTTAAATTTCGAGTGTTAGACATTATGAGTCAATCGAAGCTGGACCACCATGGAAAACCTAGAAGCAGTCGACAGTTGTTTCGTCATATTATAGGACTCCTCAGCAATGCTCATCCACAATTTAGCTTCAATTGAATCATGATCTCAACTATAAAAATTAATTATATTGTCCACAAAATCCCCTCCTGATACTTCTTAAATGATTTAAATCTTTCTATTTGATTAAATAACAGCATTCACTTGATGCGGTGAGTCAATCAAATATCAATAAACTGATAAGCGCACGACCACGGTTTCCTAGCTCGGGGACAAACAATTAGAAAGTTTTGTTTATCAGCATTGGAATTGGCGATCGAATCACACTACACCATTTACATACTTGACTCGATATGATATCCTAATGAATTAGAATGTTAAAACATTTGTCATCTTCTTTCTAATCCGTAGACTGTTGTAATTTACATTCTTGGTCGTAAATTGAGATGAAGTTTTGATTGATAGAGACTTGTAGTGTTATATAATAAATAGGAATCTTAATGAATAACCCATATGAAACGTAAATAATTGGTTATATTTATTCAATCTAAAACTGCTGCACGTGGATCCTTATTGGCAGAAAATCGAATTTACTGAAACTTCTCTTGACAAACGAATTCAATAGATTAACAGTCCTGATGTCATACAGGCAAAGAATTAAACTTTTTTGGAAAAATATTGATCAAGAATAGGTATTCATCTAGATATTTGACACCATTATAAAGCTTACAAATCCATAATCATCAATAAACTCAGAGCCAAAGAATACGTTTCACATAGACATTGACTTCGGTGGTCAAAAAATCCATCCTGAGAAGGATTTCCAACAGCAACAACATTAAAGTTAGGATTGTCCAGTCGATTTATTATCAAACAACTTATCCCATACTACAAAGTTCGATCCATTTGATCACAATCTCAAATGTAGAACATTTGTAGTGACAAGTAAAACTCCAAGCTTCGATAGTAATACTCTAGTAATGATATTGATCTAAACAATTCGATTATTTTGAAGATAATGTGCACAATCTCTACCAGTAGATCAGAAGAACTGGCTATCTCTAATAAATGAGTATCTTTCCAAATATAAAAAAGACACCAATTTTGTGAAATATAAAGATGGAAGTTCCAAATGTCCTGGTACGGTCGAGGGTGAGAAGAGTCCGCACTCTATCTCCAAATGCTATCTTGCTTTTCATTGATCATAACTGCTTTAAATATTGCAAAACAAAATAAGAAGTTTACTTCCAACGGGTACATCATCCTAATGCACAATTCTACTACTTTATGATCAACTTACACAACTAAATATAGTAAATAATGTTATTCATTTTATAATTTGGTTTTGTGTGTCATATTAAATGAAGTAGTTCAGTCTCATTCATGATTCGTTAATAACAGCCTACAAGTGCCCAGGTACAGTCGAAGATCGTGTGAATCAGCCATCCCTCTCGAAACGCACTTACATAATCACGTGTATACAACCAATCCCACACACTTCCTTTTCGCACGTTGGGTATTGTTTACGAAATTGAGAGCACTATAATCGAATGTTTGGTGATTTAACTGGGTTAGTGGATACGGACGGTCGACATAGGGGAGTAAAAAAAAAAACCAATTCCACACCATTGGTGAACATGGACTCCAATATCCTGAAGGAACAAATAGTGTATGAACCAATTGTTGATCATCGGCTACTATGAAATTACATCTCTTTACATTGCTTCACTACCTTGTGGATTAGATTTTGAATTCAAAGGGTTCAGGTGTGGCCCACGAAGAAAGCCACATATTTCGGTTGAGGTACCCGGACAGTATATGTATTCGGTGCTCCTCTGTATCAATATTAATGTGTTCAAATAAATAAATAAAGAGAAAACATAGAAAAATGTTCACAAAAATTCATTATCATTCTTTTGATGAAACAATTAACAAATTCATGGTAGTAACAATCATCATCATCATAATAATAATGATTATTATTATTATTATTAGTAATATCACTGGTAACAACAACAACAATGATTATGTAATCAACATTTAATTATTGTCAAAGTACAAAAGAAAGAAAAATTCACCTAAAAAAAAAGAATTGAATAATACCTATTTTTGTATTAATATAAAATTACTAATAATTAGTTGCTGGCTTGTTTTTCTTTTCGTTCTTTTTTTTTCTTCTTTTTGGTTCATAAATTAATATAAAGTGCTTAAAGAGAACAAAGTTCACAATAAATCAATAATTGAGAAAATTACCTACAATACATATACATATACACATATAGATAGATAGAAACAGATAGGACAAAAACAAACTCAGAGAGAGGGGGAGCTTATACCTAAATAATATATATATATATATTCCCAATATAGAATTCAATATTATTACTATGAAGTAATAGTGGTATTACGTAATAGTGTTATGCAATAGTGAAATATTCTAAAAAATAATTGATAATAAAAGAATAAGAATAAGATTGTACGCATTTTTCAGATGAATAATATATCCCTTAAATAAACTATATGCATAGTAACAATGAGTAAGAGAGAAAGACAAACTGATAGATAGACAGACAGACAGGTGCACTTGGCATTGAGGATTGATTCAAAGAGGGAAGAACAAGTAGAAGGAGAAAAAGAGGAAATGTGGAGTAACTCGTGTTACACAAGGAGACAAAATAAAAACGAATGAAAAAAATGCAATAAACTTTCATATAAAACTTACTTTGTTTGTGTGTGCATGTGTCTTATTGTTGTTATGTGTTTATGTTCAGGGAACCAGCTTTCTCTTCTTATTTATTAATAAGTGTAATAATAGATGCATTATAACAAGAGAATAACACTAGTAAAAGTAATAATAATAATAATAATAATAATAATAATAATAATAATACCTAACATGGTTACAAATAAGAAATAAATATAACTAATTAACATATAAAACGCGTATTCACACATTGAGAAGGACAAGTAAGAAAAAAAAACAAGAAGCATTACACAAAAACTATTTATTAATTCATTGTATCAAAACAAAAAATCTTATTAGCAAAAAACAGGGAGGGAAAAAAAAGGGGGGAGAAGGAGAGCAGAGCAAAACAATAACAACAAGAATATAATCGAAAGAATGTGGACATCATAGTGATCATGATGGGGAAATATTAGAGAATGATAAAGCTGCCCACATATGATGATGATATATATATGCCATTATATCTAGTATTGGTAATGCCAATGTACAAATAGAAATATAGAATAACCTAAACCTACCTGAGGTTTACAAATGTTAACACAATAATATTAATATAATGAATTGAGAAAATACCTAAATATGGTATGTGTATTATGGAGAATTAGAAGTGTGCATTTTGATAAATTGCAAATATCTTCTCAAAATCCTAACAAATTCATCAATAGTCAAGAAAAAGAAAAGGAAAGGAAAACAGTTAATAGTAGTAAAACAATTAGATTTATTAAAATAAACTATACAAATATATGTATGCTTACTAGTGACTGACTTCAAGAGGTATATCCTGAACTTCTAGTGAGAAACCATAACCAGTGGAGTTCAACAGGGTCTGTTGTGAGATAGTAACTCACTGAAGACAATAGTGCACTGCTGAGGAGCACCATAATAGGACAAAACGGCCGTCTAATGCTTCTAAGTTTTCCAAGGTTGTGTAGCTTCAATTAACTCATGATCTCAACTTTTAAAGAGTATTATAATAGTTGAACTCATGAATCGATTCAAACTAGACAACGTAGAAGCACTGGATGGTACTGAAGATAACGGTGAATGCCAGCAAAGTGGTCTAGACGTTAAGGGTTCGAGCGCGAAACTAGATGTCCTGAATTCAAGTCCCATGTGCAGAGTCATGAATGCGTACTGCTAAGGAGTCCTGTACTAGGACGAAACAGCCGTCCAGTGTTTTCAGGTTTTCAATGGTGGGCTAGCTTAAATCGACTTATGAATTCAGCTACTAATATATAGAAAACTGTTGAGGTTGTCCATCACATTTCTTAATCCTTAATAAGTAGGTAGTAGTAGAAATCATTTTTCGATACATCGGAAATTTCATTTTTAGACATACATCAGTGTAGTGCATATCAGTAAACTGGTTATTAAGGCTTTAGAAACAATCAGAAGAATCAACAAGCGAGCAGATTGTTGAGCAACCATTGGATATTGAGAAAAACATGTGAATAACATCGATCGAGAAAAACAAAAACTAAACCAAATTTTCAAAAAGTTGGATTACTTTGAAGAACAAAACTTATTGCGCCTCTGGATGATTGTTTCATATTTTATAGATTATCTCTAGATGTGAAATCTAAAATATACGTTTCGTCTTCTAATCAGGACTCTAATATCAACTGAATACACACTCCCATCACAATATTTACATTGACCGCCTCCTATCTGGCAGTACCTGATATGGTCAAGGGTGGTGTGAATCATCTATCCCTCTTGAGATGCTTTAACATGAGCACGCGTATACAGCCAATGCCAATGGGGGTCCGGGCCGCATCCAACCCCTTACATAAATCAAATTATGAAGTGTTGCGCATATATATTTGGTGTTTAAATGAATAAATAATAAACTATCTGGCAGTATTTAACGTTCCACATACGCTAACAGTCGAATATAATTCTAAACGTGTGATTACTAAAATGGTTATATCTAGGAGAGTTTCACATGAAACACAAACTGATTCATTATATTTTATGACAAAGAAAATGTGGAGATATCATACTGATTTACAAACACACTGGGTTCAATCTAGGACACTGAAGTTTCGTAGCACCGGCATCTAATGATATATAATTATCACAAAATGCAAATTAAATATTGATCCAAAGTAGGATGATAAATGTAATTAATGGTTAAATAAACACTCTGGATGATACGGGTAAAATGAGAAATATATTCTTTCATTATCTCCCTCACTCTCTTCTATAAGACGAGATTCTTCATGTGTTATTTTTCAGACAGTTATATATGTTATACTATTGATTTAACTCCTTTTATATACGTGTTGTTAATTTCACCATGCTCTGCTAATGCATGGCAAGACAACTTGTACAGATGAACACGTATGATGGATACCAAGTTGGTTGTAATTGTCTAGAATAATTACCCAATGCTTTTAGTAGGTTTTTCATTCAAAAATTGAATTGACACTACCATGGGTGAGTTACTTAAAAATACCTGTAATCGGAGCTTCGTTTCATTCATCTCGTTGATTTAGGTTCAAGTGCTGAAAAGTCCATCAATTCCCTCGAGACATAAAGTGCTCTATCCTGATGAATACCAACTACTATGAAACCGATGTCTACCACAGTTTCCTGTGACTTATTTTTAATCACTTAATACACTACTAAAGTGCCAATGAATCGAATTTAGTGTGATTTCAAAAAGCTAATCACTACCAAATGAGATTTTAAGTACACCATACAAAGATTTTTTTTTAAAAGTAAACTTACATCTGACAATGACATTCTATCAGTAACATGTGCATATTTACAAAATATTAAATTAGAAAAATCTGTATGTAAATTGATCAGTTGTAATGTTGGCCAACCATCAGTTTGTAGAACAATTTCATTAAGGAAATGATTTAACTTTTTCAAATCTACTTGGATTGATGTACAAGTACTAGTAGGAATAGGAGTAGGAGTAGTAGTACTAGTATTAGTATTGGCAGTAATATTAAGAGTTGGTGATGGTGTTCGATTAAATGATTGATCATCATGAGATTTTGGACTGGATCGTGGTCGATGATATGAATCTTCAGAAAGTGGTGATTTAAATAAATTTGACGCTGGAAAAAATATTTATAATCAACAAATCAACCGATAAATTTATTAACCAAGAAAAAAACAATCTTGGAAAAATCCAGTTGTTCAAACTGTCACGATAGTTTAATATATAATACATGTATCAGTTGGGATAGTTAATCAATCAGATGTTTCTCCAGCTCCGACTATGACTTGTGTGACGGTACGACCTACAAATCCTCTTATTGGTTAATTTACTCGTTCAGTGGACCAATCAGCATAAAGTGTTTAATCGGTTCTCCAATATGATTGGTTAATAACATATATATATGAAAAGTTGTGGTTTTATTGTACATAGTTATAATTTATAATCATAATTCAGTTTTTATCTGATGATATTCTAAGAGTATGATAAGGTATAGAATTTACTAAAAGTGATTTAATCGTATTTTGTATTGGTTCACCTGTTATCCGTGAAAACAAAATGGTGTTAATGTCTACCCTCAACCAGTCCACGAAGTTGCGCGACTATCTTCCATTGTACTGAGGTAGACACCTCTTTCTAGCCGACACGGGTTAGCTGCCCTGGTCACGGCTTCTCACCAAAGGCTGAAGACCTTGGGTTCGAATCCCCAGAACGGGATCGTGGATGCGCACTTTACTGAGGAGTCCTACAACCGTCCAGTGCTTCCAGGTTTTCAATGATGGTCTAACATCAATCGGTTCATGATCTCAATCAAAAACCTAACAATCTCCACAACCCATAAACTAAAAACAAAATGGAGTTACCTATTTTTACAACAATAGAATTATTGTAATTAACATACATGTTTTAGACTAATTTGAAATGATTAGTGATAAGTCTTCTAAGTGAACGTTAGATTCGGTTCTCAAGCTCTTCTAGTAACCGCTAGACTAGATCTACAACACATCTTAAACACGGGAGAAAAGATGCGAGATATGGAAGAAACGCTTTATATCCCAAAGGTTCGTTTATGTGCGAAAAATCTAGTTTGCATGGTATTTTAGTTGGCTTTGGGTTTTCGAAAAATTCTGGAATGCTACTAAACATAATATAAGTTATTATCCAATCAAAAACTCGACATGTGACTTCTAGTGAATACTTATTGGATAAGATACATCTCAGTGTTTTCAGAGCCTTTCTTGGCTTTTTTTTCGAGGAGTTTTCTAGATCTTCCCAACAATTAGTAACCATAAATTCCAACTATAAGTACTGACGTAAAATTAAAGAAGGCTTGAAAATTATTGTGTTAATAAATACTGCTACTGACTCTTTTATTCAGAGTCACGTCTTGATAACGTCATAAGTCATTGTATAACATCATCATATCTAGGACCTCAAGTGGGAAGTAGTGATGGATCAACACACAAATACCTGTCCTATATAACCAGTATTCACATTAAGGTAGTATGATATGAAATGATAACATCTGCGCTTTTCTCAAAGACGTTCGACTGTCAATACTATCACAAATAGAATATACATTTACAGCATAAAAGCCCTAATACATGGATATCCACCTGGTTACAATTGAGTTGATCTATTCTGTAGCCAGTGATTAATAATAATAATAATAATAATAATAATAATAATAATAATAATAATTACTGAGTAAAACATACACTGTTCATTAGATGTCAATTGAGAAGGTTCAGATTCATTTTCTTCAAATGATTTTATTAAAGTAGGCTGTTTAATTGAATAAGAAAAGAGAAAACTACGATATATAAGTGAATAAAAATGTCATACACATACACAAACGTCCAAAAAGAGGCTTATAGTTAATAGTGGGAAATTAATCCACTAAGAAGAGATATATGTTGAATAGCAGCGGAATTCATAATGCACATCTTTTCCCCATGTATAAGACTCGTCCGTTAGATTTACGGTACACATTAGACTATGGAGTATAAATAACCATGAATTTGTTCGATGGGTATGATATTTACATCCTGTTGTTGATATATTCAGGAATGGATTTTCTATCAGTCATTGTTTTTAATAATATATTAAATGTAAAGACGAGTATTACTTTCTAATTTTTTGAACATTGGAGTGATTATTTGGATTCTCAGCAGTGATGACGTAATAGAACTACAACACTCATTCCTTTGGGTCTTATGATGCAAAGTGCGTAGGTTGGAGGATGGTAAGTATAAAAGAATCAATCCTAAGGTTTAAGGGTGTGACAGAAGTAAGGTGTTACCCTCAAATAATGAGCATCTTGAATGATGATGCTTTCTCATAACAGAAGGAGAAAGTGAGTCCTTCTCGATCTTTTACCGAAATACATTTTATTCCTGACTATCATTATATACTACTTATGTGGATATAAGCAGCTCACATCACGCTACTACTCGAGTTAGCTAACATGAGCACCTCCACAAATCCTTTATTTCATTGTTAGAAAGATTTCTTGAATTGCTTTAAATCATGGAAAAATACATAAAAAAGAATAACTCAAAAGTCACAATTTATTTGTTAACTTACTCCAGGAGATGACCATGTATCAATATCACAGTCTAATTCACTTGATTGTAACTTTGATGGACTTTTTAAAGAAGAATTAGATGAAGTCGTACGACGACGTCTGTTCGATGACTGTAATTGAAGAATATCACTGAGTTCTAGAATAGGTGATTCACCCTGAATGTAAAGGAGGATAAACAAAGGTTTATCTAAATCTAATTTTTGCAGGAGCTCATCACTGACTGCATGATGATCTTATAGAAATCACTAAGTAGCCTAAAGTTGACGGCTAACGGCGAAGACTGTGTCGTTTATCAGACCTATGAGATTGGAGGGTTTTCTTTATACCCTATCAGTGTGACTGATTATTTTGCGTACCTAGGTATATGGTTCAATTATCATGGTATTGTACAAAAACTTATAATTACGATGACTGTGTTAAGGAAGATCATGGACTTTCCATTATCAGCAATTCAACGAATGGCGGTACTAAAGCACTAAAGCTTCTCAGCACTTGCTTTTCAATGTCACACCGAAACTTCAGTATGTGGGCCAGATCGGCTTGGTATGTAAAACAGAGATCGAAAAGTAAGCAAGTACGACAACCGCTGCGATCACCATACGACACGGTTGTTAGTTATTTTTATGCTCGTGTGAGCGATAGTGGAATTGGTATTGAGTCCATTTATATACAATCATTCCAATCCGACGGTTTCAACGATTCATCTCGTTGAATTCACGAAGTTGCTCTTGGTGGATTGGTGGTGTCCAATTCGGATGGCATGTATAATGCGTGGAAAACACAACTGTATGACACTCAAGATGGTAGTGGCCTTGGAAGCTCAAGCCATAGCACATCATCGCACTTATGGGTTGTGCCCAGCGGTTGCGTATCGCCAGGCATAATAGAGTAATGTCAGGATCATAGGGTAATTTTCTCATGAATAACTAATATATCCATCAATAATGTAAGGACCAATAAAAGGCAAGAGACGATCAAAAAACTTGCATACAAAAGTTCCTAAAGATCTTAAATAAGCCAATTTATAAATCATTACACTTCCCATTTTTTATCCCATTAGGATCACTATCTTCACACTTACATGCAACCTCCGACTATAACGATAACCTTGTGGAAGAGGTAATGATGGCTTCACACCAGTCCCTTGAGATGTTTGATCCATCCCCTTGAAGCATTGATGCTCTGATCCTTTGACTTTTGAATGACGCATCGAGGTCGAAGAAGTTTTAGTTAGTTGGGCATGAGACAAACGTGCTGCACGTGCTTGAGTTGCCTATAATCAATTGCAATTTAAACGCATACATTAAATTCAGCACACACACACGTAAACAACTACTTTAAAGAAAAGTACACATAGTTGTCAATCTATAAAGAAACAAACTGAGGAGAAAGTTCTTAGTGTGTTTCAGTAAAAATCTATGTAACTTATACAATGCTACTAACATTTCAACACACCACACGAGTCATTCAGTTTGGTAGCTACATTGAAAATTCACTGATAGAATCCTTTCAGCACTGAAGATACGAAATAAACATGACAATGCTCAGTAACTAATCAAGTGTAAACAACTCAACCCTTCCATAGAGTAGTCAACAATCAAACAGCTCAGTAGTAACACCTTATCAAAATGTGAAGCTGGATGACACGTGTTCAAATCTTAAAGCGGACGCTAAACCCACCTCAAGTGCTCCTGTATTTCTCATGAATGTTTCTCAAACAACACGACACTTAGATTTAGCAGGACTTCCTGTCGACTAACCCTAACTACCTAATCGACTGAAAACTACCAGTAAAAAAACTATATTTTACTGGTATATCATTTAAGATTTTTAATGATTAGTAAATGATTGTAATGTAGTGTGCATATGTAGTACAGACAGAAGCAATAACAATTGTGATATACATACCTCTTCACATAATTCATTCAAATCAACAGGTTGCAATTCTTCTTCCATGCGTAAACATGCTTCATCCCAAAATTCAGATGCTCTAGAACGAATATCTCGACTTCGTGGTATATTCGGTGGATTATATTCCAATGCATTCAGATAGACTAATTCTACATCCTTGTAAAAGTATGCAGACAAAAATAAAAGCGAAGAAAACACAAACCAAAGTGCAATTTAATAACTTTTATTATAAGCCATAGTATAAGAATAGTCTGCTAAATGACATGTTATTGAGTTTGTACTTTTAAACAACATGTTGAGGTTTCAAAATGGTAAGAAAGATGGTAGAATAAACGTAACAAATACATCGAAAGTCATTTGATATGGATATAAATTATTATAGGGTACACTACTGTACTCTGAGATAGTCAGAGATGTTATGATGGGGGAGAATAAATGAAAATGTGAAACTTCAGAGATCATTCCCTGTGTGAGTAAACGCATTTTTCAGGTTGTGCAGAAACCATGTTAGTGAACTCATTGTAGCGGTATCCTCCAATGAGTATGGGTATAAAAGTGAGTGAACATTAACATTCCTTTTTGTTCGCTCACTGTATGTGCTTCAGCACCCACACATAAATTGGTATACAAAACTAGAGGTAACATAAAGTGAGTACTTATCCACATTTGAAGGTCTTAACGAGCACCTTGTTTGATATATTGAAACTAGTTTTGCTGCTGGATAAGTCTTTTTTCAATGAAGCCCTTAGTCTATGCTCAACCTTACATTTTAAACCAAGTCGAGTGAAATCAGGTTTTTTCTTCACTGTGGCACACTCCGTTACTAACATTATTATCTTCTCATATATATTGATCAACTTGCATGGATAACCATTAACCTTTTGACACTTTTAAACAGTGATTAATTTCTCGTCAATCTTGTCATCTAAGCATAATTTCGATAATCGAGTGAATAGATTTTTAATTAAATCTCATTTAGTTTCATCTATCATAATGACGTTATGGAAGGTTTATTTTTGATTGATATAGTCTCGATAGCATTCGTTACTTCAAATAGGAAATGCAACCCTAATGTACTACATTCTGAAATACTCAATGAAGTGATAAGTAACCTAAATGTACAGAATCAATAGTTTTGTTGTGAAATATATGCTTCAAGACGAAAAATTGTAGTGAAGAGGTGTTAACATGTTTTTATTAACTAAGTGGTGTTGTTCATCCAAGCACGTAAACATTCATGGATGCTCTAGACAAGGAATGTTTTAAAAGACTTAAAAATTGAACAGATTGTTGTAGAATAAAAGTACCAAGAGGTAGCAGGACAAGTTAAAGTGAGTGATAAAGATCAGTGAAGAAGATCGAGATTACCCTTATTAGTATCCGTTATTACTGAACCCAAGACCTCCGATGATATGAAAGAACGTTTGATCTCTAGACAACTAAACTGGTATTCGACGAGATACAAGTCTAGCCTCAATTGATCCCTGATAGATGTACTGTTAAGTCTGTTTTACGTTCTTCGTCCTTATTTACTTCCCTTCAAAACTTTCGTATAGTTTCATACTACTTATAATCATTCAGTAAATAGTTGTATTCCTAACAATTTCTACGTGTATGAACAATTTTTGCTTGCTGATTAACCGTTATCAAGCATAAACACAACTAACGGCTGTCATTTATACTATCGAAGTACTTTTTTATTTCAGACAAAAATACGCGGAGAACGTCACAGACAACTCACAAGTTGAAGTACATAAACAACCGCTTTTTCAGACAAATAGTACTTCTGTGAAATTCGATTTCGTGCGTCTCACAATTGGGACGCTTCGATAGACTCAACACGTACTATAAATAAAAATTTTAAACTTTTGGAAAATAAAACAAAAAACACTCAGAATTACCTTCATGAAATCAGTTACATTAGTATATTGATGTGAATCAATTTTATCACGTATAAGACCTAAATCCATTGGTTGTTTAATAACATCATAATAATCCGGTGCTTCATCTAATTGAACTGGTCTAGTGAATACGGTGAAACGACGAAAACTTGCTAAATGTGCAACAACTCTACGTAGAATTTGTCGAAGACGACGAAATAATTGCATTTCCCTAGATTCAATAATAGCTAATTCTTCAGGGGAGGGATTTACTGGATAACGATCTTTTTTATACTTTCCTGAAACATCATCATCATCTTTTTCAACAGCTGGTTGTGGACTAGGTCTGTAACAAATAGAAAAAAAAAGAAGTGAGGAAGGAAAAATGAGTTAATGTATTGATGGGTGAATAAATATTTATAATATTGAGAGACCGTATTCGACATAGTTTGTGAAAAATATTAGACTCCAGAGTTTTCATCGGCTCTCAGAAGGTGAATTGGGTTAGTTGGTGGTGGCTGTTCAAATATCAACAACGGTGTTAAAAGCATCCCAGGCTTTTACTAATCGAAGTATTTGCTTATATATGTTAGATTCTCATATGGGTATGTATCTATCATCAGGTAGAGATGTGGCTTAATAGTTAAGCAATTCGATCTACAACCACTAAATACCAAGTTCGAATTCCATTCCGCTTGAGTCAGGCTTGAAGGACTTAGTAGCATCTCCAGCCTTACACACAGTAGTGGCTGAAAGTTAAGTACAGAAATTTGTACTTGGTAAGTGAGTTAATATCAAAAAGTTACATAACTCTATAACTATTAAAACTAGACATCCAAACGTTAAATACACGTGTATAGGATCAAATCGTCAGATGAACAATTCTGAAGTTAACAAGTCATTTGACAAAGCTGTGAATATTCATCAAACAGGTTTACTGAGATTTTATGCTTAACTAGCATTATTGACTTGACGTACTAGGCTCTGCGAGTCTGTGCATACCGTGTACCTTAGTAGAAACCAAAGGGCTCAGTGCCACCTCAAGATTAAACGACGGCTCAGAAACTATAGACGAAGCACGCTATTGGTGGAAGTAGAATATGTACTTAGTCCAGTATATAAATGTACGATCTGTGTTTATCATAATAAAACTTGCCAATTAATTCTGTTAAGATACAGACTAGTGTAGTGAACGTTACTGACAAGGATGTATGTAAGTAGTATGTAGCAGAACGCGGTGTCGAACTTGCAACAATTGTTGGACAGAGTGAAAAGTTTCAGTGCATCGAAAGCACAGCCTTGGCAGGTCACTAGGAGGCCAGTGGAGAACACAGTTCCGATTACAGAATACACCGGAAGATGCAAATGGACGATTGAAGGCTAGGTATATGTATTATTTAAATGCTTTGTGACTTATCGCAATCAATGCATATCTCCTGCATATTGTCATGTTTTACACTAGGACCGAACTTACTTACTTACTTACGCCTGTTACTTACAATGGAGCATAGGCCGCTGACCAGCATTCTCCAACTCACTCTGTCCTGGGCCTTCTCTTTTATAGTTCCATCCAATTCTTGTTCATTTTTCTCATGTCTATCTCCATTTCTCGGCGTAATGTGTTCATTGGTCTTCCTCTCATCCTTTGGCCTTGAAAATTCCATGTGAGGGCTTGTCTTGTGACGCAGTTGGGTGCTTTCCTCAATGTGTATCCTATCCACTTCCAGCGCTTCTTCCTGATTTCTTCCTCCGCTACAATCTGGTTTGTTCACTCTCACAGTAGGTTGTTTCTGATAGTGTCTGGCTAACGTATCCGAAGTATTTTGCGTAGACAGCTGTTAATAAACACCTGTAACTTCTGGATGATGGCTTTAGTAGTTCTCCAAGTATCCACTCCATACAGTAGAACTGTCTTGACATTTGTATTGAAAATCCTGACCTTGTTGTTGGTTGACAGACAGTTGTTTTGAGTTCCAGATGTTCTTCAGTTGAAAATATGCTGCTCTTGCTTTACCTATCAGCGCTTTCACATCTGCATCACACCCACCATGTTCATCAATGATGCTGCCCAGATATGTAAAGGTTTTTACGTCTTCCAAATCTTCTCCGTCAATTGTGATTGGATTGGTGCATTCTGTGTTGTATCGGAGAATCCTGCTTTTCCCCTTGTGTATATTGAGACCTACTACTGCTGAGGCTGCTGCCACACTGTTTGTCTTCTCCTGCATCTGTTGTTGCGTTTGGGATAGAAGGGCCAGATCGTCTGCGAAGTCTAGATCATCCAACTGCATCTTAGATGTCCATTGTATCCCGCGCTTCCCTTCAGACGTTGACGTCTTCATGATCCAGTCGATCACCAGGAGAAAGAGAAAGGGTGAGAGTAAGCAACCTTGCCTGACACCGGTCTTCACTTCGAACGACTTTGTCAACTGTCCTCCATGCACGATTTTGCAGTGTAATCCATCATATGAGTTCTGTATGATATTGACTATCTTCTGAGGCACGCCGTAGTGTCGAAGAAGTTTCCATAGTGTTGTTCTGTCCACGCTATCAAATGCCTTTTCGTAGTCAATAAAGTTGATGTAGAGTGATGAATTCCATTCAATTGATTGTTCCACAATGATCCGTAGAGTTGCGATTTGGTCTGTACATGATCTATCCTTACGGAATCCTGCCTGTTAGTCACGAAGTTGGGCGTCTACGCAGTCCTTCATCCTGTTTAACAATACCCTAGGACCAAACAGGTGTCTATTATTTACTTAATTATTTATATGAACACATAAACTGAGGGGGATCAAACTAAATATGCGCATTACAAAATTTGTGTGAGAGCTAGAATACTACCCGGATGACTAAACAAAAACTAGGAGCTACTCCCCGAGCCGCTGATAGGGTAATCTAATCCACAAGGCAATGCACCAACGTCATGAAATGAAGTCCCATGGTAGTCAGTGGCTAACAATATCTTCATGCGCCATTTCTTCCTTCATGATCCTGTAATCCATGTACACCATTGGTTTTCCAACTCTTCTAAGTGGATCCACCGTACCCAACAACCCGGTTTAAGGGCCAGAAATTCGTTTTCCGTGATGATAATAATACTGGACAGTCAAATTCAGTAACCTACTAATGATTAAATGCATATTTCACTCATTCTATGAAGTACACCTACTACCTACCTAGTACTTATGTAATGAATGAGAACTCAGTTGGGGAAAACCAACTTATTGTTTAATGCAAAATTACGGTATCTTCGTAAATATGAAAGCTACATTAAATACATTATTTGCAAATCTTCCTTCAGTGGTTCTTTACGTGATTCATGATTCATTCATTTATGTTGTTACTGCAATAGCTCTGTTTTCCTTCCTATTCTCTTCGATTCAATCTTCTTAATGTTCTGATGCCAGGCATTCCACTTTCAATTAGCGTTACATACTACCTATATGCACTACACTAGTCCCCCCTTTAAACGATCATTTTTTTCAGTTGTTCTGCTCGCAGTGCCACGCTACCCGGTGGTATATCGATTCCGCCGATGCGATAACCTCCATAGCTCTATAGACCTGCCGATCATCTTACTCTGATGTCTACCTGGCATTCATCAGGATGTCCTGCATCTCGCCATCGGCAGCGACTGCTACATATAACGCCGCCCCGACAGAACATTCCACTCAACATATCCTTCCTGCATCCGACACCATACCAACTAATGACTCCATTTCCGGCTCCACAAAGGAGTATACAGAACTTCATCTCAATTCTCATTCATTAAACATGAATTCAGATAACATATCCAATTATTCAAACACTTTGGGAAAATTTCATATTACACTTTACAATAAATAAACACAAAATAGGATATTAATATGAACTTACATTTGTGTATTAGATAATTGTTGAATAATCGATTTATTATCACGTATATGTAATAATTCCATTGATGTTAATTGAGGCCATTTAATAATAACTGATGTAAAAAATGCTAATCTTTCCTCTTTATTAGGTAATTCTAAATGCATAAATTCTGTATGATTACTATTGAATATTTTATGTAATATATGATTTATATATAATGAATTATCAATATTTTTTAAATAATCATTATCTAAATCTGTATAATCCGATAAGTAATTATGAGTAGTATCATTATTGTTATTAGTAGTAGTAGTATCATGAATAGTAGTATTCCCTTTATTATCTGTAATAAAATCTGTATTCATTAATGATGTTGGTGTGATGTAAGAATTCATTTTAGCATTAGATGATGATCTATGACATTCTGGTAATTGAATAGTAAATTGAAATTTAATACTATTTAAATCATGGTCATATGTATATTTCATTAAGTGTTCATTCAATCCAACAGTAGTAGTACCATTATTATTAGTATTACCACTAATATCATTATTTTTATTATTATTATTATTATTATTATTATTATTATTATGCATTGTATTGGGAACGATCGAAGATGGTGAAGATCTTAAATGCAATGAATGTGGTGATGATGATATAGATTTATCGATGAGATTCATACAACTAGTGACTCGACAGTTTACATCTAAATATAAATATTTATTTTAAAGATAAAAATAAGAATGAATAAAGTGTTGATAAGGTTTGATATATTTATATATATTGCTATATATGTACAATATCCATTTTTACTATCAGTCGTCAGTTAAATGCATTAGTTCAAGTTCTTACAGCTCATTAGTACAGTGTGATTAAACTGTCGAAAAGAAGAAAAGGAAGAAGTAATTCCTCCGTATCTTAGTGAAAAGTTGTAACCAGTAGAGTTCATTAACTGTGTAGGGGCAGTACAAAGTTTCGTTACACACAGTCGGATATTTTATAGATAAAGCTCCATATTAACTACTATCTTTAACCTAACTTAAATTTCAGGCCCTCAGATGCCCTGGTACGGTCGAGGGTGGGGAGAGTCAGCTATTCTACTCTAAATGCTCTCACATGGCCACGCGTACACAGCCACTGACAGAGAAGTCCTATTCATTGCCTTCTGGTGGTGGAAGTGTTGTTTGTGAAATTGAGAGGACAAGTAACGAATGTCTGGTGCTTGAACTGGGTTAATGGATAGAGAGGATCCACCTGGGGAAGTTGGAAAACCCTGATTCAAAAACAATCATGCACATGGGCTCCTGGATCCTGAGGGAACAAATGGCGTATGAACGAATTATTGGTCACCGGCTTTCATGGGACTGCATCTCCTGAAGTTGCTCCATCGCATTGTGGATTAGACCTCTAGGTGATAGGCTAGGGCAGTGACCTCATAGGAAAACCACCTGTTTCGGTCTGGGTGCCCGGGCAGTACCACGGACCACAAATAAACCACGTGACTTGCGTGGCAGATATGCATTCGGTCCCCCTTTGTATCAATATTTATGTGTTCAAATAAATAAATAAATAAATAAAACATGGTAACTGCGACGAGTCATAATAAGGCTTAACAACAATCATACAGTCAGAGATATTATTCATTAAGCTAGTTGGGCTGAGAGTGACCTCCATTTACATTGATTAATTACGGACTAGAACCCAGTGCCATGTTTGTCTAATCTATAGTGCTGATTGAATTATATCAAGCTCCAGTCCAGTTGTTAGTCCAAGTGACCCAATATGGTGTGTATAAAGTTTTGATTCAATGTGATTGGAGATAGTTAGTATACATGATGGTGACTGTCGACTAGAGTGAAATCTAGGCCGAGGAGGATTTCATACTGACTAACTCCAACTACCTAACATAGTGCAAACGATTTCAAGTCACTTAAACTATCGGAAACAATGCAATTTCATTGACAGAATTCAATCAGCACTAAAGGACTAGACCAACATGACAGTGATCACTCCATAGTGACTAGTCGGATGTTAATACTACATCTCTTCGATTAACCCTTTTCTTTTTATTTCAGTTCTGGAAAGTTCATTTTCAAAAACGAATCAATTTCGAGCGACTGAAAATTAAGCATCGCTGAACAGATTCACTTCGTCTCCATTTGAGATTATGTTTCTAATTTTAATCGATACTCACAGTTTAAATCACGAACAGATTTTAATAAGACCACAAATGAAAACCTGAAAGCACCATAGGCAATGAATGACAGTCGTGCAATATCGTAAATTGATTGCAGTTAGACATGCGCACTGTTGAATACTCTCTCAATGGTCAAGATATCAACCATTTGCACGTAAGAAATTCAAGGTTCGACTCCCAAACTTAAGATTGCGAATACGCACTTCTAAGGGATTCCCTACTACAACAAAACGTTTGTCTAAACCTTCCAGGTTTTCAATAGCATTCTAATCAAAATCAGTACGTAATTTAAACTACGAAAATTCTACAACCTCCACAAATCTCCCAATACTAATTTAATCGACTTTTCATACAGTACAGAGATCATTCAATGATCATAAATAGACCCTGGTGATATAATGATTGATCGACAACCATCATCAATCATTAATTCACACTAAGACTTCTTTGATTTAATCACAAAGTTAGTTACAATGATATCTGATCAAATTAACAATCTCAACCAATTGATCGATCAGTCAATTAACTCATAAATAAAGGGGGGGGTGATATTTTCAATACAAAAATTATAAGACAGAAATATTACCATTTGATTTTCCAATTAAATTAGGAAATATTGATACACAATTATCATGGGTTGTACTCGTATTATTATTATTATTGCACTGTTTAATAGGTGAATTACGTTTTTCTATGTTAACAAGTGGAACGATTCTTGGAGGGAAACAATTAGAATACTGTTGTTGTGGTTTTGTACACGTTCCAATAATGATTAATCGACGTGAAGTTTTCATGGTAGCATATTGTAATCGATTATTATTATTATTGTTGTTATTGTTGTTGTTTAAAGAGCCCTCTAAATGATCAGAATTGTTCAATGTTGAAGGAATATAATTCAATTCACAATTGATTTCATCTACTAATGCATTTAATCTATCAACAAGATAAGAAGCAGTTAATTGTGGTAAACTATGAAGAAGTACATCAATTGATGGTAGATAAACAATAACAATTCCATTGATTAATTGAGATTTCATATTGAATGTTGTTAAAGAAGAATTATTTAATGTACGTCGTATAGAGGAGATAATTTGTGCAATAGCCGCTTCTGGACACATTCCAAGACTTGTAGGGAATGCAAATAGATTGGCCAAATTAAGTGTGAATACCTTGGTATTAAACATGAAAAAATGACAGTAGGAGGATAAGGGATAGTAGCAAAAAGTGATGTAGAAGGAGAAAAACAAATACACACAACTACACATATAAACATATTAAGACGTGAACAACACTTTGAATTACTAGTGAACTATGACAAAAATGACCTGAATAGCTTGATGATAATGCCTTGCTGACTATGATTTAAGTACGTATCTCATGAAGACCGTGAGCCACTACCTTGAGGTAGAGGTCGAGCTTGGACATTGTGATAATCCAAGTAAATCAGTGATCCGGTGGCGAAGACAAATTACTGTCACGTACACAAAGATGCAACTGTAGTAAGATGTGTCAGTCAGATAACCAGTGTCTCTAGAGATAACGTCGTTTTACAATGGAAGCCCATTCCCAAGATTTTACCTTGCCATACGGATTTTCGTTTGTAATGTTAAGGGATTTTAAAGTATGGAGCTAACACATCAAAAAATTCCCATAAGCAGAACTTGTGTGATCGACCTTCAGTAGTTGCCAATCAGGCACTGTGACTAGGTTGCTAGGTTATCATGATCACTGTTAACCCAGTTTCCATTTAAGATCCTTCAAGAAAAAATATACTTCCATGGTATAGGCAACCAGGAAATGACAAATGCCCATACTACTAACAGCAAGAAACAACATCCGTCTTGTTAATACGGTAGATATAACCTGCAAACAAGTAACAACCAACAGATAAACTTAAATCGTTATCAATCTTTTTGTGACAATTATCTCAGCCTATCACCTAAAAGAGTTTATAGACTAACAAACCTCTAATAATTAGGAAGTAGGAGTAACATATGATTATCTTTCTCGAAGACAAATATTAATTCTTGGAATTCACCTTTGACACTATAACCAAAACCAAAAATTATCATTACGAAATTCTTAAACTGTTCGCTTGGAAACTTTAGTCATAATTGATTGAAATACTGATTGATTGGAATACTTCATTAAAACAAAAACATTTGATGTTCTAGCATTGGTTGACTTAGGTTGAGAAAAATTTCAGTTACAAGTATTTATGTCATTGTGTTCAGGTGTTTCAGAGACAGATTAGAGGTTTTGCAATAGGCCAAGTGAAGAGTTTAAACCAAACAGTAAAAGATATTTGCACAGAAAACCAAAGAGACTATAACTTTCATACCATAAAAACTTAAACTATCTACATATTACAGGTTGGTCGTTACGTAACAGGGAAGTAGTCTTAAAGTCTTTGATAACTTGATAACGCATGTGAACTGTTTTAGCGTAGGTTAGCGATAAGAAACAACCAGTACGATATGCTAATTAATAAAGATTTCATATTGATAGGCAATTTCATACACATAGAACCAACGAAATAAAAATGAATTCATGCTATTCTGCTAGAATGTTTGTTCTTGCTTTTTTTTCAAAATGATAGGCAACTGTCAACAAGACCTAGTCACCATGAATTGATTCTTCTTGCCTGATTTAGAGCTGTCATTACGAATTGAAACACTGATTGATACATATTAAAATCCCACACAAACACAAGATTGTACATAGTTGATGTTACTGACAACTCGCTTCTACTAGAATGAAAATTAGATCCAACTGGGGAGTTGTACCATTGTAACTTTAATCATGTGTAATGTCTACGATTGCATCATACTAGTCAACCTACAAACACGCACGCATATATTTGCTTAATCACGTTGGGAAGTGTTCATGAGCACGAAAATTGTAGGTTTTTCTAGAATTACGACCAAGAGCAGTCGAATTGATAAATACGAATTTATATTTTTTTATTTATTTAAACACATACGCATTGGTACAAGGAGGCACCGAATAGATATGCGCCACATAAATTATTCTATCTATGTGACGGCTGTAATACTGCCCGGGTGCTCAGAACGAACCAAGTGGTTTTCTTAAGGGGCTACAACCCCGAACATTAGACCTAGAGGTCTGATCCACAAGGCAGTGGAGCAACACCGGGAGATGTAGTCCCATGGTAGCCGGTGACCAACGATTGGTTCATACCCCATCTGTTCATTCAGGATTCTGGAGTCTATGTACACAACTGCTTTGAAATAAGGGTTTTTCAACTCCCCTAGGTGGACCGTCCGTATCCATCAACCCGGTTAAAGCACCGAACATTCGCTTTTTGTCCTTTCAATTTCGTAAACAACACCCCCGTCACGAGAAAGCAGTGAGTAGGACTTCCCTAGCAGTGGTTGTATGCACGTGGCCATATGAGAGCATTTTGTGAGGGAGAGCGAACTCTCCCCACTCTCGGCCGTACCACGGCATTTGGAAACCCGGTTTCTTAAATGAATAAATACAAAACAAGGTGTTCATTCCAGATAATTCATCATTTACCTTCGATGTCATCATTAGATGCGTAAAAGATAGCATATATTAATAATTAATTTATGAAATTAATCTCACTTACATGTAATGCCTCTAATCTATGCCATACAGCATTCATAATAATTTCAGATATATTACCATGAATGAATAATTTCGATTTGATAATACACGATGAAACATTATCATATACAATCCCTGTTGATGATGACGGTGATGATGATGATAATTCTTTATTATTATTACTCAAGGAACCAAACTTTCTTGAATTGGTCAGTAATAATATTCGTGTTATATAATTTACAATTTTATTAACATGATGTGATAATAACTTGGCTAATGTCGGGGATAATGGTGTACGTATAGTAGAAGATAATGCATTTGTTGATGGTGTTAAATTTGAAGCTGATACATCACTATCAAAACGTTCACTTGATGCATGAACAATTTGTAATGCTTCAAACCAATCAGAATGAGAGACCTTTTGAAAATAAACAAAAAATAGAGAAAAGAAATGGAAGAATAAATAATATAAGTGAAAAGTCGGATAACTCAATGAAGTCATCTTTGAATCATGACTATATATATACATTATTGCGAAATTCGTAAACTGTTCTCTTGAAAACTAGGCCACCGACAAGCATTCTCCAACCCACTCCGTGCTGGGCCTTCCTTTGTAGTTCTATCCAATTTTCGTTCATTCTTCTCATGTCTATCTCCATTTCTCGCCGTAATGTGTTCTTTGGTTTTCCTCTCTTCCTTTGGCCTTAAGGATTTCAAATGAGGAATTGAAGCCCCTTTGGGGTTGCTGCCGGTTGGGTATGGAGTTAGCGACCCCATGCCGTAGAAAACTAACTCGCTAAAAAACGTTAACCAGAAAAAAAATAATACAATCCATTTAAACTCTGCTTTGGGAGTTAGAAGGTCTTCATTTAGAAGAGTTGTAACGCCTCATAGTGAAAGCCGAATTCCTTCGGAAGTCACGAGGCTGATGCCCATCCTGACAACCAGAGCAGCCATTAATTCAGGTATAAGGAATGCTTATACAATGTGGAAGACGGGAAGTCTTCCAAATCGCTACGGCAATGAAGAGATACAACCTGGAGGTGCATAGAATCCGTGAAATATACTTTGAATTTCTCAATAAATGCCAAAACGTTTCACGTTATGTAATCGTGTGAAACAAAATAGTTATATATATAAATCTTTAACAAACAAAAACACAGTAATTCATTCAATTACCAAAAAAAGTACAACTTACCACTAAATATTTATGTTCCAAAGCTAATTTCACCTGACTACTATATACTTGAGGATAACATCGACGTAGACAGCATAAACATGCTTCTGTAGTTAATGCTTTAAGATCAGCACCGGAGAAATTGATCGTTGCTGCAGCAATTTGATCAAGTAACTTGTTGGAAAAGAAGGAAAAGGATGTAAAAAAACGAACGAACAAAAGAAAAGTATTGAATTCGAGCAGAACTTAACTTTACCGTGGAAGTTTTGAAACGAATAGAATTTATCAATCAGAGTGGAAATAGCGATTGTTAGTGTGAAGACAGATTATTTAAACTGTAATCACATCAAACCTGGGCCCCCAAATGCCCTGGTACGTTCAAGAGTGGTGTGAATCAGCTAACCCTCTTGAAATACTCTCGTATGGCCACGCATATACAACCACTGGCAGATAAATCCTACTAACCGCATTCTCGTGGTGGAAGTGTTGTTTACGAAATTGAAAGGATGAAAAGAGAATATCCGGTGCTTTGATCGGGTTGGTGGACATACACGATTCAGCAAGGAGAGTTGGCAAACCCTCATTCCAAATCAATGTTGCATATAAGCTTCAAGATCCTGAGAGAACAAATGGTGTATGAACCGATTTTTGTTCACCAGTCAGTCAGCTACAACGTAGGACCAGGCACCAGCTATCATGAATTTGCATCTCCTGACGTTACTCCATTGCCTTGTGGATTAGACCTATGGGTGAGAGGCTCGGGTAGTGACCTTCTAAAAAGACCACCTGTTTTGGTATGGGAACCCGAGTAGTATCCAAGCCTTGATATAAATCGAATGAAGTGTGGTGCATACGTATTCGGTGCCTCTGTACAAATATGTACGTGTTTAAATAAATAAATAATAAATCTAATCTGCAACGAGAAACCACTATTTTTTTAATTAGATTTTGTATTTTGACTAATTTTCATGAAGATATAGTCGCCAATCACTTATAGATTTCTGGATTACTAAGGAATAGTATCTAATGTAACTACGACCAGAGAACGACATGAAGAGATGTACAAGGTTGGGGAAAGAAATCTATTAGAGAGGATACATTTTTATGAAAAAAGATCATGTTCAAATTCCATATCCCTTACGATTCTATCCTTCTTTGTGATACATAAGTTGGCTGTACAACATGAATTTTGATTTTTAGGGTACAGTAAGGATTAGGCTTTATCACCCTAAAATTCTAAAACTCTAGATTCTATGAAATTTTATTCTTTTTATTTTGAATGATGAAATTAATTTACAACAGCTGTATTCTAACTGGCTGATAGCTGATCGGTTAGTTTCAAGATCATTTCTAGAATCGTTCTAGGATGTCACTGTCAACTGTAGTAAACAAAGATAAAATAGAAGATGAATAATCAATAATCTAATATTTATACGTTATCGATTGATCTCAATTAGGGTGGCATTAAGAGCCAATGAATAGTGGACGGAAGTTTCGTCCTGGTATGGGGATCCTTCAGTAGCATGCACACATAGCACAACCAGAAATCGAAACAGGGATATTCAAGAATTGCGGTGATCATAATCTATTGTCTGAGTTGCGCAACATCTTGATTTCTTATGAATACAATCATTGCTCCCCCCCTTCTATCCCATCCCACATCTACTCAGAGAGTGAACTTACCAATGAATCTGGTTTTGAGTCCCATTTTGCAGTAATCACATCGAGTATACGACGTCGAACTGCCTCTGTTGGTAATGTAAATACGAATTCACGATCAAATCGTCCAGGACGTCGTAAGGCCGGATCAATAGCATCTGGTCTATTTGTTGCACCAATAATCACAACTTCAGCACGATTATCTAAACCATCCATTAAACTGAGAAGAGTGGAAACAATGCTGGAGTGAATTTGATCCTTAAAAAATAGGAGAGGAACCGAGACAGAGAAAGGTATAAAAACATCAATTCTACTTCCAATAATCATGATAAACCTAGAAAAAAAAGATTTTCTTAACTATTCAGCCATTAGTTAGTTTATGTTAAACTACTTAATGTCGTTTCCTGTCATGAGGTAAAATATTTATACAATTTTTGTGATATACATACCGGTCAACTAGAATATGAGCACCAAGAATATCTTTTTATTAACCATGTATGTGATAAGGCTGTTTTTAAGACCAACTGTATCGTGATGAATTGACAGATACCAAAGAGAACGTGCTATTCTTACTTAATGTATGTACACATATCATCATCAAGTTTGACAACCACCGAGAGCGAAATGAGTAAAACACGACTAAGTTACTGAAGATGGTATTTCATGGTGGTAAAACTTTTAGAATAGTTAGTATGAATGGGAGGGGTAATGAAGACAGCTGAACTTTGTGGTTTACATAATGGACTGAACTCTAGTTAGACAACCATTGAAAACCAGGAAGCACTGGACAGATATTTCCTGGTAGTACAATAATTCTTAGTGGTGTATGACCATACGTCAAAGGTAGAAACCAGGGACTTTTAGGTTTCACGGTGAGTGCTTAATCTTCAGTCCAGTGAGTCGCCAACTAATGGTTTAGATTTCCAACTTAACTCAGTTTGTGATCTTACACAGCCATCTTAAAGTGCCTTACATGAGAAAAAGTTAGAGTCAACTAATCATAAATTCTCACTGAAACTTTAAAAACTACTTTTCAACATTAGCCGTTAGTAAACAGATAACTTTTAGTGGTACACAAAAGGCTTTTGAAAATTATTTGATTGTCATATCTTAAGTTTATAGATTCTTAAAAATCTGTGGAAAATTGACTACGAACTTACTTGTTTTGAAGATCGAACAGGAGCTAAACCATCAATTTCATCGAAGAAAATTACAGAAGGACGCATTCGATACGCTTGATCAAATAGTAATCTTAATTGACGTTCAGATTCACCAACCCATTTAGATAAACAATCTGCTCCTTTACGCATAAAAAACGCAATAGGACGACGTTGTTTTACGGTATTATTATTATTGCTACCTTGAGCTAAACGATTACATTCATTTGCAAGAGCTCTGGCTAACAATGTTTTACCAGTACCTGAGGAAAAGTATAGTTTAACAATATTCAGAATAGTTTATATGGGCTTATATATATCATTACATTTGATTAAAATGTAGATAAGTGGATGCATTTTATTGACAAAGATAACTATTTCAGAGAAGAAATCTCGTTTCACACTAATATTATTATTATTTGACATTCTGACGATTAATATCTCAGCTACGATAATTGTTCTTTAATTCGGAATAGAATTTGCGGTAGTAGATAATAAACTGCAGTTTTCTGAATACAATGAGTAGTAATAAGTAATTAAAAAGTCTGTAGCGCTAAAGGAGATTTTTTCCATGAATATTCAGTTTAAAGAAGATACAACAACAGAAATCCTGAAGAAAATTGAGTTTTGAAGTCTTTGAAAATAAAGCACTTTATCCCGTTAAACTTCGAATTACCCCTTCTAGTTCCCCATTGATTCGTGCATGTATGGAAAGACAAGCTTTTGCTTTGGGCGACATCAATGTATATCGACATATATACTTGTTTTTGCAAATAGAAGATCATGTTGGTCGTACAAAGCAGGCTAACTTGAAACGCATTCGCAAGCATTGCTCTCTTTGATTATCAAAACACCCCCAAATGCCCTGGTACGGCCGAGAGTGGGGAGAGTCCGCTCTCCCTCTCCAAAGTCTTTCACATGACCACGCGTATATAGCCTCCGCCAGGGAACTCCTACTCACTGCCATCTCGAGGCATTACTATTGTTTACGAAATTGAGAGGACGAAAAGAGAATGTCCGGCGCTTTAACCGGTTTGGTGGACATGAAGAGTCCACCTAGGGGAGTTGGAAAACTTCGATTCCAAACCAATGGTGCACATGGGCTCCAATATCCCGAAGGAACAAATGGCATATGAACCTATTGTTGGTCACCGGCTGCCATGGGAATGCATCTCCTTACGTTGCTCCACTGTCTTGTGGATCAGACCTTCAGGTCGAAGGCTCCGGCTGTGGCCCCCTAAGTAAACCACTTGCTTCGGTTTAGGCACCTGGGCAGTATCACAGCCCTTACACATATCAAATCAGATCTGTGTGGCGAATATGTATTTGGTGCCTCCTTGTACCAATATCTATGTGTTAAAATAAATAAATAATAATAAATCAAAACACCAGTTAATAGTTCGATTCCTGATTATTATCTTGTGAAAACTGGTCACATCACTTTCCCCGGAATCCCACCTAAAAGTCACCCATAAAGTCATGTAAAGTAGTTCAATATGATTACAAATCAGTAGTTTATAAACCTTAGAGACTTTACCAATCCATGTATTCCAGACTAATATGTGTACAAAAGCAACATGTTTAACCTAACCATAGTCTAAAACACCCCGACCGTTGTTGCTACCTTAACGTGGTGGTCGGGCTTGCCTATCGTGATGAAGCAACCGAGCTATACTGGCTGGACGTAAAGAGTCCAGCCAGTATAGCTCGAGCAGTGGGGTTAGGCAGGGTTGCCCAATCTCACCATTCCTCTTCAACTTTGCCATCGATGACATTCTGGAAACAGCTCTGATGAATGTAAGTAATGGTGGTGTGGATCTGTTGCCTGGAGAAAGACTTCTCGACCTTGAGTATGCGAACGATATTGTCTTACTGTGCGATAATGCCCAAGGCATGCAATCCGCACTTAATCAGTTGGCAATCAATGTCCGTAGGTTTGGTATGTGCTTTGCACCTTCGAAGTGCAAAGTACTTCTACAAGACTGGCAGGATTCTAATCCTGTACTCACCCTGGACGGTGAGCAGATAGACGTAGTTGAGAAGTTCGTGTATCTGGGTAGCTGCATAAGTGCTGGTGGGGGTGTGAGTGATGAGATCAATGCACGAATAGTGAAAGCCAGAGCGGCTTATGCCAATCTGGGCCATCTATGGCGCCTTCGTGATGTTAGTCTGGCTGTAAAAGGCCGGATCTACAACGCGTCGGTGAGAGCAGTTTTGCTCTATGCTTGTGAAACCTGGCCTCTCCGAGTTGAGGACGTTAGATGACTCTCTGTGTTCGATCATCGCTGTCTCCGAAGGATTGCTGACATTCAGTGGCAACACCATGTCAGTAATGCAGAGGTTCGGCATCGTGTGTTCGGGCACAGAGATGATAACTCAATTGGTGTCACCATCTTGAAACATCGACTTCGGTGGCTTGGACATGTTCTCCGAATGTCGTCCCAGAGAATTCCACGTCGTGCATTATTTGCCGACTCTGGGACTGGTTGGAAGAAGCGGAGAGGTGGTCAGTGCATGACATGGTGTCGTGGCATGAAAGAAAGCTGCAAAGGACTGGCTTGTGTTGGTCCTTCACGACTCCCTGGTTGGGGTCCGAGAGATGGTGCTACACAGTGGCTAGAGACGTTATCAGATATGGCTCAGAATAGAAGCCAGTGGCGATCCTGCTGTAACCTTCTTTTACTTTCTTCATAAAAAGTGGTTGTCTCTCCTTTACCTGAAAGATTTCTTCTGATTGTACCTCTTCGTCATTACTCTCTTTTTCTTTTGCGTTCCTTAGTTTTTTTTCTTTTTTTTTCTTTTTACTTCTCTTCGAATTCCCATTGTTTTGTGTGGCGCATATATATTGGCGCTCTCTTGTACCAATATTTATGTGTTCAAATAAATAAATAAATAAAATACTGGCTGGAACAACCGTTCCTCAAGGTCCTACTATGTCAGATATGTCGATTGAAGAGCGGTAAGACTAAAAACAACAAACCTAAGGTCTGAAGGCGAAGTCGTACTGTTGACTGTACAGAGGTGTGGCAGCAGTAAGGTGTTTCCTTCGGTCAACCAGCATGACAGCGATGCTGCCTTCCCACAAGGAGGGGTGGGGTTAGAAAGGGTCGACCCTAAAAATGCACACCTCGCCATATCCCACGGATATCCGTCTCCGACGGTAAGGTCTCAACAATTACGGAGCTAACACAAAAATTACCCATAAAAAGGTCGTGTGTGACCAACCTCAAGCAGTTGTCCCTTAGGCACTGCGGTCACGCTCCCAGGTCACTAAGACCACCTCTAATCCAATTTCCTTTTCAGGTACCTCCAGAAGAACCCTTACACGGTGTGGGCAACCGGGAAGTGATAACCGCCTTCATATCTCTAACAGCACTCAAGACCACTGAGTCTAAAACACCCTTTCTATCCTTCATGTTTAAACAAATTGATTATTATCACTTTATCATTATGTTCTTCATACCAAAAACTGAAAAATTATCTCTCTTCTACAAGAACATTCTAATATTTTTCTGCATACTTCATTAGAACGTTACGGAACTTCCCTTCTACAATTGAATAGAAGCAGTGTAAGAGTTGGACACACTTACCAGATTACACATCTTGAAAGTTGGTGCGAGAGGCTAGTAGTTGGCGAAATCTTAGAGAGGACTAGAAAAAAAGTTTCACTTGACGTTTACCGATTATTAAGATGTGAAACAACTCATCTAGAATAATTTGACACCTGTTTGTATACACCTAAGGCCAGTGGTAATTATGCAGGTAATCGTAAGACCAGGAATTTTCGTATCACTTTTAGGTATACAGATGGATATCATCAACATAGAGCCTGGTAAATACGTGTTGGACAGTCTTCATATCACGTTAATACGACAAGATGATGAAAAGATAAAGTGGAAACGCAGATATGAAGGAACACTGGAGTTTGAGATCGAGTGAAAGATACCAAGTGAACAAGTTACAGTCATCCAAGACTAAACTGATTACTACTTACCTGGAGGTCCTGAAAACAGTACACCACGAGGTGGATCTACATTGAATTTTGAAAACACTTCAGGATACATTAGCGGTAGAATTATACTTTCCTTCAATGCTAATATATGTTTTTCATGACCCCCAACTTGTTCGAATCCGACAGATGAATCAATAGACATTGGTTCGATATCTGCCAAGCAAGTTGTAGAAAAACTTCGATTTCCTGCCGTGGATTTATTCTTTAAAAAGCAAACAACGGTGTATGAAAAAGGAAGGGATCGATAACATAAATTAACATTTGAAATAAAAATCTGATGCAGAACTAATGAGACCAATAGTACTAATGTGCAGATAGTTGTTTACTTCCAATATGGTACTGAACAGTAGTGTCAAAGATTGAACCCAGGATTTCAAAGTAATGGTCATACTATTGAAAATTAACTGAAATCGGACATATAAACAACTAGATTTCGATTGAATACCTCGATAAGAAACATACACTTCTTGGGTCTAATCACTGATGGATCATATTAGTAAGAGTTTACTACAAACTTCATAAAAGGAAAGGTGAGTTCTTCAGGGATTTCCTAGCTTAGAACAATATTATCTAGACCAGTTCGTGACACAAATTTTTTACTGGACAACCTAACACCAAACTGCCAAGGAAATCACGGAATCAGATAGTATTTTTTCTTAATGCTGAAGTCTTAGAGATAATCGAGGTTAGGCCAGCCAAGAGACGATTCAAGAAAGGATGAATTAGAAACTTAGGATCTAGAGAAAGAATGAGTGCAGCTACGCTATTAAGGACGATTTTAGGCATTGTCGCCAAAAATATCAAGCCATTAGTCACGGTAATCACGCAGTCTGAACCTGTCGATATGGTTTAGTACAACAGTTAATGTTTTCACAGACCGAATTTACATTTTGATTTTGTCGCTCTTAGCTTTCTTCAAACCTACTCCCACAACAGCCATCACCGTGCATCGAATAAGTTGGTTGATGGCGGATAATTGTTAAGCTGTTCCGTGTGCATGTTACGTCCCAACTGCCATTATCAAGTCAGTATTATGACTGTCATCGTCGAATAGCTCAAACGGTCTTTAATTCGTCAGTATTGTAGGAAGACCGTAAATCCCGATAGGCACTCTTTTCTTGTTAAGATTTTAAACAAACAATATTTTTTTCTCTGATAGTTAATCATAATGTTTGTAAAATATTGTAACAAGGAGAATGAAAACACTTCAATGTTCTTGTTACCTTGAAATTTCTCTGATTAGGATATCTTCAGATTCTAAAATATGATAAAAACGTTGGTCAATTACAATATACATGGTTCGTATACATCTTAACTGAACTGACCATTTTGAATGTTACCTAGTAACAACAATTAGCTACCAAAAACCAAATTAAGTGTCGAAGTGACCTATAAACCTGCGCGAATCAATGTTTGGAAAGTGCGGTGGTGTTTTAATCCATGAAAACAATATATTTTAGTTTAAGGGTTCCTCTGCAGATTGGTTTAATTTATAAGTCTTAGATTGGTCTCAGCTGAGATACCATAAGAAACCATAAAGCACTGGACAGGTATTTCGTCGCAGAATAAGACTCCTCGGTGGAACCTATTCGTGACTCTGCTGTGTGAAGGATAAGATCGGAATACCTTTCGTTTGTCAAGTTGGAACAAACTTCTGCAAATTAAATTGCCGAAATTCCAATCATCTGCTCATTAGTAGATAGAGATTTGAATTAGATTTCTTGTAGATCAGTGTCTATTATCCAAGGTGTTTGACTTTCAGTCACCAACTCCAAGATTCGAACCCAGCTTTATCTGCTTCGGTTTAAGCGACCAAGTGCTAGTATCATTAGCCTTTACACTTAGAATATAGCGCATACTCAAGTACCTTGTAAACGAGTTGGATTGTTTTTATTATTATAGGACAGTTAAATCCAATAAAATTCTATTTTACAGAATATGTATAAGTTATAAAATAATAGAATAATATAGGAATAGAACATACCTCATAACCAAGTTGATGACTGTTTATAGGCATAAGCTCTGATCTAGCATGTATAATACTTTTATTAATACGACGTTGAAAACGTTTTTCATCTTTATCAACTGTTAATGGAACATTATTCTCTTTAGTGGAAGAACAATGCCAACGATTATGCCAACTATTACGATTACAGAATAATCTATCAGAAATATGAGATCTTGATGATGATGATGTTGATGAAGAAGACGATGTACTACTACTACTTGAACCACAATGTTCTAAATTTTTACGATGCCTTTTAAAAAATGTAGAAAGTAGGGAAAAGAATAAACACTTATTTATTATGATGTGAAAGAGTCTTTTCATCTTAAGATGTTAATATCACTATTCTATCCACTTGTTATAACCTTTAAAAGTGTCACTTATTAGGTTTGTAGAGATTTTGTGTATAAGCGTTAAAACTACAACTGATTACAATGCGTACCTGTTAGCGACATAAAAAATGTTCTGTAAAGGATTGTGTTGGAGCACGCTGATTGACCATTTCGTAACCAATCAGAGCTAGCGGTAACTTGGAGAAGACTTGAGAATTATTTTCATGATAAAAAAAACTATAAATACATTAACATTTTTCTTATCGTAATCCCTACTTCTATTTAACTTTGTTATTTGGAATATAATTACATCCCTGTTCCACCGTGTTCTGATTTGAAGACTTGTCAAGTGAATAAGTGTCCAAAAATACTAAGAAATAAGAGTAGCTGAATCGTAACAATAACAGTAGCGATGAGGAAAAGGAAAAACAACATTCAAGATGCCGATATCAGATGACCAACTCAACCGAATACTACAACAACAGCAAGCACAACTTGATGCACAAACGCAGTTGTTAGAAACTCTGACGCAACAGCTTAACATCCACTACTTGAGTTCACACGCTTATTCAACTACATCTAGTGATGCAATTGCCAGAAGCAACCTAGAATTCAACTTCGACCCCAAAAGTGGAAATACCAATTTCATGTGGCTCAAGCATTAGGAGTATACATTTAAAATAGAATTCTGCCAACAAGATGACGCGTGGAAGACTCGATTTTTTTATGCGTAAGTTGTGAAGTGATGAACATACACACTACGTTGACTACACATTGCCACATATTGCTAAGTTTCAAGGAGACAGTAAACCAGTTGTCAGAGATAGTCAGTGAATCATCTTCACTATTTAGTATTCGATATCAGTGTCTAAATTTGGTGAAACGTGAAGCCAATAACAGTATCAAACTGAATATCAACGATAAGGTGTGGACAGACGATCGTAAAAGTAACAAAGCTTATCTCTTTTGAATAAATTAATAACTGTGACTCAGCAGGTTGAAGTATGTAGGAGGAAAGATAACGACTTGTTGGTATTTGTAGTGTTCAGTTATATGCTCCAGTTTCAATGTGAACAACAACAAAGATACAGGCAGGTAAACCAAGCTGACGAGCATCGAAAACGATGAAATCTGCACCTTGAATTCCATAGCTAACTATTATACATATATACTTGTATGTAATGTTGGGTGATTAGGGAAATAATTCATGATTGGTATTTTTATATAACATTCTTTTAAACTGATTTCTCGGGTGGATGTCAATTAAAAATGACGGTTACTATACACAAACAGCACCAGTTCCTCAAGATTTCATGTACACCTTACTAATGACTACCAACTATCACAAAATCTAGATCAAGCACGATTTAACGCAAACTATGTATAACCACTTGAAATCTCCTTTACTACATGTATGCATAAATACATCTAATACTAGCTGGTGGTTATTTATTCAAACACATAAAAATTGATACAAAGGGGCATAAAAATAAATATGCGCTACACATAGCAGTTATCATTCAATTTGTGTGTGGGCTCGAATACTCCTCGGACAGAAACAGATGATTTTCTTAGGGAGCCACTCCTCGAGCCGTTGACATGGTGATCTAATCCATAAGGCAATGCACCAACGTCAGAAGATGCGGTCTCGTAGTAGCCAGTGACTAACAATATTTTCATGAGTCATTTTTCCCTCAGGACCCTGAAGTCCATGTGCACTAATGCTTTACAATAAGCGTTCCCCAACTCCCCTAGATGCATCCATCGTACCCACCAACCCGGTTTAAGGGTCTGTCATTTGTTTTTCGTCCTCTCAATTTCTTAAAAGACACCTCTGCCACAAAAATGCAGTGAATAGAATTTCACTGGCGGTGGCTATATACCCGTAGCCATATGAGAGCGGATTCCCCACCGTCGACCGCAATAAGGCATTCGGAGGCCTTGTGGTCAGGGAGGTCGCATATATATATATATATATATATATATATATATATATATATAAGCAGAAACCCTCTACACTCACTTGGATTTCAATTGACGTGATCGTCTTTCTTTATGATAACCTGTACCGGCTAACCAGTTTCTTTGATGTTGTTGAACACCATGATTGTTACTATTACTATGATTATTCTGCAAATTTTCAACTGAAAGAAAAGACAAAAAAGAACTTTTGAGAAATTTATTATTAATTCAATCGAACTAAAAGATTAACACAAGTCAGAATAATAATTACGTACATTCTATTTCATGTACAGTTATTATTAGTTGAACATTTCAAGATCTAATCTAATTTACTAAGTGAATATAGATTTTCAGTATAGGGATTATGGAGATTACTAAGTCTTTTTATTGAGATTATGAACCAATTGATGTTAGACCACCATTGAAAACCTAGAAGCACTGGAAGGCCGTTTCACCCAATTGTAGAACTCCTCAGTAAAGTGCGCATCCACGATCCTGCTCGCGGGATTCGAGCCCAGGGCCTTCGGTCTCGCGAACGAACGCTTAACTTCTAGACCACTGAGCCGGCCGATATCCAACGGTATTTATGTCGTACCTCAACCAATCCACGAAATTGCACGACCAACTTCCATTGTACTGAGGTAGATACCTGTCTCTACCCGACACCGATTAGCTCCACTGGTCATGGCTTCTCACTAGAACTCCGAGAATTCCCTCACGAAGCTAGTCACTAGTGAACAAATGGTAATTATCAGTATAGAGGTTGTGGAGTTTATTAAGTTCTTTGATTGAGATCATGAAACGATTGAAAAAAGAATAGATTTATTAACGGTTTTGCGCTACACTGTTACATTTATGTATTACAATTGTATTACTCATGAATAGCTTGTTATTTTGTTATAGAATTTATTTTTTTATATTTTATAATTGATTAGTGATAAACTAACTGTTCTCTTAATTGGCTTATATATTTCCTACTTGCTCAAAGTTGATTCGTTTTACTGAGTTTATTACCTTATGTCTGAGTTTCAACGCCATGGATACACACTACCCCGGAGTTCCAGACTAGAGTGAAACGGTTGTTCAGTGGTTTCAGGTATTCAATAGCTGTGTAACCAAGACCAATTTGCGATCTTAATAAAATTTAACATTCTACACAAATCTATACTGACAATATTTGTTATACGATATACAGTTACATATCAAGAGTCTTTAACAGGTCCTCGATCACATATAGAACGATATGAAAACACGCGAACTCTCGTATGTTTCGATAACAAATGGTTGTTGATTAACTGGATCTGAAAAAAATTCTCTGTGCATAAAATTCTAGACAAACATTTTGAACTGAGAAAACTGCACCCCAAAATTGTCTAAAAGTTTCAGTTAGTCAAACTCAAAGTAGAACCTGGCAAATATGTACATCTCAACAAGGTGACATATTCTATTGGCATAACGAGACGAAATTTCAAGGGACAATTACACAGTAGTACAGGTAATAACACTATCAGTGGTAGTGAAAAAGATTAGGCACCGAAAATATAAATCAGTGAAATAAAAAGTAAGGTTATGATGAATTTAGGATCTCAGAATTTGTGAAAAGACAAGGAATGAATGCACCTGTGTCATTACAAACGATTTTGAGCAATGTCAAAGTCTCTAACCATGGATTACGAAAAGCATGTGGACCCCAACCAGGTAGTGTATACATGTTAACATGGCTAAACCTGGTTATCAGTGACTGATGCTATGTTTCGGTTTGGCCGCCCCTAGCTTTCTTCCATCCTACTCCTCTACATCACACAACATCGCCCACCAAGGTAGACGGTGGTTGGAAATTTGTAATACACGACACAACCACTTCAGCTGATGAATATTTACCACCTCTTCAGGCGATTAACCATCCTTACCTAGTACCCTTTTTCTAACCCAGGAATAGATCACAGAATGATCCCAAAATATACGAGTAATGTATCAAAGATACCTATTATCGAATACTAGTAATTCACGAATACCTTATATTCTTAATGACCGTTTTTCACACTCATAAATTGGAACAGCGCGAACTGTTGTGCTGTAAAACCAAGCTTCAGTTGGGAGACAGATATCTCTTCTCAAACCACAAGTGACGCAGGTTGACAAAAGTCAAATGAGCTTTCTGAACCCGTGCTGAGATTTCATCAGACATCAGACCACAAGGATTGATCGGACTCCTAAGATAAGTGAAGCAGTTGGTACCCTCAACTACTTCACTTCCTATCATTAATTCAAACGCTGATGCAGACCAATCCTTAAGCAACATTTTCCATCTGAAAGGAGAGAATCGCATCCTAAACATCCTTGCATTGCTGGTTAAGATGGTCAGAAGATTGTATTTTGTCAATATTCACCGAGCGAAACTATATTATCAGAGTATTCACAGTTAACAAGTGAATCTCCTAGTAAAGCATCAACCCCTGAAAAATCAGACAGTGAGAGCATTATCTTTAAAAGAATGTCTAAAAGTTTATTAACACCTAACTTAAAAGTTATGAAAAATGGAATTTCAAATGGATTATAGTAATATCAACTCAAACCTTTGATTTTCATGAGATTCATCACTAGTGACAATGAATTATAACTCTATACGTAACGACATTGAATCTGAATTTTAAGAACTTTTAGAATGATTTAAACAATGAAAACACGAAAATAAGAAAAGCATATTGAGAAAAACAAGAAGCCCTTCTAAGTGGATAAACATCAATGTACCCTAAATGTTGTACAATACAATTCCTGTGATCTCACTTGGTATATTTATTAAATAGATCATATTATTCAAAATAAATCTTACTGATATTGTGATGAACATGAACACAAATGAGGACAATCGAATCTATCTCACTAAAATCTGAGAACCATATAGTAAATAGTCAATTTGCAAATTATCAATTCATCGTCTCAAACTTGAATGTTCCTTTTGTAAATATCAGTCTATTGTCTCAAATTTCATAGTTTATGCATTTTCATACCAATTACGTTCCGTTCCTATTCTTTCCTTATCGAAATACATTCTATGCCTGACCCCCGTTATATACTACTTATGTGGATATAAGTAACCCATACCATATTATTTCGAATACTTAAGGAATGATAAACAAACAATTGAGAATAAACAATGTACATATACATAAAAATTATGTACAATTCTTACCCTGATAAACAATAGTATTCTTACGATTACGTACTGGATAACGTCTTGTTTGTTGTTCATCTTGATCATCTTCCTCTTCATCATCAACATCATCTACACCATCATCATCTTCAAGCATAGCATTATTATGATCTTCTTCAACTTTTATGGAATGTGTACATGGTTTAATGTTAATGGATAAATTATCTTGTAATGAATTAGTTTGTACATTATATTGAATATTTCGATGAGTAGATAATGATTTTTTACTTATTTCACAACGTAAATGTTTTCGTCTTTTTCTTTGTGGATAATAATTTGATGTTGATCTACGTGGACGTAATACACGATGTGGATAATGTAAATTTGAATCATCAGAACTTGAAGAATATAAAGTGGATTGATTCATTTTTTTATTGATAAAATATCTTTGATTTTCATTGGTTGATGAATTTTCTTCAAAATTATTATTGATATGTTTAGGATCAGATGATCCATTTGATGAATTCTGGTTAAAATGAACTATTTGTGAGGAATAGAAATGAAATATTAGAACTAACAATAAACAAAACATAATCACATAAGCAATAAGAATAATACACATTTTTATATTGTTTGTTTGATATTATATGCAGCATCTCCCCAAATGCCTTGGTACGGTCGAGAGTGAAGAGAGTAAATTCTCCCTCTCGAAACGCTCTTACATGACCACGCGTATACAACCACTACCAAGGAAATCCTAATCACTACCTTCTCGCGATGGTGGTGTTATCTACGAAATTGAGAGGATGAAAAGAGAATGTCGAGCGTTTTAACCGGGTTGATGGACACGGAGGATCTACCAATGGTGCACATGGACTCTAGGATCCTGAAGGAATAAATGGCGTATGAACCAACAGTTGGTCACCAGCTATTATGAGACTGCATCTCCTGACGTTGCTATTATTATGAGCAAGAATTAAGATAGTTAAGTGGAAGAATGAGTGAATGAATAATACAACCTACCAATACGGTAGATCAATCAGAAATAGTCAAATGATAAGTACATCCGATCGGTCAAGAAATGGCTTTTACTTCCAACAGATGAGATATGAACCACTGATAAGTTTACTTTCCTAAAGGAGTACATACATAAATGGGATTTGGGTTAAACAAAAAAAAACATTTTTTTCTCACTAAGTATCTTTTTTCTCGACAAAGTGTATATCAGTATCGAACACCGTACATTACGGCACATGTATCCACCAATCACTTATTTACTAAACTACATTTATTCATGGTTATTTTCATAATTAATATTTGTATATAATCATAGCATTTTACTAAAGAAAATAAGAATGAAGAGCGTTTTCAAAATGTGTCCAAAGAGTGGTATGAATTATAAGAAAACCATATAATCGGTTAGTCACTTATAAACAACGTTGAACCAGGGACATATGTGGACCTGTACGAGTTATCACACTTAAGTATCACAATGAAATGAAATCATCAAGACAAATCCTACTACACTATAAGTACCAACAGTATCAGTGTTCGGAGAAAGAAATTAAGAATAAAGAATATGATTCGGAAAAGGAATAATTAACTTGTGGCAGAAACGATATAAAACTGAATATCTAGAGGAAGATTAACAGAAATGGAGTCAGTCCATGAAAATACTGACTACTGGACTGAGCTGTACTGGTAAGTGCACACTAACTGGTTGAGGTCCAAGCGATTACTGTAACCAATTGGGTAATACTGATCACAACCGTCAACAATGGTGCAGATGCATACTATCAATACATTAACTACCATGGGATGTCCTAATAACTTCATTCAGCCGGACCAATCACCAGAGATTCACAACCTCGTTAACCTCGTTAATCACCCTATCCCTTACCTGAACATTGCTAGCTCAGTGGTCCGAAAATACGTAGGAAATGGTTTGAAAACACATATGATCAAAATCTGTAACATATGTTTGTCTTTTACTTTCACAAACCATGTCTTATAGTCAAAGAGTACAATAGAGGAAACTGCTAGATGAAATTACTATATTCTAGTTGGTAGGTGAACATATTTCCACACAAACGTATACACAAAGCTACATGGATCTCACTGAACCACACCACAGAGAACCAGATAGATCATATTTGCATCAATAAAAAATTCCAAAGGACAATGGAAGATGTGAGAACCAGGAGAGAAGCTGACACAGCTTCAAATCACCACCTAGTTGTAGCCAATTTAAAAATGAAGCTAAAGAACAACTGGACAACCAGAACTACAAAAGTTCGACACAGCCTTCCTTCGAGATACTGACAAACTCAATGAATTCAAGATAGCTATCAACAACAGGTTCCAAGCCTTATACGATCTACTGAAGGAAGAAGAAAGTACTATGGAGGGCAACTGGAAAAGTATCAAAGAAGCATTAAGTTCAACGTGTTAAGAGGTTCTGGGCCTCAAGAAGCAGCATCATAAGGAATGGATCTCTATAGAAACACTGGACAGAACCAAAGAAAGAAAGAACAAGAAGACAGCAATTAACAACAGCCGAACACGAGCAGAGAAAGTCCAAGCACAAGCTGAGTACATAGAAGCAAATAAGCAAGTGGAGAAGAGCATTAGAGCCGACAAGAAGAAATACGTGGAAGAATTAGCAACGACGGAAGGAAATATGAAACAACTTTACGATACAACGAAGAAACTATCAGGGAAATATATTAAACCAGAGAGACCAGTCAAGGACAAAGAAGATAGGCCAATCACTGAAATTCAACAACAGCGGAACAGATGGGTAGAATACTTTTAGCAACTCTTGAATAGATCAGATCCATTGAATTCACTAAATTGCAACGCTACGGATGACTGTCAGACAATCATTTAAGTGGAACTCGTCAATATACATCTGCTTCAACGACTACGAGAGAACGTTTATCAGTGTAGATAGAACATTATGGAAACTTCTTCAACACTATGGAGTTCCTGAGAAGATTGTCAACATTATCCGGAACTTATACAACGGACTACAGTGCAAGGTCGTGCATGGAGGACAGCTGACAGATACATTTCAAGTAAGGACCGGAGTCAGACAAGGCTGTCTACTCTCTCCTTTCCTCTTCCTTCTGGTGGTCGACTGGATTATGAAGACCTCGACATCTGAGGGAAAACACGGCATACAATCGACAGCTCACAACCAATTAGACGATTTGGACTTCGCAGATGACCTAGCCCTCCTATCGCTTACACATGAACAAATGCAGATAAAGACAGCCAATGTAGCAGCAGTCTCTGCATCAGTAGGCCTCAGCACACACAAGGTGAAAACCAGTGTCCTCAAATACAACACGGAGAACAGAAATCCAATCACTCTTGATGGCGAAACTCTGGAAGATGTAGAATCCTTCACATACCTGGGAAGCATCATCGATGAACAAGGAGGTTCAGATGCAGACGTAAAGGCGAGGATCGGCAAAGCAAGGGTCGCATTTCTACAATTAAAGGACATATGGAACTCAAAACAACTTCTAACTAATATCAATGTCAGAATCTTCAATACGAACGTCAAGGTAGTTCTACTGTACGAAGCTGAAACTGGGAGAACTACTACAACCATCATCAAACATGTACAAGTATTTATAAATAGCTGTCTACGCAAGATACTCAACATCCATTAGGAGAGAACAAACCAGCTTCCAGCTGAAGAGGAAATTAGGAAAAGACTATGGAAATGGATAGGACATACATTACGCAAATCATCAATCTGCATCCCGAGGCAAGCTTTAACTTGGAATGCTGAAGGAAAGCGGAAAACAGGAAGGCCAAAGAACACATTACGTCGGGAAACAGAATCAGATATGAGAAGGATGAATAACAACTGGAAAGAGCTGGAAAGGATGTCCCAGGACAGGGTTGAATGGAGAATGCCGGTGTGCGGCCTGTGCTCCTCGACATGGAGTAACAGGTGTAAGTAAGAAAGGTGAACATCTCACATACACCGCAAGTGATGCAAGTTAGTAAAAGTCAAGGGAGCTTAATGAGGGGTTGTAGAGACTACCTCAGATACTAACTCACAAGATAAATGAAGTGATCAAGGCACTTAGTTTACTCGCTATCATCAGTAAAGGTGATTATGCAGAGTAATATTGAAGGAATATTTTGTATTCAAAGAAAGGGAAACGCATCCCAAACAGGTTTGCATCAATATTACAAGTACCCAGAAAACATTGAATTATGTCAGAATTTCCAGATAACAATGAGAAAATTTCACCATAAATGAACTGACCTAACTTCCTGTTACTTGGCCGACCACGTTTTCTTAATTGAACAGGTGACTGGGCAGGCAATAATGAACCAGACTGGTTAGGATCAGTACTCGTGATAGATTTAGTTGACATATCTAAATCGGGCTGGAAAAAACATAGACTATGATCAAGTATGAAACCTTTTAATACGAAGAAAATTACAAATAAAAGCAATTAAGTGCTTTTTATTTCCAAGAATAAAAGGATATGGCTTTTCCAGAAAGTATAGTTTTTTCGCATTCACTTTTAAATTATATTCTGAATGAAAGAATTAGTGATGCTATTCAAAACCAAGTAAGTAAATTGAGTTTTGAACTTATGGTCTAGTGATTAAAAACCGAAAGTTTTAATCACTAACCCCAGACTTCACAAAATAAGTCCAATAAAAACCTGGCAAAAAATTAAAAACAGGAACAAACCTATCAGTTGCTCTTATTGACTATTTGATAAACACATATGACAGTTGATTCCGGAAATTGAGACATACTGAACAAAAATCGTGTCCTTATAGTTTTTACGACGATCCTTATGGAGCACAATTCATTCTTACAAAGTGATAGTTTAGTGATTAAAACGCATTAAGTTCAGTCAGTATATCGCAGCCTTAAACTACACGTTACTGACTCCCGTTTGAGCAACTAGACAACATTTAAAATCCTTATTTAACCACTAGTAGCGCAGAATCTGGCTCTGAACACAGTGAGGAGCGGAAACAATTTAAACATGGAGTGACAAAAGGTATACGTAATGATCTTGGACAGCGGTGAGCAGTGAAAACAATAGATGGAAAAAGTAGCTCTGACGGTTAACGATGGACAACTTTTCAGACTTATCTGAAGAAAATATCACAAATTAGAACAACACATACAAGCGAACAATATTGTTTTCAAATAGATCGTCATCAACTTAGTATACATTAGTATTTATATGAAAATATTAACCCAATGAAGGCAAATTATAATTCAATGGTTACAACTAAATAAATTGCGTAAAAGTACTGATAGTAAGACAGGTGCAATAGTGGTGGTCAAGGATAATAAAATAACAGATGTTCTAGTCAACAGTTCAAAATAGGAAGTAGGTGAAAATTGGGTAAATAGACTTGAAAAAAATTACAAAGCACCATTATGTGTGTGAATAATTAGATATTGGAGAATATAAGCAGGAGGTAAGATAAGAGATGTACAAAGATCAAAAAATCGTTTGTTAAGTCATATCTGACCAATGAAGGGACAGGAGTGTCACGAAGGTATACTATAGATCACTCAAAATGATCTGATCTTGTCAAACATATGACCAGATAGACCAAGATAGAACTGTGTATTGCATTTTTCTGTCCCTTTTTAAACCATGCTGATATCAAGAAGTCAAGGGTTAGTGCGACCTTCACAAAACGTATAATTCAAGGATCATAAAGCAAAATAATTGGTTAGCAAGATGTATTTAAGTGCTACAAAGCCCACTAAAACAACCAGGCTATTTTGCGATTTGGAAACTTTGACAAGCATGCCATTCTCATGGCCTCGGGTGAGCCACTAAAAATTAAAACGATTCCCCACGATATTTTGCGCGAAATCGGAACCGTAATGTAAGATATTATACAAGTTATAACCAGAGATTGGTGGTTAATAGTTGAATCCACTCCTGGCCACCATCAACTTCCACTTATAATGCTTTTAATTCAAGGCAATATCGAGGCAATTCGCACAGGATACACATGCCAATATGAAACTGACCAATTGCAGTCCTAAACATAAATGGGAAAATTCGAACAACCAATAAAAAAATGAATTATATCTTGCAGGTTACTATAGACCAAGTGAAAACTGTGAATACTCAGTTCCTAAAGTGCTTGAAATTGATGGTAAAAAATATGAAATTCAATGGATAGTTAGGGGTAAATGTACAGCTAGATACTTTTACTCTAACTTCTGTCTAAATTTTAAGGATGAACCAATCAGATCTAAGATCGCAGATCTTGGATTTTGGCGCAAAATTGATTCATTCATTTGGTCAAATGGCACCTTAACACTACGGTTGATATCAGTTCGTGATGGAAGTATTATTTCTAATTTCTAGCCCTAACATCTAAATTCTAATCCTAATTCCTCTCATTAATTTATAACTCTGATTTAACTCTGGTAAGTAGGTGGGTGTTTTCAAGGCCATTTTGGTGTTTCTCAAAGGTCGTTCATGAATTATAGTCTCACCAACTTTAAGTTTGGTAAGTTTGTAAACAAAAGAGTAGCAGAGCTCCACTACATTTTAGTTGATGTCAACTCAAGATGAAAACCATAACCCTTTTGCATAATACCTAATGTTATTTGGTGACTAACATCCTGCAGAGTTATAACCCAACTCACAACATTGGCCAACCACTGATATGTAGACTTAACCCTTTGTCCCTTACCATGAATAGTTCAACATGTAAGGATTTGTTAGTCCTATTAAAAATGTTATTCCACTGTAATTTTGTTGGTGCTCATCGTTAATTTTCTGATAACTAAGTCTTTTTATTATACAATAAGTCGCTTAAGTCGTCAGCACAGACTACTATTAACAAAAGTTTGCACATACGATTTTTCCAGCTTCATTTTATTCAAATTGTCATGCTAATCATATTTACACGTCTTTCCAATAAATATAAAATGCATTAAAAAAAGTTTTTAAGTTGGCAGAGATGACAGAGGTGAGTTTAAGGTCATAGTGAAATTCGAGTCAGCGTTTATTGAGCTGCCAATTTTATGCTTAACCTGTAAGGTGGTATACATAAAAACCAGTGGAAACTGCACAGATGCATTTATCCAGGCTAATTCTAATGAGATCTGGATTCACTTGTACCAGAAATTTCTGGTAGTATATTTGTATTTGTCGTTAAACAGGAAAAACTGATATGAGAATAGTATGTTGTTTTAATTCATACATCAATGAAAGGAATGTGTTAAATCGCTAAATGCATGAAGGGTATGACAGCTTAAAAAATCAGATCAGAATACAGGTGAATAACCGGAAACGTAATAGTCAGAACATAGACACATAATGAGCGTGGATGTTTAAGCTACAAGTAATGAAACCGGGTTACCAATAAGAATATTTATCAAACCCTGTCTTGAGAATTGTGAAAAGTTCTGGTGTTAACACTATCTAAGGACCCAGAGATTAGGAAAGGAAAGGTAAATGTACCATATTCAAGTCGGGCTCTTTCGGATTCCTAAATAAAAAAAATAATGCCAAGAGATTTGCAGTAATGCTGAACAGTAAAAAGCACATTGTATTTTTCAAGCATCAAACATTCACAAAACAATTGATGGAATTATTCAGGCCACAATGGTAGCTACTTACAGTCACAGCGTGTCGTTTCAATTGAGCAAAAGCTAGAAATGAAAAAGACATTGTGACACTTTGTTTTTATAGCACTTGCAGAAAAAAGACTCAATCCACCCAAATATGGCATTCCATAATTCTAGTAAGTACACAATAAACTCATACAAAAAGAGACGCTAAAGCTAAGAAACTGATGAAATATGGAGCTCCTTAAAATCGCGACTAATTCCCCATATTTATTAGTCTCATCGACTTGAATAACATGGCTCATAATTTTCGTCCAAGGCAATAGTCAGGAAGTGTTTGTTGACAATCGAACATCTTGAGATTGTAGGAGTCACGTTAACGATAATGCACCTTGGACACACACATAAGTAAAAAAAACTGAACACTTCAAACTGTTTACGAGATAAAATCGTAATGTTAAAAATATAATAAAACACTATTACCGCTGATTAGAAGCATTCTTACTTACACACTGTTCACGAATATATGACTGACGTCGGGTAGGACGCATTCTTAAAATTACCAAACAACAAAATACCAACGATTACAAAAAAACCTTACACCGGCGCCGACTGAAACAAGCGCAGGTCACTGATAAAACTAACAAACAAAAGCATGTCCAATGTCTAATATTGCACGTCACAAAATGAGGATAAGTTGTTTCTATTCTAGTTTTAATTCCACCATAGATGTGAAAGATTGTACATGTGGTCGGGTTTTAATTTCGTCCCACACTTCAAAAAGGTAATTGTAGCGCATTTGAAAACTTGTTCTACGATTTACTCGTTGCAACTATCAGAACGCCTTAACCTCACGTTTACGAAGTCTCCTATTTTGCCGGCTGGTTACACCCGCAAATTTAGGTACTTCCCGTTTAGTCTGCTGAGTCCGTGGTTTTTACTCCTAGATTTTAATCTTATAATGCCCACTAGTGATACAGTCACATGAGTTATCCTATCTTTTGGATAGAGCTTAAACCACGAAGCTGTTTGGAACTTCCTCGAACTAAATGCAACCTTTTAACTACTTCCGTTAAAAACATTTTGGACTCTGATGGATCTGATGGACTAGGTGAACGTTGACAACCAAACTGATGATTTAATCTTTCGAATCCGTGTCAGTCAGCGAGGTCAATACACCATTGTCGTGCAAATGCTCAAGTCGTATTGTCCCATCCATTTTTCATTTATCAGCTATTCTCGTTCTTCTATTCAAATTGTCCTACCATCGTTATCGTTATTATGATTATCGCATTACTGTGGTAGAGTTATTACTGATACTCATATTGACATTAAATTACGACACTTACGAAATTGTACCATTCGTTTATCAAATTATAAAATCATGAACATTACATTAACGTCATGAAATATACAACTCACTAGACTTGATGACTTAGTGAATTTGTTCCACTCATTTTCAGTATCATTCCGTCTCGTTTTTATTTTCTCATTCACGTGTCTGAGTTCATTTTTGTAATATTCATATCACACACGTATGTTTCTTCTTGATACCGTCTCATTATATCGTTTCGAATGCCTTTAATACCAATATGTCTGTTCACCAGGGTCAATCATCTGAAGTAGGTTCTGGATCGTCCATCACACCAATGACTATATTAAACTAACCCATCCTTTATTGTTCATTTTCGCTGCCATATTGCCATCATCAGATATTTTCAACATGTTTGCTAGCTGCTCGTTCATCGGACGATCTGCGATATTTTGTGAAAACTGGCGATCTAGTGACACATACATGCAGACGAACCATCAGTCTAAACGGTTGAATGAGATTCTGCATGCTGGTAATATCGTCGTCACAACTACCCGGGTTATGGAGCCGGTAAACAATGCTATTATTAACATAAGTTCCGAGTCATGCTCATGGTAGTAACGACTTTTATCTTATGTATGCAACCATTTTTCATACAAAGCGTTCGCATTTAGCAACTGTTGATTTCCTTTTTTCAACGACAATCTAAATCGGAATCCATTCATACATCTACAGCCATTTTCGCTTAATCGATGAGTCCAACAATCATATTCATTAACTTTAAGACGCCGTATTACTAACCGATTACGTGGGAGTCACGTCAATGTCATCGCGATTCGTTGTATCGCAAGAATCAGCAATATAGTTTTTGGTGTTTCGAAAGAACACATTTGAGCTTGAGACAGAACAACATATTTAAAATGAATAGAAGAAACAAGTTGCTCAGTAATGCCCAACCCTGCAAGGATGAGCCATGTCATACGGTTTTATGGATGTTCCCCCGTCCACAATTTTTGACCTTCTCTTGGTGTTACATGTCAAAAGTCTATTTTCCCAGTTGTCTCATGTTCAGCTTTGAATATTGTGTGATTAGGAACAATACCGGTACAAATCCTCTGACAAATTTTATATGGAACTATTTTAATCAGACTTCACATATAATAGTGATTGTAATAATAATTACTGAACCTTATTTGATCTGTAAGAGGTGTGATGTTTAATATTTAGCTAAAATGTAGTGTGTGCAGCAAGCAGATGGAGTTTACTACTCGAAGGCAAATTGTCAGGCTTTATGGCCGTTTCCAGGCTCAGCCTGGGTAAGATGATGTTTCAAAGTGTTAGTATGTTATACAATATAAAACATACTAACTCCCACAGCTAACCAATGAATACTATGATTGTCTCACCTTTATCTGCACTCGAGACGTAGAGCACTATGAACACGTTCGAACGTATTATATGAGAAACAGGATTGCGTGGTCAATTATTCATCAAACAATTGTTACTTTCACAACACAGCGGAACCATTTCTCTTTTAGACAGTAAGTCTACAATTGTCACGTTCGTCTATCCCTTTGTCACAAAATATATTGTCTCTCTTGATTACAACATCCATTTTCGTGGACCGAAAATGCGAATTCCAATCTAGAAGGAAAATTACTGAATATGTTTGAATAGATAACACGGATTAGTTTCGTAATTATCTTTTGTTGTTTTTCGAACCAACCGACTATTCTCTACAGAAAGGCTTTGTAGCGGCCGGCACTATGTCAAGCCAACATAAGTTATTCTAGCTTCTGGACCAACCGATTTATTCATCCCTCTCCGGCCGCACTTTGACCTTGTTGGTAAGTCCCTTATAAACGTTGACTGTTTCTGTATGGTTGTGTGTTAATTACTTTTCCTGTTTATCAAATGTTTGAAGCTTATTTTTGGCCGAACTAAACTTATTGAGTTTTGCTTAGTCGAATCGAGTTGATCACTTCGTTTTATTTTGCTTATATTCCTACACTTCGTATCTCTGATTGTCTGTTTTGGTCAGTGAGTGTGAGGTGGTATTTATTACCAACCACACAATCTTCGAACCTAAACAGTCACTGAGAAGATTCACTTTCAACATATTACATTAAGAGAAGGTCAACAATGGTGAACGAAGTATCAGGGATTAATGTCGGTCCGACTTGGCAGTGCAGACGTAGTCATAATATGTAAAACCTATTGAATGTTGTATGAAATATTTTGCTTTCTACACAGCCCAAATGTGTCCTTCGGAAATATTGGAAGTTATGTAGCTGATTCTTATGATACAACGAGTCAGAATAGACAATGATGGGACTACTGTACAAGATCTTCCAGATTATGCAGTCACATCATGGAAAATCTTCAATTCGGCGATTAGGTCTATTGTTATAGTAACACTAATAACCAACCAGACTTTAATTCTACGCGTCTGTCAAATATACGTAGTCAAAATTCATCCTCGTATTTGGTTTAGTTTATACCATCACTTAATGGCATACAAAAATATGTACGCTCGTATAATTCTGTCGTTGCTGACAAACTGTTTGGTATAGTATATTCAGTTAGTAACTGGATTCAGAAGATAGAAATTTCAAGCTTATAAATCCAGTCATGGTCTGTTAACTTATACAGCTTTTGTACTGATGAATTGTCGATGAGGTAGCTGACTGAATGGGAACACAGAGTGACATGAGTGGTTGGTCAGTTTATTGATAATAATCATTGCACATCGATATGAAGAGTGCGTGTACCAGAAAAGTTCAGGAACAAATTCAAACAATATCTTTGTCATCAATATAAATGATCCCATCACTAAAACTCATGGGAAATAATAATAGCAAAATCTGTTTACGTAGCACGTCTGTATTGATCATCTCCGAATTTTCTCTGCTGTTTATCTTCTGGTTAATGACATCATGATAAAGATCATTTCTCATCTTCCTCAGGACGCCAACCAAGAGAAGTATTTCAATGCGATTTTACATGGCTATCCTGGGTAACGAAAACTGGACAAAAATGCAGAGAGAAAGAAGAGAGAGAACACAAGCTACGAACAACCCTCGTCCTTGGCAGACTTTCATTCTCAGTCACAGAGTTCATGTCCAAAGCCCAAAAGTATGATCAAACGTGACCCTGGCGGGCTGAAAAATGTTTGATCATATAGATTGTTATCGTAATGTGTTAGTTCCAAATGACTCCGGTCCAAAAATCAGACACGCTTATGATTGGGAAATGGTCGGAGAATTTATTAGTAGCATCTTATCAGATGACTCTACAGGAGTTCAGATCAGAAACTTGGTAGGAATAGGTGATAGGACCAACAAAAATGTCGAACCACGATCATGTAGACTCCTTACTGTAATTTCAGGGTAGCAGTAACGACGAAATCTTTCTTTTCGTAGTGCTGAAAGTCAACACAGCACCAACATTCGAGTAAAGCTTGACATGTCCCTAGAAGGTGGAATAAAATTTAAGGTGGCACTTACTAGACTAAAAGCATGTCACGAGAACGGTGAAGAAAATTTCTTTTCCCTATTTTTTGAGTAGCCAGGTCTTCGAAGTGAATGTTACCAAAACCTGTGTAGATAGATTGCTCTCTTTAAGGGATTATTATATAAATGCTCGTAGGTTAGGCGTCTAGAAGTCCGCTAGGAGTATTACTGAACGAACTAAAACCACTCCTCAAAACTGTAGACAAAACTTGGTTAGTCTATGAGGCCATTTCAAAATTGTGGGGATACGAATATCTAAGTAGTGACAAGTGTGGATGCAGGAAAGAGGTTTGAGTCTTTATATACGTATTTAATAATAAAGAGATCCGTTCCTTTGTTTGTGAATCTCATGCAGTGGAACCCGTGAAGTCACTTGCTGTATGCTGATTTTCGATGGTTGCACATTTGTACTAGGTGTCATTTATCGTAGTCCGATCTCCCTAGCTAGTGACCTTATTGTAGAGCACATTCACCGTAGAGTAAAAAGGGCACCTGTTATTGCACCTGATACTAGTTGAACAAAGGGTGGTCACTGCGGGATTTGAAAACTCCTTGGATAGTGGGCTCTTGAGGACGTTAATAGAAGATACTTTATTTCAGCATGCATCTTACCCTCCACTATTAAATTCAGACCAAGGATCTTTATTTGACTTAGCAACCACGCATGCGACCGTGAATCTTACATATCTAGATGTTTTCCCATAGTTAGCAAATGGCGACACGTCTCTTCATTCATGTTCAGAGCTTGTAACACAATATGCGGTCAGGTTAAGGAGAAAATATCCACTATCAAGAAGTGCTCCGCAAAGACAGACTGGTTAGTAAATGCTATCTCATCAAGTGGAGTAGCACGGTCCATAACCAAGAGTACCCTTAGCTTAGGCATATTTTCGTTTACATCATGCCTAACATCAAGCAGACGGAATAAATATTCATCATGGATAAATATACGGGTTGAAAATTTTCCTAGTTCGAGGAAAATGCATTGAAGTATGTTTATCTCCACAGCCTCTGAACAGTACAAATCTATTTACTGCGGGAACAGAAACCCTATCAAAGGGTTGGTATGTAAGGCCGAACTTTTGTATAAAAAATAATTGGTCAGGAATTGTGAAAATAGTCCAAAAAGACTGTTCTCGTATGCAAGGAGGCGAACTCAGTGAACTGATATGATCACACCGCTTTTGATACTTGAAAATCCGTTGACAATGACATGAAATGAGGTATTGAAGGTTGAGGCTGCATGGGAAGACTTTAATAAAAGGTTTTCTGCCGAGAGGGTGAAGGACCAGCAGTTAATGGTGAAGGTGTCCACTTGTCGATTGGTCATGTGGTCGTTGAGAAGGGAGCTGTCTTGCGATTACCTTAACGTCCCAACCAGATAAGTCTAGTGGTCCTAACGATATTCGTCTTAAGATTATGACAGCCCTGATAGACGTAATCGCTGAACCTTTGAGAGTACTGTTTGATAGGTCCTTGAGGTAGTCTGAACAGCGAAAAGTTTGAAAAAAGGCAGCAATCTGTTGGGTAGTACAGACTTAGTTGGTAACTGTCGTCCTGTTAGTATGACCAGTTTAGTCAACGAACTGATGAAAAAGAATATTCGAATGGCCATTTTCATATATATATATATATATATATATATATATATATGGGTGTAAGATCCATTTTGAAGGTTTTGTGTGTTGGTGAAAATCCCTCCATGTATATACTTGTACTTTGTTCCTATTGATCCCCTTAGTTGTATATTGTTGTATTTTGATTACATTTGAATTGTTAATATTTGTATTTTTGTTATAGTTTATGTTTTTATTACGCATTCACTAAGTTTGTGTTTCTTCCTGAACTGCATCTGCGTTGTTTTACTTGACACTTGTTCTTGGCGGTAGCCATATTGATTTGCTCCTCCTGTTGTGTGTGATCTATCCAGTCAGGATAGAACAACGTTCATTTGTTGTGATTGATTTAATTGATTGAACAATCATTGGTTGAATAGCCGGGTGATAATATTTGTTTAGAACCGCTAGTTACCCGATTACTTGTTCTGATTTCGACGGGAAAGTGCGCGTGTCTTAAGTCCCCGGAAGGCTATTCTTCAACATCCAAACCGTAGTTTGGATCCTACAATGGGAATAATCTTCAACTCAGGGAACATCGTGCCCTTAGGAAAGGCCTGTCCTACTTGATAAATCTTTTTACTTTAATTGGAGATTGAGCTGCAGTGAGGGATAAAAATCTTCCGGTGCATGTAGTTTTCACAGATCTAAGTAAAGTCTCTGAAAAGTTCTCTCACGTGGGTTTTATATTATAACTGGAAACTTCCGGGATCCATTGTGAAATCATAAATTTGATGAGTGACTCTCAATAATTGGGGAAAACAAGTACCGATATGTGGGACTCTATCAGTGTGAGATTCCATACAGCGTGATACTTATCAAGATGCAGCCCTCAGTCTGTTTTTTACTTTATGTGAATGACTTATCAACTGTAGCAAAATCATCTGTTTAGCTGATTGCTAATGACTGAAAATTTAAAGACTGGCATATCGTATGCTGAACAATGATCTTTGCAATAATACGTCCTATCCCCTCATATCACTGATAGGCTGAGAGAATGTACTAAGAAAATTCAAAAAGCGGGGTCAAGTTGTTTACGTCTGGGATCCCGTCTCTCATATCAAGGAGTGGATTACTGCGATTCGCTACTAGAAGACATGATATCAGTACAAACCGTTGATAAATTCGAAGCAAAATTTTATATCCACAGTAATCCAAATCGGAAGGATTAACATAGATTGATTGCCATTCTGTTCTTCCTACTGAAGAGCGAAAATTGTTTAAAGGTGTCAAGGTCTGTTAGTTGTACCGCGCCATATTGTAAGATTAGCTTGCGGGCTTGTGATGTCGTTTGTTGTCCGTATCAGGGGTCTTCCGTTCTCAGCGAATGCGGATGATATAATCAGTTTTTTCAACGGTATTTCCGTTGTCTGTGTTTTGATTTCTTGCAGATTGCAGGATAAGAGGTGGAAAGCGTGGCATATATTTTCCTCAAGGGTCTAATGGCCGTTCTAATGGAGAAGCTTTCATCGAACTGGAAAGTAGAGATGATAAACAGAAAGCCATGACTCATCATAATGAACATTTGGGTCGCCGTTATATTGAAGGTAACTTACGACTACCCAATAATCCGGAAAGTATTTGACTCATGCTCTGAGGAATTGAATAACGCTATGGGATGCAGACCTTTCAACTCGCCAAATCGGAGGGAACATGTTGTTAGGTTACGTGGTCTTCCGTACGATACTGAGAAAAAGGAGATATATGCCTTTTTTAACGGTAAGTAATCCTTGGTCGTCTGCTTCTTACTAGTTTATATTATATACGGGAAGGTAAGCGTTTTCTATTATTCTTCGTAGCTAACGTAGAACTTCGTATAAACAGGCAACAGAAATAGGTATTTGCGAACTAGTAGTCAGTACTAGTTTTAGAGTATTTTCTGTTCTGGATATTTTTAATTGTACTTGATATGCTTAGTCGGTGAGACTAATTTATGGGCGCTAAGTAGACTTGGGAATGTCCACCTAATTACTAGGGCTACACAAGGGTTACAGAAGCAATGTGAAAAATAAGGGTTATGGTTTACAAATGATAGTCAGTGTTTGGAATTAGATTTACGGTTCTAATCACGAACTGGCATCAGCTAAAATCGCAGTGCTTAAGCGCTTCGCTATTGACACAAAGCATTGTCAAAACATCTGACCACATAATCTAAATGCATATGTAAGTGCGTTTTCACGGTTTGTTTGACTATCGGTTTGTAGTTAAATGTAGTAACTAACAATAGATTGTAAGATCGCTGTTTTTATCTAGTCTGCAGTAGCTTCAGATCCGTAGAACGGACATTCACAAAGGTTACCTTGATTTGGTCACGTCTCGTTAGTTTCTAAAACTTACATAATGTATCTCGCACATTGTGGTGCTACTGCTTTACTTATACGCAATTATCTTTAGGCCAAAAGCTGCTTGTTTTTGTCCTCCACACTTACTAATGACTTTATATATGTATGATACCTTGATAATTTTTCATTAAGTTCGGAGCTACTAAGAACGTGTGGAATCCTACTTTTCAACTGAAGTATTTTACATGGTCATTCTGTAACTGTCCAATATTCGTTGCATCGCTAAGTTGTGCTTAGGGTATCAAATTATTGCGCATTAGCAGTAATGATGTATCAGTATTATCGTGTCATTGTAGGTAGCGTTATGTAAGTTTTCGTGTTATCAAAGACAGTAAGTTGGTGTCGATCATATTTTTCTGTTTTCCACACTATATGTAGTTGTTTCTTGGACTCCGGAAATTTTGTTAACTCACTTATCAGTAGAGTGGTTGTATTTTACTGGCCGCTTCTATACGTTGATAGATAGAGGGTTTGGTAGTTAGATTCACTTTGAGCACCAAAGTTTGATCCCTAGTATATATGCACAATACGCCGTTTGAAACCTAACGTTTTCTGTTCCGTCCACCGAAATACTTCTCTCTGTTTGCCTGAAGGTAGCTGATGTTTTTTCCCTGACTCATTTCTTCGTAGTTTTGACTAATGCATAGTAGCCGTTTCTGCGGTCTGTAAAGTGTGTTCTTAAACAGATTTAATCACTATATTTATCAGGCAACAAATTCAGTGTTATTCTGCCTTTTGTATATAGCTAGTTTTTCTCCGAGTTTCGGTAATCTTTGAACAATAGGATCCTTTGTCTTTATGCAAAACAAGCCTTCTAGAAACTGCCCTCAAATACCATGGCACGACCGAGTGAGGGGAGTCTGCTCCGGGTAGTATTACAGCACACACAAACCAGATGAAATTTTTACGGTGCATATGTATTTGGTGCCTCTTTATATCAATATTTGTGTTCAAATAAACAAATAAATTCTGGAAAGTGTTACTGCTTATTAATCAATGAGAAAGTTCGTATTTAGGCCTGTTGTGCTCGCAGTGTGATTGTTCTTATAAAATAGCATTTTTCATTTCTGGTATTTCGACTGATCGTACGAGTTTGAACGACATGTCAGTCACCAGTTACTCTTAGCTTAATGACAAACATTCCGTATATTTAACCGCACCTAAGTTTAGTTAATCAGAAAACCCAACTCTAGTTTGTCTATGATGAACCTCTCGGCTGTTAGTACTTTAAGCTTATGCTTGTCTGCTCATCTAGGTTTGAACTACACTTTCTGCATTACAGCTCACAATGGTATTTAGTCTTCAAATCTTAGTGTCATCAAGCAATCCAATATTAATTAATGTCCAAAATTATTTAAGCAACTCTAGGAAGTACTGATAAAGTTCACATTGGCGTTCATTTTGCAATGTCCTGAGGTTTTAACCAGGTTGGTGGACACTGAGAGTCCACCTAGGTAAGTTGAAAAAACCCTGATTCCAAACCAATGGTGCACATGGGCTCCAGGATTCTGTTGCAATAGATTGCGTATGAACCAGTCGTTGGTCACCAGGTACCATGGGACTGCATCTCCTTGCGTTGCTCCACTGCCTTGTGGATTAGACCTTTAGGTCGAAGACTCCGGGTGTAGCCTCCTAAGAAAACTCTCTGTTTCGGTTTGGGCACCCGGGTGGTATCATAGCCCACACTCAAATCAACTGACCTGTGTGGCGCATATGTATTTGGTGCCTCTACAAATATTTATGTGTTCACATAAATATAATGATAATAAACTGAAACTTGGGGAAAGCAGTTAGGAACAGGTTGTTTATTTATACATCCAGGTGAATTCACTACTTTATGACATAGTCTTCAAAGATTTTCATGGAAACAGCTAGAGTCTCCAGCCATTTGTTACGACAGTCACACAGACCCCAACTAAGTAGTCTGCATCTGCCAACATGGCTCAGACCAGAGGTTAGTGACTTCAAGCACTGATGCCACGTTTTGGTTTGACCGCCTCTAACTTTCTTCCAATCATCCCCAACACTAGTCAGTTAGCATTGCGCGTCATGGCAGTCGGTGTTCAGGCATACGTAACACGTGGCCCAACCATCTCAGTGGGTGAAGATTCATAACCTCATCAACTGATTTACCATCATTCTCTAATGCCCTACGTCTAACCTCACTATTATTTGCCCAGTGATCCTATCAGATGTGAGCAATATTTCTAAGGTATCTGTGTTCAAATACTAGTAGCTTACGAATATCTTCAACTCTTAACAGCCACGTTCCGCGGCCGTAAAGTAAAACAGAACGAACTGCCGCGCAGTGTACTCGTTCTTTTATTGATAGACGGACATCTCGCCTTCGCCATAGGTGACGTAAGTTGGCAAAAGCCAAACGAGCTTTTCGAATTCGTGTTGAGATTTCGTCAGACACCAACCCATTTGGTCTGATCAGACTCCCAAGACAAGTGAAGTTGTCGACGCGCTCGACTACTTCACTCCCTACCCTTAGTTCAGGTGTTGACGCAGACCAGTCCTGAAGTAACAACTTGCATTTAGAGGGAGAGAAGCGCATTCCAAACATTCTGGCATTGTTGCTTAGTGCTACGAGAAGACTTCCAAAAAGTAAACATCAACAACGGATCCAACTCTCAAGACTTGCTGGAAAAGGTAGGGTAAACATGTAGTCAACAAGATATTAATTGGATTTTTTCAGTGTAATTACCAATCAATCATTAGCAAAACAGAGCGTCGCACAAATATATATCAGTCTGAATTACTGCAACAACATAATAGAAGGAAATTGGTAGACAAAAAGTAAAGATAGTAGTGTCTGCATTATCTAAGATGGTTTTCTAACCGAAGATAGTCCGTAATTAATCATCGTTTTTGCCAATGTGTTATGTTAACTACATTTGTTGACCAACAGCACAATAGGCATTATTACGGAACCACTTCTTGACCCACCACTTATTACTGGCTGTATAGCAACCCTAAAACATGATATATATACGTCTTGTCAGTTAGCCAAATATATTTGTGAAAGTTTAAACCCATTCTAATAGTTTTTTTCGCTTTTACTGATTGCAGCTACTTTTGGTCAAATAAGGAGCTTATCTTAGGCTGTTACTAACTTGTTTAGTATAACACGTCTGATCGTTTTATTTGTTTCATTCCTTTCCTAATTTCTCGGGTTTTATGAATTCTTGGGATCGGCAGGCCTGGAAATAGCTCCCAACGGTATCGGGTTATTGGTGGATCATATGGGTCGTTGCACGGGGGAAGCGTATGTCCAATTCACATCTTCTGAAAGTCTAGCTCGGGCAAAGGAGAAACATATGGAGAAGATAGGGCACAGGTGCATATTTTCGGGTTTGGATGGGAGGTTTGGGTATTATTATTAATGTTTTACGTAATGGTCCGTCGTATGGGATGCTTAATATTTATTTGCTTAAGTCAACAACTTGTCAGTTAATTGTCATAGAATTTATTGTTCCAGGTGGTTCACTTCATCACAGTTGTTCTTTTTTCAGATATATTGAAATATTTGAAAGTACAATGATGGAGGCTAACACGACCATACAGCGCCAAATGGAAATAAATCGTAAGTTTCCAAACAGTAATTTAGATGACGTATTTAGAAAGCCGTGCTTCCAGTCGAGGACCGATGTTCGGTCGAGGAAGTCGTGATGGTCATCCCGGTGGTACGGGTCATCATGGAGGTTCCCGAGGAGGATATGATGCGCCCCCGTTTAGTCCAAACGGGTCAGGTCCAAACAGAGGTCCAGTTCCAGGAAGATTTACGCCCTATGGTCGACCACCACATGTTTTCGGACACCCGGGATACAGTTCTCCTCCCAGAGGCTTCGAAGGACCTTCTCCCTCAAAAGGATCTAATTTCGGGCCACTCGGACATTACGAATATGATGATCCACAAAGTTTGACTGGGCATTCTGTTCGTATGAGAGGGTTGCCATACTCAGCGACCAAAGAGGATATTAATCGTTTCCTTTCTCCTTTACAACCAGTCAACATTCGGATAAAATTCAATGCGGTAAGTTGCCGTCATACTTCCTAGTTACTTTCTTTCCTTGTGTCTTAATAACAAATCTCTTTTTCATATTTTAGGCTAATCGGCCCACCGGAGAGGCAGTTGTGGATTTTGCCAGTCATGATGAAGCGAAGGAGGCAATGAAGAAGGATCGTGAAAAAATTGGGCCTCGTTACATCGAACTTTTCTTAGCATCCACCCCTAAGGGAATCTCTCCTTCGTCTCGCATAGTAAGTCACTGTTGGAATTGCATTATTTATTTGTAGAATAACAATGCACCAGTTCCTAGTCGTCGATCTCCTCCTGTCCACAGTAGTAGAGGCCATCAAGGGTCACAATACGCCAACTTTCCTCCTCAACAATATGAATATGATGATATAAATTATGCGGAAGATGTAGGGTACAATTCAGGTCCAAGTAGACCAGATTTTAATCAGCCATATGATAGTTTTCACAACGGCACGAGTGTAAGAGGACCAATCAGGCCTTCAGGTAAGTTCTCTACTTTTAATCACAAGTATTTTTCAGGAGATGGTTATTCAGACTACAGATATCGTCAAGGAAATCACTATTGAACATGAGATATTATTTTACATGTACTTTACGACTATACAAAAATAAACATTTTATTAGAAACTTGCATTGGTTTGTATCCTATTTATAGTACTCACTTATCTATATGAGATAGTCAGCTACAACGTAGAACCTCAGTGTCCGAAGGACAACTGATTAAGGTCAGTCACACACGACCTATTTGTGGGTAATTTTCGTGTTAGCTCCACACTTGTTGGGACCTTACCGCCGGAGACGGATATCCGTGGGATAAAACAAGATGTGTATTTCTAGGGTAGACCTTTTCTAACCCCACCCCTCGTGGGAAGGTAGCATCGTTGCTATGCTGGTTGTCTGAAGGGAACACGTTACTGCCGCCACACCTCTGTACAGTCAGCAGTACGACTTCGCTCTCAGACCTTAGGTTTGCTGCTTTCAGTTTTACCGCTCTTCAACCGACCTGTCTGGAGTAGTAGGCCCTTGAGGGACGATTGTTCCAGCCAGTATAGCTTTACTGGTTCATCACGATAGCAAGCCTGACCACCACGTTGAGGTAGCAACAACGCTCGGGTCTATGTGAGATAAGGTATCAACTGTAGGTATAATATATTACATTGCACCAACAATTACTTCAGCAAAGTAATTTTATGCATTGAGTAATAAAGTCAAGTTTTAAGTTTCTTTAAAGAATCTCGACCACAAAAGCTAATATTAATGACAAACTTGTGATCAAGGACTTCTACATACTTCCGAGTATGGACCATAATACTGTCAGATACATGTGTATGATTACCCACAATTTCTGCACATGTTGTATTGCTAGTTATACTGAAGCAGCATTGGTGCTCCTGGCCAACTTGCTGGTAGCAATCATCACAATTTACGTCATGGTTACTTGAACAGTACAGTATTCAATACGCTTAACTGAAATGTCATATCTGACAACATTCAATACTTTTGATCAGGAAATCATACCTAGCTCCTGAAAATCGATACAGAAGAGAAATAATTTAGTTTAGCAAAGCTACAAATATACAACATTCATTAAGCATAGTAGATATTAGTGGTTATTTGGGAATGCACTTTAAAGCACATACTTGTGATTATTAGACACTTATCTGTGGACATAACCTAGTGCAATTAGGAATCAGTTCATTTCGCTCCAAATATTTCTCTGCTGGTGAATACCAATGATACAACTATTAGCTAGGTTGAGGTTGATTTTTAAACTAATAGACCACTGTCTTACTCTAGAATGGTGTATTATGCAGTAACAGATAACGACCTGGGGGATGACAACCTATTCAAGTTAGTTATGTCTGCCATAAGACTGCAAAGGTGATTAGATGAAAAAGTGAGTTTTTATGGATAAGGGAAAACATCTGTCAAAATAATGAGTAGTTTAGTTATCACTTTTATAGTTTGAGCTAAATGGGATAATTGGATACAGAGCTATCGACCAATATTTTGCTGTTTCGGTTTTGTCAACCGAGTCGTTTCATGCCAGAGCATTTATCTAAGGATCCGCTATATGAACTTGCTTTTATATGAGTGATGTCGTATGTAATCGTTCGGAATCGTATAATTGAGTCTTCGGTGAGACTGGAATATGTGAACTATTTTTGATGGACGACAAAGTGACGTTGGTAAAATACCTTACTAGGTTAAAAAGTGTCATACATTAATGTGAGGAATTAGATTGGGAAGTTAGTAGTTAGGGTTTTCATCGCGAACTAACATCAGCTATAATGTCGAGATGTTATTTAGCCATATCAATGAATGTACTTCGCGTATAGACCTAAAACTTGTTTTTAATTTCATTGGTTCGTCCTTAAACTGTAGCCTAATTCTGTCCTAAATATTCAGTTATGTGTTGTTCCTGACTTTATTTTGCTATCATTTGTCGCTTACGGACTGTTCATATTTCTATTGAGGTCAATATTATTTCATCTCATGAACTTCTTATCTTGATTATTTCGTCTTCGTACATTTAAGGGGTAAAACATCTGGGATCGTTACACATTCTTGATCGATTCCATTCGGATAACTGCTTGACTATAATCTATACTTGATTAATAAAGTTATAGAAAATTACTGTAAACTAAATCTCACTTTACATTGAAAAGGATTATGAATAGTTTTTCTCGTGAATATTTATCTCGGGGATCGAAATAACATGATGTAATCATGCATCTCACATTTCAGTTCACATAAACATATGGTCTCTTAAGAAAATTGTGATTTTCACGGTGAACTATCCAGACTAGTTGTGTTTTTATTTTTATTTACTTATTTGAACACATAGATATTGGTACAAGGGGGCACCAGATACATATGCGCCACATAAATCTCATTCGATTTGTGTAAGTGCTGTGATACTGCCCGGGTGTCCAAACCGAAGCAGATGGTTTTCTTAGAGGCCACACCCGGAGCCTTCAACATAAAGGTCTGATCCACAAGACAGTGAAGCACCGCAAGGAGATGCAATTCCATTGTAGCCAGTGACCAAAGATTGGTTCAAACGCCATCTATTCCTTCAGGATCCTGGAGGCCATGTGCATGATTGGTTCGGAATTGGGGTTTTCCAACTCCCCTAGGTGGACTCTCCTTGTCCACTAATCCGATTAAAGCGCCGGACATTCGCTTTTCGTCCTCTCAATTCGATAAACAACACCCGATGTGCGTGAATGCAGTGAGTAGGAGTCCCCTGGCAGAGGCTATGTACTCGTGGCCATGTAAGAGGATTCGGAGAGGGAGAGCGGACTCTCCCCACTCTTGGTCGTACCAGGGCATTTGGGGGCGTTTTTATAGATGTACTGGGATTATTAAAGGTGGATTATTTCTGCCAGGGTGATCCATGGTGTGCGTTTCACTTTGCTCTAGACTTCTTGGCTAAATATATTTCGATCCATGTGTTGATGTGTATCTGTATGGGAACCCAGTACTGCTGGACAAGTTAGTAGCTGTCTATACTCATTAATTCAGTGAATAAAATAGTTATTTGAAGCAAAAACATATTGGTTTCATATCTCAGTGTGAACATCAAGCTTGTAAGCAGTTAATAAGATAAAATGCCTCATGCTTCATTACTTCAAAGACTTTGTCATTGAAATAAAATAATCAAATAATAATCGTGGAATTGGATTATTTCTATATTCGTAAGCTACTAGAATTTGAACACAGATACCTTAGAAATATTGCTCACATCTGATGGGATAACTGGGCAAATAATAGTGAGGTTAGACGTAGGGCATTAGAGAATGATGGTAAATCAGTTGATGAGGTTATGAATCTTCACCCACTGAGATGGTTGGGCCACGTGTTACGTATGCCTGAACACCGACTGCCATGACGCGCAATGCTAACTGACTAGTGTTGGGGATGATTGGAAGAAAGTTAGAGGCGGTCAAACCAAAACGTGGCATCAGTGCTTGAAGTCACTAACCTCTGGTCTGAGCCATGTTGGCAGATGCAGACTACTTAGTTGGGGTCTGTGTGACTGTCGTAACAAATGGCTGGAGACTCTGAGTGATACGGCTCAGAATCGACCACAATGGCGTAGGTGTTGTATACACTCTCTGTCTTCCCTTAAACTAAGAGATTAAAATTGCTTCATATCTTTCTTTCTACGTACTAAATCTTTCTTCCTGTACTGTGTTCTCATATGCAATCTTTCTCTTATATATTATCACCACTTCTTTGAATGTGGTGTTTATATTTTGCTAATGATGCATGGCAACTTGGACCGATGCGCATATGTTCCTGGTCCTACGTTGTAGCTGACTGACAATTGTAAAAAATGGATTAGGTAGGTTCTAAAGTGGTTATATCAATAATATATGTATGTGAACTGTCTTCTGTCATTTGAATGATTTGATCATGAAGCTTTCATTGTTTTTCTGAATGATATCAGCATAAATTTCAGGTGGAAGTGTTTGAATTCGTCCATGAATCCTCTCATTCATCGATAAATTCAGTCGATCTTAGTGTGTTTATTGATTGGTGATAAATTTGTAGCGGTTAAATAAATCCCCAAAATCAATAGCTCTGTAGTGCTGATCGCATTAGTTCTAATGGACTCACCTAGTTGAGGGCACTCGGTCACGAATCCGTACTAGATCACGAGTGGACACGCCGTGATTCACATTTCCTATGACCGCTAGCCAGCTTAGATTGATCACTTCTCGATATATCGATATTCTATCAAATATTTCTTCGAACATCTTCGCTTTCTACCTTTGATTTGACTGGGTTAGTACATTTCAATTATAAAAGGTGTTACTTGTTAGAGTGTTGTCAAACTCCGAATACTTGTGACATCTTTAAATCTAAGTGCCAAACCACTAAGAATTATCTGGCCTCCTCTGTATTCCCTCTGTCCAAAATCTCAACATTTTTGTCTGGTTGAACACGTGTTTTTATATAAGCGAAGATACATTGTGTCGTTTGAAATCTAGTTACTGTTCATAAAGAAGAGACTATGGAAAAGGAACTGACTTTGTACGACGTAATGTTTCTCGCGGTTGGAGGAGTTCCTTTCGTAGACAATACTTGAATCTTCTTTTGTCATTTCACTTTGGTTTAGAAAAAATTAAAATGATTTTACTAATTTATTTGTTATGCTTATACCAAATGATCTCGTTAATGTTGAGATTTCTGGTATATTCCTTTTGTTAACGAAAGAGAATTGTCTGTTTATTGATTTCCGCATTCGATTTTGTTTTTCCCTAATGAGTTCGACTGATGTTTTTCAATGAAGTTGCATGAATAGCTACTCTTTTGTAAAATAATTATCAAGTATTTTCATGCATTTTTCTGTACTGTAAGTGTGCTTTAATTGGAGCACAATTGTCTGTGTAAGTTCTTGGATTGTTAATTCACGATATATTTAAGTTCTCAGTTTTTCTATATTGTTTCTGGGGTTCAGCACATCTAAAAATGACAATTTATTGTTCGACTACTATTCCATTGTAAATTTATGTCATCGAAGACGTTGATTAAAGTCTAGGTATTTCTTAGCTTACTCTTTCTGATGATGAATACTGTGTCATCCAGATAAAGAATTA